TTCATTGATTCATGAACAGTTTCATTTAATCCTTCCCAACGACGATTAAGTTCTTTAATTCGAAGAAGTTTTTCTCCATTTTTATCAGCTTTTGGATGTGCATGAAGAATATCAGAATAATCTTTTGTTATTTGTTGAATTTCTTTCTCATCATTATCTAATTTCTTTTTTAAATTCTAAAAAAACACGAAAACTTCGAATGAATAAAAGAATAAAAAAACATACTTCTAGATTTTTATATTCATCACGAACACCTTGTAAACCATCACCACTTGTTCGTTTAATTTCAGTTAGAAAATGTTCATGATCAGTAATCATATTTCCAGCACGTTTTATCGCTTCATCAATACTTCGCCATGGATCTTGAACGATATCTAATCTAAAAATGAATCGAATAAATTTTATAATTATAAAAACAAACAAAAAAAACCTACTCAAGTTTTCGTTTTGTTAATAATTGTTTCAATGCATTCCAACGTTGTTCTAAATTTTGAACTGTACGTGATATTGTATCTCTATTTTGTTGATAAAGATCGTTTTCTTTTAATAAACTATGACCAAGTGTAAGAAGATTATTAATAATTGGACTATGATTATCTACATCGACTTCGATTGCCTAAAATTTGAAAAAATAATTATTTATCCTATTAAAATATAATTAATTATACAATAAATGATTGATGAGTAGCATGGGCATCATTTGTACCATGTTGTTTTTGTAAATCTTCTTCAACTGTATTCATCCATAAACGAATATTTTCAGAACCTTGTTCAAAATCATTGAGCATTTTTACTATAGCTTCTGTTTTTTTAATTCTAATTAATAAAACGTTTATTCATTTTTATGAAAGATTAGTTGTAAAAATTCAAACCTTTTATTAATATATTGATCTGTTGTATTCATAATTTGTTCTAATTGATCAATTTTATGTTTAAATAATTGATCAGTTGATTGTGATTGTAATAGACGTGCTTGAACTAATAAATCATTACCATTTCGTCGTTTATCAGCAAGAATATTTCGAATATCATTTTTTAAAACTTCAAGACTAACTTGAAGTGTTAAACCATTTAATCGATCATTGATTTCATTCGAACGAAAATGTTCAAACCATTGAATTGATCGAATAAATTTATGTTCAAAATCTTCATATTCTGAACGTCGTTTTGTAAGACTATCAATAAGTGTTGTTAGAGTACGTTCAGCATCATTCCATTGAATTTCAAGTAAACTAAAATTATAAATGAAATTAGTTGTTTTTTTCTTTTTTTGTTAAAATTTACTTTAATTTTTGTATTAATTGACGTGTATCATCTGAATGTAATTCTGGAGAGATCTTAAAAAAACTCAATTATTAGATAAAAATGTATATATTTTAAGAATATTGATTACTTCGGAGATTGCTTGGCGTACATTTTGTAATTCAGTTCGACGATGTGTAAGTTCACGATTTTTATTCTAAATAAAATTTATTTTCTTTTATTTTATTTTAAAGAAAACTTACATGGCAATGTTGAAGAAATTGATTTAGGTCTTCTGTTGGTTGTTGTTGAAGTGAACGAACAGATTTTACTAGTGTATTTAATTCATCTAATGTTCGATCAAGTTCATTATATCGAACGAGTGACTATAGAAGAAAAACAAAGAGGAAATATTGTATGAAAATGAAACAGAGAGATAAGAATCCCTTAATCTATAGAAGAATAAAATAAGCAAAAGCATAAGAAAGAAATCATGCATTTTATTAAGAGAGGAGTAAAATCAATGAATATGCATAAATATTGATGTTTATCTAAATATATATTGAATATACACTAAAATAATAAATTGAGAAAATACAGTTTATATTGCTAATATATATATTTTTTTATTCTATCCATGCGAGAATTTATAATATTACAGGTTACCTTCTCTTTTTGTAAAACTATTCGAGGCTATAATAAGATAATTATTTAATTAATAAAAGTAACTACAGATATTTCACAATATCAATCATACTAAAACGAGGGAGAAACAGCAGAGACTTCATGCATGAAGTCTTGAAGACTGCTATTTCCCCCTAGTACTAAAAAGATCATTCACTACTGCCCATTTCAAAATGAAAGATACGGGTGAGTATGTTTTGAATAACTTTCGATAATCGAAACTAATCCGGAAAGATTCCTTTAACTACTTTCCTAAGAGTTGCAGCCAGTCATTGTATCCCTTTCTCGATCGGATCAAAAACGCTCCGGACGATCAGTAAATTCATATCCTGCCGATATAATAGAGATCTAAACTGGCCACATCTTCGAGACCAGCAGGCCTACCAGCTTTTTTCAAGCTAATGCAATATAATGATAGACCAAAAACCAGAGCTACAAACACAACAATAAATCTATTTTTCTACTCAGGAGTGATCTGCCTGTCATAGGCACAGATCACGATTTTTAGATTAGTGTACGTCAGAGGCTCAGGCAAGTTTTGACCTGTCACTTCCACTAATTTCATAATCGTGATCTGTGTTTGTAGCTCTGGTTTTTAGTCTGTCATTGTATTGGATTAGCTTGAAAAAGCTGACAGGCCTACAGGTCTCGAGGATGTGGCCTGTTTAGATCTCTGTGATATAACTATCTTAGAGAAATTTGTTCATCAGTAAAAACGACAGTTAATCAGAAAATACCCACCCTCTTATAAACAAAATCTCTCTGATATATTCAACTGTATATATGCGAATGAAATAAATAAAAATTCTATCTTACTTTAACAAGTATATCACTTTTTTGTTTAATATTAATTTCAAGATCTTGAATTGTTTTTTTTAAATCATTCCATTCTTTTTCTAAAATAATTTGTGTTTTAACATCAGAATGTTTAATTAAACGTCTATTTGCTTCATAAATTTGTTCTAATAATTTTTTTAATTCATTATTATCAATTGATATTATATATGAACCCTGTTTAATTTGATTTATTTTATTGATATTAGCTGTACGTAATTCTTGTTCTTGTATTTCACATTTACTTTTTAATAAACGATGATAATCTAATTAAAGAAAAAAGAATAATAATACAACAACAAAAACAAACAAGTTTCTATATATACTTTCTAAATAATTTTGATATGCTAACCAAAGTTTAATTAATTCTTTAACTTCTTCATGTTGTTTTAAAACTTTTTTCATTATATTTTGCCAACGTTGTTCAAGTTTAATAAAATTTATTGGATTTTCTACTAATTCTTTACCTTGATTAATTAATTCAATTAATTCTTTTTGTCGTTGATTAAAATCAGTCGTTATATTTGTTAAATTTTTATCAATTTCAATTAAACCATGATAATTTGTTGGAAGATTTTCTTGTATAACAATGAATTTTTTTTCAATAGCTTGAATATATTCTGTCCATTTTGAACAACGTTTATCAAAATCTAATTTACCATATTGATTTGCTTCAATTTGTTTAATACGAGATTTTATTGTATCAACACAACTTGAATATTCAAGCATTAAATCATGTAAATTTCTTGCTCGTTTAATATATAAAGCGAATTCATTGGAATTTAAACGTTCAGTAAGATGATGTTTTGATTGAAGAAGATTATCAAGTTCATGTAATTGTTTTAAATATTGATTATCATTTTCACCATTTAATTGTTGAGATTTAAGTGTTGTTTGTGTTTGATTAACTGTTTGAGATAGATCATTAAAATAATCTAAATAGATTTTTTCACGCTGTTTTAATTCATTACAATCTGTTAAAAGTTTAATTTGAAAATTTTGTAATTCTTTATATTGATTATTGATTACAGAATATTGTGTATCGATTTTTTTAGCAGCAATAGGTGATAAATGAGTGTTTAATTTTTTCGAACGTTCATATAATTTAATAACTTCAGTATCAAGTTGTTGAAGACGTTGTTGAAAATCCTAAATAGAAAATTTGATATTATTATTTAAAGAAATAAAGAATTTTAAATAATGTATATGAACTTTAGCTTTTTCAAGAAGTGAATCAATATCTGAAGTAAATTTTTCTCGTTGAATTGTATATCCTCTTGCTTCAAGTTCACTAAGTCGATCAAGTAAATGAAGATATGAACTATTAAATTGTCTCCAGTTTTCAACAACTTCTCGTGATGGTTTTATTATATCTTGAAGACGTTGTTTAACACTTGTCCATTGTTGTTGAATACGATTTGTTAAATCATTTATATTTGAAGATGTTTGTTTATCACATAGATCAGATAATTGATGAGCATGAGTTTTTATTTGATCAAAATCATGTCGACGAGATTCCATTGCTTGTAAATGTTCCTAGAAAATAATTAAATATTCCACAGTATTCAAAACACTAAATGAATATGTTCTCTTTCTCGTAGAGAAGAGTCCAGTAAACATAAATTGTTTGCTTGATTGTGTGTTCGCAGGGTCAAAAGAACATCGAAGACCAATTTTTTGGAAAAGACATTTCTAGAGGTATTTCGATGCAGGGAGTTCGAATATGAGGTCTGTTGAGTGCTAATGATGAAGGGGGAGGGTAAAGAGGGTGCATAGGTCAAAAAAACATCGATAACTTATTTTTCACGTTTTTTTCAGTAAATGCGAAGAGGAGGCATTTCTACGAGAAAGAGCTAAGCGAGTTCTCGGACGAGTGTTACTTGTCTATATTATGTGGATTTTTCATAAACAATACGAACAGAGATTTTATAGACTATGGCAAGCACGATGAATGTATCAGAAAAGGAGATAAGCAGTTCCTTGAATTCTTTATAAGACTCGCGTATATTTCTCTCTTATACTCTTTCGAATATAATAACGCTATTCACTTTAAGTAATGAATCTCTTTTTTTATGAAATCTTCGCGATTCTTCCGAATGGTATAAAGTTCAATCGACAATTTGTTAGTCTTATTATATATGATAAATTAACTTACTTGTGCTTTTCTAGTACTCATTTCATATATTTCAACATTCATTGCATTAGTTTCAACTCGATCAATTTCAGCTTGAGCTTCATGAAGAATTTTTTCCATTTGAAGTAGAACACGATTATATTCTTGCCAATCATTTAATATTGATTTTGATTTTACTTTTAATTGTTCAATTGATGGTGATAAATTATCAAGCATATATCGTACATTTTGAATTGCACCATCTTGATCAATAATACGAAATGTTGATGATGATGATATCATTTTACCACTAGTAGATTTTAATGATGCAAGAATTTGTTGTTTTGTATTTATTTGATTTTCCATTTCCTACAAGAAAAAAAATAAATGCAAATGATCTATAAATATTATTCTAATTAATTAAAGAAATATTTACATTGCATTTTTTAATATTATGTTTAACACCAGCTTCTAAATTTCTTGAACGCATAAATTCAAGATCAGATGTTTGTTCTTGTACCCAATCCGATAATGTTCGAACAGTATGATCAAAATCATTAAACTGATCATTGAGTTGTTCTAATGTCTATTTAAAAATATAAATATATATATATTGCAATAATTTATTTACAAGTAACGCTTAGCTTTTTGTTTACAAAATGATTCTCAAAAAAACTAACATCAGATTCATGTTTCTCGACCTCGATTAAAGCTTATGGAAACCAATCAGTGAAGTGCGGACACACAATTTATGCTTACATCAATTCGAGCAGAAATTAATGATTTTATTTTAGTCCAATCAATATTAATTTGTTTGATATTTTCCATATAATCAACAGTCGATATATCAGCATTAGCTTCTTGTTGAAATGATTCATTTAAATAATCAATAATTCTTTGATGATTAAGTACATCTACACGCATATCCTAAAAACAAATAAGGTACAAGAGTTCATAATTCGAGACGTATTATAGAAAAATAATTTACTCGATATCGTTTAAGTAATTTTTGTAGAGTTTCTTTATTATTAATTGGTGCTCCATGATCATCATCTAATAAACGTTTAATTGTATCAATAAATATAGTCATTTCTTTTCGAGCTTGTCTTGTTGGTAAACTATTAATTATATTTTGATGTAGATTATTTTCATGTCGTAAAATTTCTGTCTGAAAAATAAAATATTTTTTTATGGAATTATGAATAATCTTCAATTTTTACTTTAATTGTTGTCCATTTTTGATGAAGACTTTCTAAATTACTTTCAGTTGCTTGTAAATCATAAAGATTATATGTTGATAAACGTTTTACTAATGATAATGTTTGCGAATAAACATCAGCAATATTATCAAGACGTTTTTCTACATCCTAAAAAAAGATTCTTTCAACGATAAAAAAACAGAACAATAGTGAATAAATATTACCATCAGTCGTTCTAATCGAATTCTAAGTTCACTAAGATCACCTTCATAATGTGTTGTAGATTCATTTGAACATTGTTCTAATGTATCTTCAAGAATAGATAAATTACGTTTTATATCATTAGCAAGAACTGTTCCAGCTTTATGACTACAATATTAAATATAATAATTGAATTCTAAACAATATTTCATTTTACATACCTATGAAATTTTTCTCGAATATCATTTGCTATTCGATTAAAATTTTCTGTAAGATTTTCTGTTTCATTTTTTAATGGAATTATATGTAATTCATCACAAAGAACTTGTATTTCATCATTTAAATGTAATACTTCTGGTTCAAGTAATATAATACGTTGATTTAATTCCTATTGAAAAAATAAGAATTATCTTTAAAAAGAATTAGAATATTTTTTTTTCTCCTAACTTTATAAAGAACAAAAGCTGATTGTATTTGTTGAAATTGAACTAAACGTTTATTTACTGGTAATTGTTTTTCAATATCATCTAATTGATAACATATATCATTTAATCTTATTTGATATTCTTTCCATATACGTAATAAATATTCGGAATGAATATTTTGTTGAAGAATTTTATCTTGTAAATCATTTGAACGTTTTTCTAAATCATAATGTTGTTTTGAATAACGTGCACGAAGATCACGATCAAGTTTATCATATAGAAGATTTAATTGACGACGTTTTTCATCCATTTGTTCACTATGTAATTTTTGTTCTTTTATTTGGCGTGCATAATCATCACTTGTTGATGTTAATGATATTGGATGACTTAAACGTTCCATAGTTGAACTATATGCACCTTCATATAATTTACATTCATTAAGATATACATCTCGACAACGTTCGGCATCTATTAAAACTTCAAGACGTTGATCAAACTAGAAATTATATCAAATGAAATCAATATTTTTTTTGAAAAGTAAAATATACAGACTTGTTGTTTTAATGAAGTTATCATTGATTGTATGATTTGAATTTCAGATGGTAATGGTATTGCATTACCATCTTCAAAACATATATTTTGTCCTTGTTTTTTTAAATCTATTAATGTTTGTTGATATTGATCTAATTCTTGATTTTGATTCTATAAAAGAATATATGAATTTTTTGAAAAAAAGTATATAAATTGTATTTACTCGTATAAAATGAAGTTGTTCTTCAATAGAATCTTGTGGATTAATTTTTCGTTGTTTTAATGTATTTAATTTATCTTCTAATAAACCTAATTCATCTAGAAATAATTGCCATTCTTGTTTATGTTGACGTTTACGTCGTTCTCGTTCTTCATTTTGACTTTCAAATTTAATCATTTGTTCATCAAGATTTGTTAATGCATCTTCAACAGACTAAAAATTTCAAAATAATCGAAATTTTTATATTTATAACTGAGATATATGCACTTACTCTGCCAGATGGTGGTATATCATGCTCTATTAGTGATGAAAGTTTATTTAGTGAATCTTGATACATACGTTGCTTTCGTTGATGTTCTTCTACATCCTATTAAATGAAGTGATTTTCATGCATTTATATATATGAAAAGAATAAGCGTGAAAACATGCGTTATAGAATTTTTTATAGGTATTCAAAATCATGTTACACTGATAGAAAATTACAACCTGCTTATGAGATTAATCAAGTCAACTAATTTGCAATTTTAACTTCTCAAAAGTTTCTTAGTCTTTTGTATTCTTTCGAGATTGTTTATGTTATGAACCAAAATATTTGTTTTTTTGTCAGATACAGATAAGGCATTCACATTCTCTCACGAATATATCAGAAAATCTCTATTGGATATACAAATGAAAACTCATTCAATACATAAGGCTGTTATACTATTGAGGTTACGTTAGGGTTGATATAATCTTAAAAAGCGTGATAAGAGGATACGTTGAAGAAAGCTGAAGCATGAGAATAACAATTTTTCTTACTCTCATTTTTTTCTTAATAAGTGTAGATCTTGTTTCAAGTTCTTTTGTTAATTCATTAAGACGTTCTCTTAAATGATCAGCTTCTTGACGTAATTTTTGTAAAGATTCGCCTGGTAATTTAGAGCTAAAAAATATATATATATAGATAAAAACATGCAATATGAATCTTCTATTAATCTAACTTATTAATATTTCGTATAAGTAAATCAGTATCTTTTAATTTATCATTTATTTGTTGTTGTTTTTCATTTAATTGTGCTTGTTCTCGTTGAAGACTATCTAAGTCTTGTTTATTACTTAAAGAATCATAACGTTGAGTTTGTTTAATCCATTCAAACATTGATTCAATACGTTCACGAAAATCTTTTTGTTGTCGATTTTGTTGTTCATATTCCTTTAATAAGAAAATAAGAAAATTAATTTGTAATTCAAAAATTTATTCTTTTCTTTTTTTATTTACTTCTTGTTTTCGTATAACATTTGTTTTCATTTGTTCAATTGTTTCAATTAATTTTTGTATTGCTATTGTTACTATTTGGGTTATTTGTGGATACTCATGTGTAAGATTCATAAGAATTTGTTTTCGTTTATCTAATTCAATTTGTACATCATGAAAACGTTGTAATTTTTCTTCAATAGCTAATGATGGTTCAGAAAGTGATTCAATTGTTCGATGTGTATTATTAATCCATTGTTCATAAAAAATATATTGTTTATTAAATTCATTTAATTGAAAATGAACTTTTTGACTTGTATCAAGACGTTGTTCAAGATTGTCACGTTGTACTGTTAAATCTTTTATAAGTCGATCAATATCATTGAGCTAAAATTAGAATTAAACAATTTTAAATATATAACTTTTATTTTCAGCATATAACGGAGCGGACAATAGATAAATGAATTCAGTTTAATACAACAAAGTCGTCAAAAGTTGTCTCAGTATAGAGAGATAGTATACAGTAAGATGCAAAACTCAACTTTCTAGAAGATACGATGCGATCTATATTGACGATTGTAGCAAGACAATAATTTCGAGCACTAAAGTTGAGTGACGAACGAGGGGGAAACAACAGAGACTTCTTGCATGAAGTCTCACGAAGTCTTTTGAAGCCTTTGAAATCTGTGAAGTTCATTGAAGTCTATCGAAGTCGTCTGAGATCGGTTGAAGTCTTTCAAAGGCTTTAAAATCTTGAGGTCTACTGTTTCCCCTAGGTGATGAAGCAGTATCTGCAGAGAAGTCCTCCAAAACAATTGACTGATCGTCGAATAGTATCGACGTCAATCGATCTTCGGTTGATCTAGACAGAATTTTGCCCGAGGAATAGACAGAATCGATTTGACCGTTCTAAATACTTTGGTGAAGTCAATGAAAGCACGAGGATTATCTTTGATTGGCGCAAAGGGCGAGAAGATGAACTATCAGTTGTGATACTTCTGTACCTTGTGACATGTCTTATCTAATTTTTTTTGGTCAAGCTCAAGTTCTTTCTGACTAATATTATTATGAAGTTTATAGTCCTCTAGAAAATAACAAATGATCTGTTCATTTTATCATATAGTTTATAAAAGATTGCAATAAGCATAGTCACAATGTAATAATAGACAAAGATATTACTACGACTTTATTAAATAATAATACCTTTTGTGTTGCTTCTGATATTTTACTAGTTTGAGCAAGTCGATTAAGTCTATTTCTTAATCGTTGTAACTGCTCAAAATTTGTTTGATAATCCATTAATATTGTTTTAGCTTTTGGAATAAGTTGATTATATATTTCAACATTTTTTCCATTTGCTAATTCATGTGTTATATCTTTCGTTTGTCTTAACCAACGTTCACATGTAGAATTAATTTCTATATATTGTTGATTAATACTATTCATTTCATTCGTTTCTTCTTGTTTAGTTGTTAAATCTTGTTCAAGTTCAGTCCATCTACGTGTTAATTCACTAACATGACGTCGTACACGTTCACGTTCATTTGGATCTGTTAATTGTGGTATTAATGATGATGAAATTGTTTGTAATCGATCAATTTTTGCATGATGAGTTTGCATTTCAATTGTTAAATCCTAAAAAAAATTAAATTTTTTATTTTAGTTATTTCATCTAGCTATTTACTTGAGTATGTGATTGACGAATTTTTGTTTCGACAATTTGAATATTTTTCGATATATTATCTATACAAGTTTCATAATCATTTCGTAAGATATTAAAATCATTTAATTCAGATAATTTTTCATTTAAACGAACTTTCATATCTTCCATATCTTCATAAACACGAGAAATCATTTTATCTAAATCATCTGATAAATTTCGAAAAGCATGTTTATAATCATTAACCGATTGTTCAAATGAATCAAAATTATGTATTAAATCTTCATTAAGTTTCTAGAATAAAAATAAAAGAATTTTAATAAGAGAAAAAACAATACTATTTAACGAACTTTTCGTTTTTGATCAGCTTCACCATTTAATGTCGGATGAATTTCAATGAGTTGTAATTTTGTACGTTGGAGAACTGCGGATATTGTTCGAGTATTTTGTCGTAATTTTTCTTGTTCTTGAACTTGATGATCAAGATTTTCAATTGTTCTTGTTGTTTCATTTTTTAAACTATAAAAATAAAATTTAAGGTCAAAAGAACAAAATTTTTCTAATTTACCTTTGAAAATCATGTAAAGCATCTTCATGTTTTTTTTCTAATATACGAATCGTATGTTGATCATATCTTCTTTCAAATAATGCTGTAATAAGATCATCAACTTCAGATAATAATGAACTTTCTAAATCAACATCTTTCAAAAAAGTTTTGATTTCAACCGATCGTGTTGCTAAATCAACACTTCCATATCCACTATCACTACTTTGATGTAATTCTTGTCGTTTTCTACTTGTAAACGTTTTTAATTTATTTAATGTTCGTTCAATACGTTCACGAAGTGATTCATTTTCCTAATCAAAGAAAAAGAGAGAGAAATTTCTCTTTGTTTTTGTTTAAAATAAAATCTTACTTCTTGAACACGTTTTCCTCGATCAAGATTTTCACGAACAATATCGAGTGCATTCGCTAATTCTTTTAATTCACGATCAATATCCGTTGAACTTGATACATCTAACGATTTCTTTAAATCACGTCCAAGATATTGTAAAGCAGAAAATGTTGAATCCATTTCTAATACAAGATTTTCGGCAGTCTAGAAACAAAATGGAAAATAAAATCATTATTCAATAGAAATTTTAATTTTTACGTCAGGTGATTTTTCAATCATTTGTAAAAGACGATCTGTATCAGATTGTAAATGAACAATACTTGAATTAAATCGAATAGATTTTTGACGAATTTCATCGAGTTCATTACGACGTTGATGAATACGAGATTCTTAAAAACAAGAAATATTGTTTTCGTTTTATTTAATCAAACAAATTTTTACCAAGATCTTCAATTATTTGATGAAAATTTTTAAGTTGAGTATCACTTAAATCTTTTGCATTACTACGTAAATGTAATCGAAATGTTTCAATTAATTTATGTCCTTCAACCAAACGATAATTTTGATCGGAACAAATCTCTTCAAGAATCTAAACAAATCAAATGGAATAAAATGAAATTTTATAAAAATGAATATACATTTAATTCTCGTTCATATTCATCAAGACGATTACGATCATAACCATCAGTAAATGATGCTAATTTATAATCAGCTTCACTACAAAATAAGAAATACAAATAAATTTCAATGAATTTTTTTCTCTCATACGCGACAACTGTTTTAACTTCATTAGTTAATTGAAAATATTGACTCATATGTTGATGAATATCTTCAAGAGTATTTCGTTGTTTATTAAGATAATTCTATATATAGATGAAAATATTGTTGAATTGAATTTTTAAAAATTAATTTCTTACATTCACTTTATGTTTAAGTTCATCAACTATATCTAATCGTTCACGAATTTCTCCATCATTTGAATGAATTATATTTGGTTCATCACGAAGAAATTGATCAATTCGAGCTAAACGTTGATCAATTGAAGGCGACAGTTGCTAAAATATTAAATCGCTTTTTTATTTATCATATTCAAACAAGGGCGAAACTAGAGGAAAGTGTACAGATGCCCGTGCACTCCTCTTGACCAAAAGATATCTGAAGGGAGACACCAGTCAACGTTGCCAGATCTGCCGATTTTTCATAGAAAAATTCCGGATTTTAGATGATTTTTATTGAATCAAATTTTATTTATTTATTAAAACCAGAACTATTGAAACTTATTCATTCTAGTCAAAAGTATTCTATTAAAAAACAACGTATTAAGTAATAGTAGAGTTTATAATTTATCACTCCTTATATATTCAGTTTATTATATTTTGAATTTTGATGTTGATTTTCTTTTCGTATATTGAAATATGTGTTTTTTGAGATAATAAATGACATAATTGAGAACAAGATTTATAGAACCTTATTTTAGCTAGGAAAAATTAACTATTTAAAACTTTTTCGGACTTAACAAAAAAAGAGCTTCCGGAATTTTCCGGATTTTGACATTGAAATTTAGGTTTTCTGACTATGACATCTGGCACTGGAAAAAAACCTTACCACAAGACAAGAACTATTTTCCTGTTGGTGTGCACCCTCGATGCAAAATTCCTGGCTACCTCCTTGTATTCAAATAGAATAACTTACATTAATTGATTCTTGATGTTCATTAACATGTGTTAATGATAAATTAAGTTCTAAAGGTTGACCTAAATCATGAATAAGTCTTCGAAACCATTCAATAATAGATATTAAATCTTCATTTAATTTATGTTGTGTTTTCATCATATATTCATGTTCATCACGTTCTTGTTGACAAGTTTTAAATAATGATTTCAGATGTTCTTGACGACGTTCAATCGTACGTTTCATTTGTTCATATTGTGTAGATGAAATATCATTAACAAGTCGATCACCAATATGAATTAATTTATTTAAATCTTGTTCAGATTGTTGTAAATGATCGATAATTGTCTAGATGAAAAAAATTAATTAATTAAAATTTTCAAAGAACAAAATTAAACCTGATAAGTATTTCCTTTATCTTGATGATATTGAGATGATTTTAATTGTTCAGTTGATACTTGTAAATTTGCATCAATTTCATTTTCTAAATGATGAAAATCATTTTCTGTTTGAATAATTCTTTCAATTCGTTCGATTTCATTATGAATTTGTTCGTCCAAATTTTTTAAATTGCTATTTAATTCATTTCCAGAACGAACTTCAATACGATGTCCTTTACTAATTAATAAACGTTGTAAACGTATTAATTCTTTTAAATTATTATTTGTTTCATCAAAATGTTTTAATAATTGTTTAAATTGTTCTAAACGTCGATCATTCGATGGATAATTACTATCATTTGGTGATTGATTTTTATATTTATTAAATTCATTTTGTAATTGTTGATAAAGTTCTTGAACATGTTCATTTTGTTGATCAAATTCATTTCTTTCATCTTACAAAAGAAAAAAAGTTTAAATTTAATTTTGATTCCATTTTTCAACTTACGACTTGCTTCATCAAGTAAAGAAACACGTTGAGTTAAATTATCTAATAAACGATTATATTTATCCTTAAGTATTGTATATTTTTCATCGAATGTTATTCGATCGGTATCGTTCAATGTTACTGCAACAATTGTATGAGAACGTGCTAAATCTTCAAATTCATGTCGACGATCTCTGGTTAATTGTAATAAAGACTAAAACATAACACATAACTATAGTAAACAATAACTTCTAATATCTCAGATTTATAGACAAAATCTTCTACCAGATCGAAATTCATTCGATTAGATATGAATGTTAAATTTTCAACTGTCCTGAATAGTACATAGAGATGCTATTCATTAATGCAGTAAGTGCAAGAGAAGTACGAGTGAAGTACATGGGAGTATCATGAGAGCACAAAGGAAGTACAAACTTTGTACTCCTCTTATACTTCCATCGTACGTCCCTCGTACCGTAATTAGGATCTAGAGAACTCTGACGAATCCTTTGGGTTCTGGTGAACAGTGGATAAACAAATATAGATTCCTTCTGACAGAGGCGTACCGAGGATGGGATATGACGCCCCCCTTTTTTTTTAGATTTTACGGTGACAACAGCAAAAATATGACCTATGTTCACTGTACGCTCCACCTACTTTCGGCACCTCGGTACGCCCCTGCCTTTTCAAGCGATAAGAAAACAAATGCTTTGCAAAAGTCATGTAATTCTCTTTGAAGAAGAGTGTGATTATTATAAAATAAACCATACACTGTTTATTTTGTAATAAAATATCTATTCTTACTTGTATAGTTTTCGATTTATCTTTAAGAATATTAACTGATTGTTGAAGATCATTTGTAAATGGATCTTTAACTTGTTGTTCTGTACTTTTAATCCATTCATTAAGTTTATTTGTAATACGATCATAATCTCGTCGTTCTTCATTTGCATTTTGTAATTGTTGATAATGTTCATTATATATTTCTTCCAAATGAGTTAATTTACGAAGTAAATCTAAGAAAATTTCAAGTTAAATAAAAAATTATAGTTTTTTTTCAAACAACGAACCATCTGTATGATAATTATAGTCATGTTGATCTTCATAATAATAACCTTGTTTTATTTCTTCATTTAAACTAATAATACGATCAAGAGAAGCTCGTTGTTGTTTTATTTCAACTAATGTATCCTAACCAGAAAAAAACAAAAATCAGTTGATATTTTTTATAAGAAAAAGATATTAATTATTATACACTATATTTCTTTTGTACTCGTTCGATTTCATTTGTTTTCAATGGAATTGTTAGATCTGAAGATATCAAACGTTGTTTATCATCATACCAAGTAATAAAACGTTCAGTTATCTGATCTAATTCTTGACATTGATGAATTAATGTTGTTAAATGTTCTTGACGTTTTTCTATTTGTTGTTGTAATTGTTCTAATTCAACCTTAATATACATATATGATAATTCATTATTAAGAAATAAAAATAGAAAATAATATACTTCAATTTTATTTAAAACTGTTTCTGATTGTTGTCGTTCATGGACAGTAAAATCTGATGATAGAGTTTTATATTTATTACGTAATGCATGGAAATGTGCATCTTCACCTTGAACCTCTCGATTGAGAGTCTAAATATTGAAAATATTAAAAAAATTATTGAATATAATCATCGATGTTCGAATTATATCATTCTTTGTCCGTTGATCATGTGTACAATGTGCAGAAATATGATTAGACGTAGAAATTTTACTATAAGCATGTGATTAGTATGAATATACAGTTTTAAAAGCAAGCTAAAGCCTATGTAATATCTCTTATAAAATCGATTTATTAGTTTCTAAAATAGCAAAGAAAAAAAGATTAGCATTAGCGATAAAACTAAATATAGAAAATAATTTAGATAGTATTGGGAGATGTATAGTGAACTCAAACTCAAATTCAAAGTTCCGAGATACAGGAGCCTACATTCGACTTCGAGTATTGCAGAATATTGTGAAGACTTTTCCTTGTAATATCTCTGATCATTTTTCTAAATTTTGTGTAGTATTTTCATACTTAATATGTTTCTATAGAATAAAATCATCGCATAATAATACTTACTTTGTTTGTTTCTTCTATACTTGTAATTCAAAACAATTTCAATATTCTGATAGTTTCATCATATCATTTTTAACGTTTGCTTAAAACCATTTCAGTACGAATGAACATTGTCCGTAGTTGATCTTGTGTTAGTATATTAAACAAAAGCTTAGAAGAAGAGTGTATTGCAAGATAATCAGATATGAATTAGTAGAAATAAAAATATAAAAAAGATGTAGCAAGTAATAGGTTTGTGTTATATTTTCGATAGTATTACATATGTGAATAATATTGAGAATATATGTACACATGCAAAGGACATAGAATGTTCAGATAATTAATAAAAACTTTCATTTTAACATGAAATTCGATATAAAGAATCAATTTATCTCGTGTACCTTAATAACAACCATTAAATCTTCAATATCACGTATAGAATAGCCAGCCAAATTAGCTGAACGAAAATTATTATTAATAGCATTTATACGATCAAGTAAATTATCATGAGTTTGAGTAAAATCTTCTAGTAATCGATCCAGTTCTTGAGCTTGAATACGACGTTGAGCAAGCTATAAAAGATAAATGCAAAAAATATTTCTCTTAATTTTTATATTTCAAAAACAAAGTTTCGATATTCATCTTTCTTACTTTAAACACAATACGAACTTAGAAACTCTAAGATGAATTTATAGGCAACGGAACAATTTCACTCTAGGACAGGCTCAATATTGCCAATGCATCACTCCGGATAGCGAATACAGTTAATCGTTTAATCTCGTAGACCTAATTTTTCTTTCTCTATATTTAGACTATGATTTGTCTTTTGTCTGTAACTTTGAAAAACAAACAACTCGATACTAATAGTAGAGAAGATGTACACTAATCTTGTAACAATGCAACATCTATCAGAGCACGGAAACTAGACAATAATAAAAAAAACTCCATTAAATCGAGTCTACCAGGCTTAATGTCTCCCCCTCCTATATCAGAATCTAATGAATATACCAATGTAAATAGGTGAATTAGTATCCGAATTTAACAATATCAGATGGTGTTTAAGAATTTTGAAAATATTAAACATACTTTATTATCAATTGTATCAACAAGATTTTGTATTGTTCGACATTCAATAGCAAAATAAATATGTCTATTTGATGCTGAATCAATTATTGTTGTATTACTTTCTTCCATTAAATGATCAAGTATAGTACTATCAGATTGTACAGTATGTAAATCATCAACAAAATGTTCAAGTTGAGATTTTATTAAATCAATATCATCTATTTTCATATGTTGATTTTGTTGAAGTTCATCATTAATTTGTTGTAATTTTAGACGAATATCTGATGAATATTTTGTATGATCATCATAATGTTTTAATAATCCAAGACGTTTTTGTAAAATAGTTTCGTAACTAAATAAACAAAATATTTTTTAATTATCACAAAAAAAACTTCGTATCTATTTTTTACTTATTTAATCGTTGTCGATAAGTTTCAAATGTATTTTTCATAGGTTGTAAATCAATTTTTGAAACACCAGAATGTTCAAATTCAATTAATTCTTCTTCTATTCCAGAAACTATTGGTTGAATTTTTTGAAATTGTTTTTCTAATTGTTGTAATCGTTGAAATGTTTGGCTCCATGTTGATGTTTGAATCTGGGCATTATTTTCAATTTGTTCAGCAATATCATGAATACTACGTTCGAATATTTCAAAACGATTAAGAAAAGATTTACGTGATTCATATAAACGTTCACATTCACGTAACTAAAAATAAAAATAAAATTATTTAAGAGATAATTATCCTTCTTGTTTTTGTTTTTACTTTATCAGTTGTTAATCGATTAATTTCATGCCAACGAGTTTCAATTGACATTTGTTCTTCATGAAGAATTCGTTGACCTTCTACTGAACTATATTGTCTTAATTCATTTAATTGTTTATGAAATCGATTATAATTTGATGTATGATTATGAATATTTTCATCTAATGCCTTAAAAATAAAGATTTCTTTTGTTTTTTATTTTAAATAAAAAAATATTTCAATTACTCGAAGTTCATTAAGTAAATTATTAACATCAAATAATTTATTAATATCAGTTGAATTAATTTTATTAACACGTTGTTCAAGTTCTAATAGAATTTGATCACGAAATGAGTTTAATTCGGATTCAAATAATAACCATGAAGAATATTGTTTATCATATTTTGGAGTTAATTCATCAGATCTTCGAATTATTTCATTCCAACGTGTTGATAAAGATTTTATTGTAGATTTTACTTCAAATTGATCATGCATATTATGTTCTTCATTTATTAAATTATTATATAGAGATAACATACGACGACGTTCTTCAAGAAAATCCTTCGAAAATAATAAAAGATTAAATAGGGAATTTATATGTATATATTATATATATATTACTTTATGTTTATCATGTAATTGTTTAGCTTCACCTAAATTTAAAGCACCAATTTGATCAAGACGTTTTGTAAGATAATTTTCTGCTTGTTCAATCCATGGTAGTAATTGATCCATATAACGTTGTGCTGCTTGAACATGTGTTCGGCATTCAGCTAATTGTTCTTCTTCTCGATTGACTTTTGTAGATGTTGTATCAGCTAATGTACATAATTGTGCTAGACGATTTAATGCATGTGGTAAATCTTTTGGACGAAATTGAAGGGATTCAAGATTTAAACCATCTGAATGTAAAGCTGATAATGAATGTAAATGTTCACCGAGTTCAGCACGTATACGCTAATAAAAATAAAAAAAATATTAATCAATAGATTGATTAGTAACTATTCAAGGTTATCGAAGATGTTTTCAGCAATACTCGTATGGGCGAAAATACATCCTATTCTGCAATGTTGAACATTGCAGGTACTCAATCATCAAAAGATATAGGCGATCTCTTCGACATTGATCTAACTCTTAGAATTAGACGGAACGGATTCCACATGCAAGACTATTCCCGCAATGTCCAGCATTACGGAATAGGATGAGTGCTCGTACATACAATGTCAATGACGTGCATGGTACGTCAAAAAGTAGGTATAAAGGAGCCTTACTTCTAAGATTTGTTGTTTTTCTTCTAGTGGCCGTTCTCCAAACATATTTGCATCAAACATTGATCCAATTTCTCTAAATAAAATTTCTAAACGTTTTAATTCATCATTAAAATGTATCCATTTCTCATTATCATGTATTAAATCTTGTAATAATTCACTAGCTAATCGAGATTTTTCAATTAATTCTTCAACCATATTATCATATTCATTTTTAAGTTTTTGAATATTTTCGTATGGTAATAAATTATTTGATGTTAATATTTGAAGATATTGAGCATTTTCATCAAGAATTTTTTTTATATCAATATATGCCGCATGAAGACGCTAGAAAATAATTTAAGAGAGAGAAAAAATCAAATCTTAATGATTCTTTTGTTATTTTCTGCTTACTTTGCAATTCTCAATTTCATGTTCAAATGATGCAATAGAATTTCGATTTGAATTTATTTGTGAAAGTTCAGCATTTAATCGTTCAGTTTGCTGTTGATAACGACGTTTATTTGCATCGAAACGTTCCCAAAGTTCTAATATACGCTAGAAATAAAGAAAATTTCAAATTATTTCAATGTTATTTTTTTGTTGTTGTTTTTAATTACTTTAAGTTTTTCTAAAAAGTCATGTGCTGATTGAACTTTTTCATGATACAATTTTTGTAAATTTTGTACATCTTGTTGAACATATTTAGGTGCCATTGGTTGTTTTGATAATTCATTTGCTTGTGTAATCAGGTCAGTTATTTGTTGTGAAAAACTTTCTAAAATTTCACAAACTTTTATTTGACCTTGTACAGCTGTACGAACATCAGGTAAATCACGAAAATTTATTGGTGCATTAGATATAGTTGTTAATGAATTCGTTAATTGTTGACTATTTTCATGAATTAATTTTGCTGGTATAATTATAGTACAACGTTGTGATGTTTCATCAATCGAAGAAAGTATTTGTTTATAACGTGCATGAAGCGTATTAAAACGTTGACGATAATGAGATGGATCATCGGTTGCTTGTTCTTCGATTAATTCATTTATGAGAGATGATAAAACTCTAACATCATGAGAAACTGTATCAATATGTTCAATGGCAGTCTAAAAAATAAATGCAATTATCATTCAGATAAAATACATTCAAATCGGTTTTGCAGAAGACAAGAGTATCTTGAGGATGTGGCTATTCTATCTATTCTCTATAACCATCTTTATCCGTACTCACACTCTGTTAATAGTCTTAGTAAAATTTTCGAACCTTAAATTTATTAACAATGGTTTTATATTGTTCAAATGAAGCATCAACATTTTGTGTATCATTCATTAATCGTTCAATACCATCTATCCATGTTTCAACTAGTTGAAATCTAAATATAATAATTTTAGTTTTTAAATTATTATTTGATTAAAAAAAAAGAATATACTTTTCTTCAAATTCTTGTCGTTGTTTCGGTATTGTTTGAATTTTTCTTTTAACATTATCAATTCTTGCTTGCATACGTGTCCAATAATCATTTAATTTCGTTGTACGTTCCTCAATATGATCAATATCTTGCTTTGAACTTGTTTTTTTATCATTTAAACGAATATCATTTGCAAATGCATGTAAATTTCTAATATGTCCTTCCATTGTTGGTAGAAAATTATTTAATTGAAAACGTTCATTATGACGTCGTAAAATTTCAGCTGTATCAAGTTGTTTTTCTAATTGTTTAAGTTCTTCATTAAGTTCATCTTCAGCTTGTTTTAATTCTTTAATAATTATACTTTCTAAACGTCCATATTGTAAACGTAATAAACGTATTGGAGCATGACAAACAATTGTATTCCATCTTGATTCAAGTGTATCCATTAAAAATTGTATTTCTTTTTGTTCATTTTCTTCACGTATATGTGATAGTTCTCTACCTGATTTAATAAAACCATGAAGAATTTCATCATCAACTGTTTGAAAAAAATTCTTATGTTTTTGTATTAAATATGTATAATCCTCATGTTTTTCTGTAACTATATCTTGTGCTTGATCAATCCATTCTTCAAGATGTTTTAAACGTTGATGAAAATCTTTCCATAATTGTGAATGTTGAGTGAATTGTTTTTCCCAATAGGATGTTTGTTGACGAATTTGCTAAGAATTAGAAACAGAAAAAAAAGACTAAGAGAAGGAATATTTTCTTTAGAATATTATACTTCAAATGTATCAGCTAATTGTCTATATTGTTCATCAATAGGTGTGAAATTTACTGCTACAGAATTTTCTGTTGATTTTTTCATTGTTGTTATTAATTTAGCTTTACTATCCAATAATGATTGATAATATTCCATATCAGCAAAAAAATTCTATTAGACATAATTGTAAATAATCATAACTGAACAAAACAAAAATCTTACTCGATGTTGTTCAAGAAAATCTTCAATACGTTTTACAGGTACTTGTAATGTATATTTACTAATAACTTGTTTAGATTCAATAAACCATTGTTGACATTTTTGTAAACCATCATCAAATTTTTGTAAATATCCAAGTAAAATTTTATTTCGTTTTAATATATTTGGTAAATATTCTTTAACATGTTGTAATTTATCGAAACATATTTGTAAAAGTGAATTCATTTCATTTGAAGCATTTGATTCTCCACTTTCACGTGCTATTGTTTGACTTAATTTTGAAAGAACTTGAACAGTTTGATTAAACATATCTAATTCAGCTTGCGCATCCTAAAAAGATTTTATTTTTTAAAATATAAATATTATTTCATAAATTATATTCATTACATAAAGACGATTTTCTTGTGCTTTAAGTGCTTTTACTGTACATAGTAGATGATCTTGCATTTCTCTTTCAATTTTCTCTAATGTATCTAATAATTTAGCACGACCAGCATAAAATTCATCACGTTTCTTCTTTATAGATTCATCATGTTTAAATTGATGAACTGATTCAGTAACTTCTTTCCATCGCCGATTAATATATAATAATTTATTCTGTAGAAATCGAGCATATTCATCATTACATACTGTTATTAAATATTCAATTGCTAAATATAATTTTTCATGAATTTGTGACCAATGTTCAGTATTAGCAAAATAATTCTATAGAATAAATACAAAAAAAAAATAAGACTAATAATGTACTGTTCTATTATTTGATGTTCAATATTTTATATTTATCATGGCTTTTAAAACTTAGATCTTTTACAGATACTCTGCAACATACATTTTTCAACAGAAGAATATTAATTGAAAATTTAACTTGAAAGTTTTTACTTATGATGTCACCTTCGTATTGAAAAGACATGTTTAGTCGCTAAACTGTTTCGTTATCTTAAATATTTCTAAAATATCAATTTTTATTCATGTAATTTCAGAAAAATCGCTTCTTTTTTTTTCAACATCATTATCCGTAAAATAAAATGCGACAATGCATATAATAATAAAAATAAATAACAACTATGTATCAACAATTTATTTCTTTTCTTCTCTTTCTATTTATTATCTGAAGCCTTACTTATAAAAAATACAAATTGTCATAAAAGCAATTTATTGACCTATTTTGTTTCAAGGATAAAGTCATTTGTATACTTACCAATTTTTCATCAGATGTTCCTCCAAGAATAGCTTCACCATCATTTAACCATTTTTCTAATGAATCATATGAACTATGAAAGATTTTCCAATTATTTATTGTTTCTTGTAACAAATGTTCTTTTGATTTAAGATCAATAGTACCACTTTTAATTGTTTTACGAATATCATCACAATATTTATTATATTCTTTTGATTTTTCCTCATCTTTTTATATAACAAAAAAAAAAGAACAAGAAAAAGTAATTATGTATTTATAGAAATCATATATAAAATCAAACCTTTGTTTTTTAATTGACTATAAGTTTGTGCTTTACGAGTTAATTCATTTGAAAGATTTTCAATATTTGTAAGAAGTTTTTCTTCATACATTTTTTGCTAAAAATTCCAAAATTCGTTTTTTTAAAGTATTCTGAAAAATATCTCACTTTATATTCATTATATAATATTTCTGTTTGATTTAAATCTCCTTGTTTTTGATTTAATTTTGTCGTAAAAGTTTTTAATTGACTAAATAATATTTGTGTTTTCCAATAAATGCCTTCAAAATCTAAATAACATTCATATTCTTCATAAGTATTCAATATTGTATTAAGACGTTCATTTAAATTTGTTAAATGTTCAAATGCAATGTCTCTATCGACAATTGATTGGTCACGTTTAACATGTTGAAACATTGTTACAATATTATCTTTCTCATTAAAAATTGCCTTTATTAAAAAAAGAAAATATTTAATAATTTTGGTTTTTCTTCTTCAAAATAAAATATTTACAGTATATTCTTGATTCAGTTGATTAAAACGTTGAATATTTTCTTCTGCTGATAATTGTAATGGTTCAAAATTCATACCTCTTGTTAAAACTTCTTCAGCTGTATTAATCCAATCAGCTATTTGTTTTAATTCACCTGGAAGATTTGTATCTAATTTATGTCTCCATCGATCCATTCTTGAGAAAAAAAAAATAACATAAATAAATTTTCTATAATAATTATTTCAAATATCATTTACCTTAATGTAATATCACTAAATAAATCTTCTAATTCTTGTAATTTTTCACCGGGAAAATGTGAAGATTTCGATTCTTTACGTTCGAATGTTTTCCATTGCTTTTGTTTTTCAATAAATTCTTTTAATTCTTTAATATATTCCTGTATATAGACGTATATAAAGAAATATTTTTTATAAATGTTTAATGTTAAATAACTCTTTTCATTTATTATTACATCACACATTCGTTTTTTGATTAATAAAATAAAAAAGACAAACATCAAATCAATAGTTACCTTGTATTCAGCTCGAATGTCGATGATGGGTGCTTCAATAACAAGCATTAGACGTTGTCGAGTGTCTACTAACCATCGAAGAAGTTCACCATGTTCTTTATTTATTGAACCAAATGGCTGAATATGAAGAACGCGAAAAGAAATTAAAAACTGAACATATATGATGTATATGCTCTCTTACCACATCAGGAAATCGACGAGAGAATTGACCGACATAGGTCATAATTGATTTTTCATCCGGTTTATTTACATCCACATCTATGTAGAAAAAATATTCATTCGATAATATTAAAAATTATGTTTTCTTTTCTATGAACAAACCTTCAGCATCCATTAAACGTGGTACACCAAGATGTTCTTGAGCAACAGTAAATGCATTTTCTAATCTGTCTCGAACATCGAGTTGTTCAACATAATTTAAATCAACTAAATCAGGACGAATTCCATGAACTAATGCATTGAAAGCAAGACCATCACGCCAACTTGATGTAAAATCTCGTACATCTAAACTATCAGCTTGTCTAATAAAGAAAAAAGAAAGAGCTTTTTTAGAAATATTGAACAATAGATATGTTTCAAATAGAAAAAGAAGAAGTATCTCTAATGAATATAACATGCTCATGCATATCTCACCGATGTTTTTCAGCTAATGAATAATATCTAAATTTGATTATTTAGTAAAATATTCATAAAAATAATGATAATTCTTCACTAAAATAGATTAAATCCAACATACCCTGTTTTTTTTCGAACCCATTCAAGAAGATGTTCTTTTGGTTTTCCACGATTTTCCTTCGAATTATCATCCAACATATTTGAATCTTCAATCTATAAAATTAAACATATTTTATTAATTTTCAATGGCCTTAACAACGTGTGTCTGTGAACAAGAGTTTTATTTTGATTTCATACAGAAATCCACTTCAGAATCAATGACAATTGCTTTCAAAATAAATCAGATTATAACGAAAGAAATTATTAGTTTTATCTTTATTAGAATAAAATAAATAATAATAGTTTCACTTTGAAGATACTTCATATTCACTTTGAAAATCGATCAAGATCGAAGGACTTTCTTTCTTCTTTATAATCAAGAAAAAATAAACTTCGATTCTCTACTTCTTATTTAATAATATTCGAATTTCATTTACTTAATCAATCGATCATCAAGCACATTTTACTATTTTTTTATTTCATTATCAAGGTTGTTCTCCTCAGTTGTTTTGGTGTAAAAAACGAAACAAACTTTTTAAGTAATCATTGAAGGTCAAGAGATTACCTAAATATATTTTTTTGCCTGAAACAAGATGTTATTAACGACTGCCTGTATAGTTCTTTGAGGACACAATTAAACTTATTCTTACTCTTCTAAACAATCGAATTGTAAGATCTAATGAATATCTTGTACTACATAGTTCCATATGGCTTCTTACTGTTCTTATAGGATATCATTATGTAAATAATCACACAACAGGCGAAGCTTTCTGACAATACGAGATATGACTAAATTTAGAGGTATATTTTAAAAACAGAAAAACAACGGTCCAGATAATATTTAGTATTCTTTCTCTCTCTCTCAGATTATACTTATTTCTTTTTCAAACGTATGATGAAATATCCCACACTTCTTTACTCCTGTTTAACACATTCTTATATTCATTGTAATATGAAACGTTATATAGACTGAACTTGATAAAATTGACTCTCTAATTCTATTTATTTAGTAGGTTTAAATTTCAATCAACAATACATATGTTATACAAACATACATATTACGTGTCTCATTTAAATTTTACCTGATAATGAAGAATTAACATCCATATTAAACCTAAAATCTGCATTGGTTTTCCATCGACTACATCAATTGGACGTATATTGACTAGTTTAATCTTTAGAAAAAGAAAAAAAAAAGAAAAAAATATAATCAATATTATTATTTGTTTACTTTTCGACTTTCAAGATATTTTAATGCATTGTCTACATTACTAAGACAGTGAGCTCGTTTGTTGCCTCTTTCCACTGGCTAAAATAATCAAATTTTTATTATTCAAGTTTATTTATTTTTTGCTACATCGAAACTAACTAATGTTTGTCCTGAAAGAGTTTCGATTAAAGCAATAAGTTTTGTTCCATCGTTAAAATCCTCGAATAAATCCTCGATACGATATGGTGGTTCATGTAATGATAAATAACTATTAACCCAATTTGTAAATGTCTTCTTTTGAATACGTTCTTGTTCATCTAATAAAATAAAATATTAGAAAAAAAAAATGAAAGTAAAATTTAGGATAAAAAAAAATCATCGCTTTTTCTTTATTCAGTTATTAACCTGGTTGAAATGAAGTCGAAATAAGACTTCCAGTAAGTGATGTTTGCCTGTTAAGACAATGATATGATCTTGGATCAGTACAGCAAGATTTTTTAAATTTTTTCTTCAACATATTTTATTTAACAAATAAGAAGAAAAGAAAAACGTCGATATGATTACAAGGTTTTTTATTTGAAACAATGGAACAGATGCGCGCGTCTGTCGAACATATCTCTAATCAACCACAAACATTCGTTTTCTTCTTTTTTTTTCTTTTTGCAAAAAGATGAAGTAAAAAAACAGTTGATATATCTTACTTTGAAGTGAAGTAATACTGTCTTCCAATTGACTACCAGCAGAACGTGATCGAGGACTAATAGCAGTTGTATTTGGTAGATAAGGTGATAAACGAGAAGCAGTTGGTGATAAACATGATCTAATTGGACTGCTCATATTCGTTCTAATGAATTATTAATCTTTAAAAATAAAAATGAAAGCAAAACGTTTTTTTTTTGATCATCTCTATTTTATATAAATGTACAACATCTGTATGTGAAAAAGAACAACAGAGTGAAAAGAGCTGTTGTTTAACCACATATTTATTTTGTTTACCACAAACGTTTCGATTCAAGGTGTATTGATGAAAAAATGAACAACTTTCCTTTACTCTCTGTGTTATGTCTGATTTTTTATATAAGTAGTTAAAGAAGAAAAAAAATCAACGATTGACTTTCAAGGGGGCATGTGTGCATTGAGGTAGAGTGTAAAATTAAAACAGCATGGTTATGATTTGGCTTCTTCATTAGTCGAAATATGAAATCTATACTGATTATATTTATATAAATGATGATATACAATACATCAAAGATTATTATTGAACTTTCTATCTTCGTCTCATATTTTATTTTTCATTGTCGTCAGCAATTCTAACATATGTCTTTCTTTTAAGTACAAAACTATTTAAATCTTTGATCTATTTTGAAAATTAAATAATAAAAAATTTTTTTTGTTCTATTTCCTGTCTGTATCTATACATGTCTACTTACCTTTGTGGTATAAAATTTCGTTTTTATTTCATTTCATCTGCAACTACCAAAAGTAAAACACTTCACAGTTCAAGTATACGCATGTGGATTTTAAATGTTGTATCTCTCTCTCTCTCTCTCGCTTACTTTTTTGCTTATTCATAACCATGATAATATAAGAAGAAAAATAATTCATTGACAATGCAAACGAAAATTCTAGTTAAAAGCATTCATATAAATATTTTTTTCTATTCTCTATGAAAAATGTAAAAAAAAATTATTATTAAGTTTTCAGCTATTTCAATAGAATTTTTTTCTTATATATATATATATATTCTATTAGAACATAAGAGAAATAGTAATGATTTCTTCGAGCAAGAAATGAAATTTTCAAATGAAAACTATACAACTTCGATCTAGCCTTGAAAATAAATAAAAATTTATTTCAAAAACTACTCATAACAAAAAAAAGAAGAAAAGAAAAGAAGAAAAAGAAGTAAATTCCATTGAAATTAATCATAAAATTAACAGATTTTTATATAGACAAAAAAAAAGAATTATAATGCTTTTAGGTTTTTGATAAAAGAGACACTTCAAAACGTGTCTTGCTAACATTGAACACTTGTTTTAATGATTAGAAGTATCGACAAATTATAGTAGAAGAATTTTAATAAAGACTAAAACGAAGTAAGCAAGGTTTTTTAAGTAAATTTCAGAGAGTTTTCACTATATGTAAGAATAATAAAATTAATAGCGTTATGTTGTAATTTACATGAATGTTCATCCGAAAGGTATATAGACCGCATGGTGTGATCTTTGAATAAAGCGAATAAGCACGTTTAATGATGACTATGAACATCCGACTTAACGAAGGTATATTTTCAAGTGTAATACAACCTGATATAGAATTACAAACGAATTTTTATGAAACATAAAATGATATATACTTAACACTGATGGCAATTGTTTTTCTTAGAGTTATTGTAAAAGAAAAAGAATAGAATTTTTAAATCTTTCTACTTGTTGTATTAATGATCAATATTAATACATGTAATCTATGACTTATAACTTCTATTATTTTATTCAAGTTATTTATTTAGATGTAGTCTATAGCAAATATTCAAGTGAAGTTATTTGATCTTGTGTGAGTAATATGATATTAAAGGTTGTAGTTTATACAATGTTGATTTTAATTGGCAACAATATATATCGAGATCTATTTGTTAGTTTAATATGTACTAATTGTTAGTCTACAAAGACAAAAGAAATTGTTCTGATTACTGTCTACAATACTTTCAATGATATTTCTCGAAAGGAAACATAAATTTTTAAAAATTTCTGTATATTTTTTAAATAAATTACTTGTAAATCAGTAAATAAAGTAGAATCATTCATAGCTATTTAATATATTATTATAAATTCTTTTTTTTTCTACTATAAAAGATAAAAATGATTCAGACGATATGTCGTATTTTTATATAGAATCTACCGAACGAACTTCTTCTTTTCACCTGTAATCAAATTGAAAATTATAATAGCGAATAATATGGTATCCATTTCAAGTTTTCTTGCAAATAGTATCGCTTGTCATGTGTTTTTTTCGATACATATACGAGACGAATAAGTAAACAGAATGACAAGAATATTAAGTACATAAATATTGAGTAAGGTAAATATAGATTAATCATATGATGTCTTGCGTATTTTTAGAAATAGAAATTACGATATAGAACTTTAGTCAACGACGTCATATTTATCAATCATGTTATTGAAAATCTCTTTATATATTTTATTCTTTTACGATTATAAATAAAAAGAAAATAACATAAAACAGAAGTCATAAAATAAGAGAATATCTTAAACGATAAACTAACCATAAAACATTAAAGAGGGGTGCTGTTTATGAGAAATTTTCTTATGTTCTCGAATAAACTTAAGATTGAAATAAAAAACAGAAGGTAATATATTATTAAATTTTTTATCTTCATTTTAATATTTAATAATGATCTGTTGTATCTTTTAGTGTTCATATGTAATTTCTAAAGATTTATTGACATATGTACGTTTCTTCTTTTTTTTTATTTTCTTTTAGTCAATTATTGTTCGAAGTCAACTAACGAAGACATGTAGTTGCGCACCAGATGAACTTATGAGTTCTCTTCATTAATAAGAGCAAAAATATATGAAAAAGTATTGATCTTAAATCATCACGTATTGTCAACAAAATAATATTACTTTTATTTTGGGGGTGTACTTTTCAGCACCCCCAGATGATGAAATTATAAAAAAAGAAAAAAAAAGAAATTAACAAAACTGTGATTCAGGATACGGGGGTGCCCTTTTGATTAGTAGTATATATTTCGAGATTTTAATGCAAGGTCTTATATACATATTCAAAAAATGTCCTCTTCTAAATGTGAACACGAACACGAACACGAACATGAACATGAACATGAACATAATCATAATCATAGTCATCATCATGCTAAAAAAGCCTTCTTTCGAACGAAAACGTTTCGTTTATTGGTAATGTTATCTTTAACATTTCTATTTTTTATTGTTGAACTTGTTGTTGGTAATATAACAAAATCGGTTGCACTTGTTGCTGATGCATTTCATATGTTATCTGATGTAATATCACTTATTATTGGAATTGTTGCTGTTAGAATTGTTAAACGTCGATCAAATGCAAATACATATGGTTGGGTACGTGCTGAAGTTGTTGGAGCAAATATTAATACAGTTTTTCTTCTTGCCCTTTGTTTAACAATTGTATTTGATGCTATTATACGTTATATTGAACCTGAACCAATTGAAAATGTTAATTTATTACTTATTGTTGGTTGTATAGGTTTAGGAATTAATATTATTGGTTTATTCTTATTTCAAGGATTTCATGGACATTCTCATGGAGGTCATTCACATGGAGGACATTCACATGGAATTCAAAAACCACAATCTAATGAACATGTTGAAGCAGATGAACAAACTGAAAATTTTAATAGATTTGAAAGACATAGTACACGAGCATTACAAGAGGTAGAATTTTTCAAAATAAAAAAAAAGATCTTTTAAATTTTCTTATCTATTGAATTTAGGTTATTGCTGATTGTGCTAATCAAGTTGCGGAAGATTCATTAGATACAGTTATTGAAATGGATGAAAAGAAAACTAATAAAAAAGAAGAAAAAAAATCGAAGAAAAAAGCATCAATGAATATGCATGGAGTTTTTCTACATGTATTAGCTGATGCACTTGGTTCAGTTGTTGTTATAATAAGTGCATTAATTATAAAATTTGTTCCACATGATCAAAATGATAAAAAACATTGGACAGTTTATATCGATCCAACATTATCAATAATTATTGTTATTATCATAACAATTTCTACTATACCACTTTTTCGAGATACATCATCAATTTTACTGCAAACAATTCCAAAAAATCTTGAAATTCATCGAATTAAAACACAATTATTAGAAACAATTCCTGATATAAGTAGTATTCATGAATTACATATATGGCGTTTAACAGATGAGAAAATTATTGCTAGTGCACATTTACATCGAAAAACTTTAGCAAATTATATGTTAGTTGCTGATAAAGTCAAACAATTTTTTCATTCCATTGGTATACATTCTGTAACAATGCAATATGAATGTGATGATGATTATCATCAAACACCATTATTATATCGAAATACTGATAGTCAATCAAAAATAGCTGGTGATTGTTTACTTCGATGTGATGATAATGCATGTGATACACAGACATGTTGTACAATAGTATCTGTTCGTTCAAATACATTATTAAATAGTAATGATGATAATACTATACAAATATCCTCTATTACTCAACCACAACAAAATAATAACAATAATAATCCGATAGAGACTGAAGTTGTAATGGATGATATATCAGTTGAAAATGAGAAATTCTAAAAAAAAATGTTTTTTTTCTTTTTAGTTTAATAAAATGTAAATAACGATTAAATACTTTTTTGTTGCTATGATTGATATTTCATAAAATAAAAAGTTATCGATCTTAAGCTTGTATTTTTCACTACAGTTCTTTTATTATAATATATATTCAAATCATCTATCTTCTCATTACACACTTCCTATGCATAAACAGGCGCTTGAAAATGATGAATGATTCGAAGATAATAATGTTAATACATTTTTTTTGAAGTTTCACAGTGATATATTCAACGATTGAAGATTGAAATAATAAATATTTTTATTGTTATTCAATCATCTAGATAAGAAAAATATGTAGTCCTCATTGAAAGGGTATGGGTATGATTTCAAAGAAGATAAAGTTACAATAATGCACACGCACACCGACACACCTTCAAAGTTGCCTTGTTTATGCGATTAGTAATCAATTCAGAATTAAGAATAAAGTCGCTTGTCATAAATATATGTTAGTGGTATATCTGTTCTTATGCATGCTCGTCAAACTTCATAAATTACTGTTTTCTTTATCAATTGTTCATTTATTAAACTTCTATTTCTCTATTAATCAATTTATTTAAATAAAAAAATATATGTTAAATGAAGAAATGTTTTCATTAATGAATCGATATTTATTAAATTAATTTTAGATCTAATCTCGCTTAAACACTTTTTTGTGAAAGTTTTTAAAATTTGTTCAACAAAATATAATATTTTAATAACACAATTAGTAAATGAAATTCGTTGTAAAAAATAACGAATAAGCCTATCAGTATATTTTGATTGAAAATAAAAAAAATATTTTTATTGTTAATCAGTTTATGATTCATAATCATAACAAATAATATATAAACTGTGCAGTTGTTGAATTTATTTTATCGTGATTATCATATCATAGTTCAGTATTTGAATCAAATACGAAATGAATCATGTATGAGAATTCTTTTAAAATAATAGATGAATCATATAAATTACATTTGAAAGTTGATAAATAAAATATCTTTTATATGTGTTAAACATGATTTATCAACCATAGTGAAAACAATATGTTCCGAAAAAATGAAAATTTATTTTAGTTATTTCTCACTGATTGATAACTGGTGTTTATTGACTTTTTTGCAATAGTTGTTTGTTCAGTTGTCATTATAAAATCTTTACGTATTCTTAAAATTTATTAAATAAAAATAATTCAATTTTTCTCAATGTTATTCAAAATATTTAAGTAAACGACAATGTTTACATTTATGTTGTATGTCAAATCGAGTATTACATCTTGATTTAATTGTATTTATACATGAAATTTTATCATAGAAATTATATTAGTAGAAGTATTTCAATACAAACAGATTTATGAGATCACTATAATAAAAACTATATTTTATGTGCAATAAAAATAAAATTAGAAGTACTTTTTTTTAGATAAATAATCTTCATTTGACTAAAATTATTAATATTCGTCATTATTTCATATTAGAATACAGTTCAACAATTATTAATATAAAATTGGCGAGAAAAAATTAAGGACGTGTTTGTTTTCTTGATATAGTATACACATCATATAGGTGAACGACGATAGTAGGCTTTTATTCAACGATCGATTTTTTTCCTTGAGGATGGGTGTGGGTGTGAGTGTTGTTCTCATCTTCATACATACCCACACCCTCAAGATTTTTTACATGCCAAAATATCCAAAAATTCAACAAAAAATTAAAAACGAACTTACAGAACATAATTTAATAAATGAAGCTCAATTAACACAAGATATATTAGATTCATTGGTTTATGTGAAATGTGTAACAAAAGAATCTTTTCGATATGCTTCTATTACTGGAGCCATAAGTCATGAAGCAGCACGTGATGAATATCTATAAGAAAAGGAGATACAGTTATCATTACTACTTATAATCTACGTCGAGATCCACGCTAATAGAAAATTGATCCAACAAAACTTATACTTGAACGATTTTAAATGAGAATAAAAATCTACTTTAGTATGTTTATATGCCATTTGGAGGCAGTCATCGCGCATGTATTGATCAAGATTTAGCGTTTTTTGGACTAAAACCTGCTATAATAAGTTTAATGCAACGAGTTTCATTTGAAGATTCAGTTGATGCAACAAATAATTCTGGGAAATATATTCAACGTTTGACATGTTTTCCAGAACATTTAGCTGTACGCATTCGAATAGATACAGATAAAAAGTCAAATTAATTTAGATGGAGTGTTCAATTTTTAGATATTTAAATCATTATATCAAATATAGTTTGTGATAAAACTTTTCATTTATTCAAAAAATACGTTTTGTTCTTCTTTTTGTAATATCTTACAAATGCAATACAAAGAGTCATAGTTTTCTTTTGGGTAATGCAATTATTTGATTTTTAAATCAAATTACACTACAAATTTTTCTGTTAATTTTATACAATATCTTTCTATATACTTTCTTGTGATCATTCAATCCAATAACATTGAGTATAAGAACAAATGCGACGTCTATAACATTAATAACTTCATGGTCAGCTAGTTGTTCTTCTATATTCTTTATAATAATCATTTTTGTCTTGATAATATTACAATGTAGATTTATATATCAGTAATTAATAACAAGTAAAACTTTGACTACTGATCACTTCTCTAACTACGAACACTTCCTTTATTGAACAGTGAACATTGCTTTGCAATTCTCCTTCTATTATAACTCGAGAATATAAGCATGGGGCAAAGAATAAAAAGAAATTTGTCGTTCTACCATATCTTATGATCGATATCTTAGTTACTTTTTTCTCAATCACTCCTACACTATATCTGATAAGATCCAATATTTAATAGAAGTTTATAAGAAATCGAAAAACAGAATTACTAATGGATTCAATGGTAAAATCATATAATTGTTACTCATTTATTTAATATCTATCTAATCATTACTATATTATAATGTGGAGATTCAATTTCACGCAAGTGTTGGATCCTACCGGATCTGTCCGTAGGATTTTAATACTAAAGATTTTAACGTAAATCTGTCTCCGAACCTCTTAATAAACATGATCTCTATTATCGAGGTCATCCTTGATTGTTCTATTATCTTTCATATATGGTGTGATATTCTTTTATTAGTCCTTTTCGATATATTTGTATTTGATATGATCATCGTTCAACGTATGCTGTGATCACATGATCATGTACATATACATATATACACCATACGTTGATGAAATATATCATCTTTTTTTTCTCTTTCTTTTTTTTCTCTTCTTCTTGTTCTTCTCTTCTGTCGTTCTCTTTCAAATAAACTAGATATAATGCTTATAATCTCATTATCGAATTTAATTGTTTGAGAAAATAGAAAATGTTAAGATAGAAAGTTGAGTTCGAAATACAAAAGATACATAATTAGGGCTATAGAAATAAGAAGGCTAGGAATTATAATTTAAGTGAGTAAAAAAATACTTTCACATTCAATTTTAATCAACATTTCTTAAATCCGTTGATTCTCATAAGTCATACTCATCTCTTTTTATATGTCTAAATAAATATTCAGGATAAATCTGCTTGCTTGTCATATATTAACAACAAGGTATAAATCTGTATTTTACTATTATTATGGTTCATACCTATCTGAGATTAGTAACAATTTGATATTAGCAGTATTTCATCAGCAACTTCATATAAACATGCTATATTCAAAATTAAAACATGAAATTGATGCATTCCTGAGTATTTTAATAATGTCAGAATGGTGATATAACGACAATTCAAAAATAGAGCAATTATCATCTTGTAAATCAAAAATATACAGATATATTTGTTAAACTATTCTGCTATGATACGTGAATAGTCATATACTAATATCTCACATGAGTACTCATGAAAATATAGTGGTTCAAATTGAATTCATAAATATTGATTTTGTGATGTGAATTATTTGACGTATATATAGAATTTTATTTCTCAGTTAGTCTCAAGGTGACTACTAGTTCACAAAGTATCACCTTTGTATAAAGATCTACAGTTTCTTAGATTAAAAGTAAACAAAAGTTATAAATATAGCAAACAAGATTGATTTCAACTAACTCTCTAGCGAATAGTTTAAGTGTTATAAATCAAAAAACAATCAGTCTATTATTTGACTATTATTTTACTAGGATAATCATTAAATTGATGAAAAGAATATAACAAATGAAAAATAGAAGATTAATAAAAAAAGTACAGTGCGAAAAACATACAATACAAAAATAAGTAAGTTCAAATTATTTTCTTCTAGTTAAATAACACCAAAAAGAAATTGTGATTATAAAAAGCTCTTCATATTACATATTTTCTATTCTATTGTACAAAAGATGACCAAGACATGTAAGCTTACAGTTTTAAATCATTTGAAGTTATTTTAGTCTTAGCGTATCGTGATCACGGTATGTGATTATTAAAATGGTGAGTGCATTGAAAGATATATCCATTTACTTTATAATACGATAGGGTTATTATATTTAAAATCAGTGAAGCAATAAGACAATATGCATTGACCTTTTTCGTATTTTAAACTAAAATAAAAGTGTCTCGTGACCCAGTCATGTGTTCGTTAAAATGATGAACGCACAGAAAGATATATCCATTTACTTTATAATACGATAGGGTTATATTGAGACTAAAATTAGTGAAGTAAGAAGACAATATGCATTTGCTTTTTTCGTATTTTAGTTATAAAGTAAATGCATACAGTTACTGAATAGGGTGACTGATGAAAGCATAGATACACTCAAAAATATATCGATTCACTTGATAATATGACTGGAATCTAGTATTTAAGTTTGAAGAAGAAGAAGAATAACACAGATTTATCATATTTAATACTTAGAGGTAAGAGAATAATATTCAAAATAACCAAGAAGTTTTCTTCCTTTAAATGTTTATGAATTTGAGCATATATCCAGATGCTTCAGAATATTATCAGATCCTTGTATCTGGTGTGAAAAAGAAAATGAGAGATAATTATTTATTATTTATTTTAAGTAGGAAAGCAAATGGTAGTAATTCATCGATTAAATGTCGAATATCTGATACACATTTATTTGGTTTATTAAAGTTAATGAAAACAATTCTATATCGACAAACATTTGATCAAAAACCACAAAAACAAAATCACGGTTGTCTTTTTTTATTCTATATTATTTTTTGAAACTAACAAAACTCAAAATCGAAAGATAAAAACCATTTAACAAATACAAAAGAACAAGATGAAACGATTGAAAAAATGATATCCGATCAAAAAAATTCTTTAAGAAGAAAAACAAATTAAAATTAAAACTGATCTCGACTACAAATAACACAACTTAAATTCAATATTAAATTATTTATTTTAGATTGATAGCATTTTCCTACGTGCATTATTAGATTTAGGATACCATATAGAAGAATTTTTACATATTTTATTTGAAATAATTGAAGCATCAGCAAATATAAAAACTTACGATATTGAATCAAATGGTTCAATAGAAGGGTGTACATATATATCTTACTCATCCACACACCCTCAAGATGTTATTGATCTTAGTAGAAAACCTTGTTATCAATATATTAATTTAGAAGAAAATAAACGAAATGATTTAATTACATTTGATTTATTTTCATTTAATTATAAAAGGAAAACCAAAGAGCAATATTCATTTATTTAAGGTCAAATTCAAAAATAAAATTTTCTTTTTCTTTATAAATATCTTCAACTTATATTATCATTATTAATTAAGCCATTTCAAACAAATCAGCAACAACAAAAAGATAAAGATACATCTTGTGATGAATCAAGTTTTCTTTCCTCAATTTTACAAAAACATAATGAATATTCAATTGAGTGTAAAACGGATTTTACATTGCATGCTTCGCAAATACTTATTCTAACGAATTCATATTCAAATAAAATTATTTTAATTGATTTGGCAAAACTACAAATGAATACATATTCAAGTGATAACAAATATTTTATAACTTCTTAGCAAATCGTTTTACTTAAAATGATAAAAATGAATTAATTAATAAAAGAATTTTATTAGAATATTTATTATATGGAACATTAATTAACTGTTCTTTACATCCACAAAATGATTCCAGTGAAATTAATAATTATGCATTTAATGATCAAATTTTTAGTGAAAATTCATTTTTATCAAATTCTAAAAATTGATAATACTCAACAAGAAGAAGGACAAATTGAAACTAAACATATAAAATCATCAAAACGTACTTCTAAAAAATAAGATGTACAAGAAAATACAAATGTTTATGGGAAATTCGGTTTGATTTTCAAAGAAAACAAATTGGCGGAAGACTTTATCATTCTCAAATAGATCTTTACAATTATTATATAACTCAAGATGAAAACTCTAAATTTCTTTATTTAATAATTCAGTTGATTGAAATAAATTTTAATTTATTATCAAATTCAACATTTATTATTACATGATGTTTAAAAAAAACAAGTTCAAGTATTATTAACAGACATTTTAATGTTGAACAAAATACATTAATATTTAATATGAATCTTCAATTTAACAAAAATCTAATAGAATATAAGGTAGAGATTTCTATTTTTTAATTAGTTAATGGTCGATTAGAAAATTTTTGTATTTGTAAAAATTTGATCATCCCAAACAAATTATTAATGTATTTAATGATTTAACTTATTTTATGAAAATATGTTCATTTATTTATTTTCCATTAGATTCATCCAAACATTCCGTTTCATCTAACATAAAAATCGGAAATGAAAATAATTATTTGATTCTTTTAATAAAATCTTGTATTGTAGCATACGGATGATGAACCATGTCTAATAGCTTTTTATGAACGAGTTTGCTTTGAAATGACAACTGATCTTAATGAAACAAGATTACAAGTATCGTTTTGCTACCAATCAATGTTTATGTCGAAGATTCGATTGTTGTAAGTATATTTAAAATTCGATTGGAATTTTTAAACATTCACTGCATGCTACAAAACAGAAATGTAACTTTCGTCTGAACCGATCAAACCAGCTTATCTATTGATAAACATCAGAAAACTAAATAGCTCCATTGACTAGTGGTTAGTAATGGTTTCGTTTTAAGAATTTTTCAATAAGATCATTTGAGAAAAATATTTATGATCTCAAAAACTCTTGATTACTCATCTACTAACAAACTGATAAGTCCAAACAATGATATTCAAGTGTTTATTTCATCATGGTATGTTTTTCAAATTTACTTAGTTATTAAAATAGTTTAAAGACTAAGTCATTTAAGTGAGATTATCAAATTTCAACATGCTAAGCGATTACTTCTGATTTGTATCGTGATCTTACTAATTAAATAAATATAAATGATATATTTATCGATCTCTGAATGACTCAAACAATTCTTTTCTTTTTCATCTAGAGAAACAAAACAGATCAACATCTATCTACTGGATGTCTTCAATTATCTGCTTTAAGTATTCGTGGTCATGCAATGCTTTCACATGAAGGTTTACCACCTGAACGTGAAATACTTGAATATGCTTGGCAAATTGAAACTATCCTTGGTAAAATCTCAGCTAGTTTAAGAACAATTTAGGTAAGATATCAAAAATAAAAAAATCTTTTTTTTTTATAAATAATATCATTCTATTGTTTTTAGTTAGAAAAAACCTTAGGAGTTGTTAAAAATTTTTAGTTACAAATAATCGAAGATGAATGTACACTTGGTCGTTCATCATATATTGGTAGAGCAAAATGGATTGAAAAACTCAAATATGATGTACTTAGATTTAGTTTAGATTCAACTCATCTTAATCTCATTGAAGTTGGAAATGCTGTTAATGTTCAAGTAAGAAATATTCTATATAACTTCTTCATCTTTCATAATTTTGTTGTTTTAGATAGCACCTATTCGTTTATGTATGTGTAATATGCATACATCATTATGTAATGAAAGTTTAATTTTAAAAGTTGATACAATACAAATTCGTCTATTATTACGTCTTTAACCTGGTTCATGGTTAGAGGCTGGTTCAGTTAGCATTCCTGAATTACGTATTAATGCAAAATTTGAATGTCATCCACCAACACCTGCTACAATAAATGAACAATTAGAATTTCTTCGTCGACATGATCAACATTCTGAACGGCTACATTTTCTTTATAATCCTAAATTTCAACAAACATTAATTATTCCAACAATATCAACAAATTTAAAACGTCCATCTTATGTTGGTTTAGCAACAAATTATTATACACTTGTGCAAGATGAACAATTTTTTAAAAGTACATTTCGTCCTAGTGAACAATCATCATTTGGTCGTTCATTATTTCATCCGGAGTTACATGTTTTACATTCATATTTTATATTTGAACATAAATATAATTGGACTAATTATGATCAACATGTTAGTCGATTGCATGATGAATTAGATGATAAAGAAATTTTTTATTCATTTGATTTTTGTGGACAACAGAAACAATCTAATGAACAACATCAAAATATAAACGATAATCCATTATAACGTAGTGTACCCACAGATTTATATTCATTATCACGTGCTACCTCATTAAGAAATCTAAAACATAAATCAGTTATTGAACGAAATGAATATAAACGTTCATCATCATCAATACCATTGAATAATATAAATATGGTTTCATCACCATCACCACAAACACCAGGAAGTGATGATTATTTAACACCTAATGAATACTTATCATTAACAAGTGCAAGTCAAGCAAGTTTAAATAATACAAATAATATTATGGAATCATCATCAATATCATCATTAACTATGATGCAACAACAATCATCAACTTTATCATCACCCATGCATTCAGATTTAAATTTATTTTTAACATCAATTGGTAATAAACAAAATCTATCAACAAATTCATCGCATTCATCATCAATTGATTCATTAACGGCTCTAGAAGAAATACTTCAAAGACAACAAACAAGAAATAGTTTAATATTTCTACCTCAAAAAGTATATATATATATATATATTATTTGAAAGAAATATCAATCATAGTTTTTTTTTCGTTCTGAGATATTAGATTTATTTATTTAGTGAGATAACCGTAACTACAAAAATCGGCATCGGTTATTTTTTCTACTATTTTATATACTAACTAACTTATTTCATATCGAAAACAAACTAGACTGATTGATTTCAATTTTAAGCCTTTGAAAAAAAGAATTATCTCGGTTTCTTCGATTCATATTGTACATAGTTAAATACATTAAAAAAATATATTCAGACTTTTCAAATATTAAGAATTGAATGATTTGTTTAAAGATGAGATATAATAGAAATATTTCTATCTTTTAGGGAACTTCATCAAACATTGAATATAATACTGTACCACAACCATCTCTTCCTAGTTCTTCATGGAAAAGTTTAAGTAATCAAATGAAAATGCTTATATCAAAATCGATTCTTTTATGTACAACTTATTCATGATTTATCTCATTATCTTTCTTCAACATGGTCCAATATCGCTACATTCCCACCAAATATTCAGTAAGATCATATTGATCATCGTTCAATAATAAATGGAAATAATTTTATCTAATCATGATCACTCAACAGCTGGTATTTTTAAAATTCAATCAATAGCAGGACAATTTCGTCGATTTGAAAATGATTTTTCTTCCATTGAAAATATTAATACTCATGCTATACAATCACAACATTGTCGATTACAATTTCGTTTACGAAATCATATACAAACACATTTATCATTTGATAATAATCAAACAAATATCGGATTTACTATGAATAAATTTGGTTTACAACGTTTATGTTTTGAATTAATTAATAATACAACTAAACAACAACAACAACAACGAATACATATTTTATCAATAATGACAGGAATTGATAAAACACAAATCAAAAAGAAAACAATCAACTGATGTAAGTTAAAAGAAATTATCAGAGTATTACATAACTGAATTTCCCACTCACGCATCGCCTGAAAGAAACTAAACAGATATGTTGTTTTTGTAGTAAAGTCACGTGAGCTTGCCTGTTAAACAGACAAGATAATATTTCTGATCTGAATTGTTCAGCATATTTTGATATATTAGAACTTCGTAATAAAACTGACAAAACTGAAAAAAGGTAGAAGATAAGATAGTGATTATACCATGATGTGTGATCAAGACAGACATATTTATCTTTATTATATCTTTAGCCATTATTAGCATCTCCATCAACAATAAATTTACCTATAAACATTCCACCGGCTAGTACTACAACTAATTCTTCAATTGTTCCAATATTATCTAGTCCATCATCAAGTAGTATATTTAATGGTACAATTGATCATGTTTAGATATCATTTCCTGAACCTCCACATCATACACATTCAACATCAAATTCTTCCAAACGACCACGTACAAGTACAACTAGTGCAAAACAAACTACTACAACACCTAAAAAACTTTTTTCATATACACGTTATGATTAAAATATTCTTTCAACATTATCACCAACTATTCTTGATTGCTTTTGTGTTATTAATGGTATACAAAAGCCAGTAGAAAATTTCTTCGTAAGTGTGAAAAACGTCTTAATGCTATTCTAGCTTATTTTCTTGTTGAAACAAAACCTATATTAACTTTATCACAAAGTAAACTCTATGAATTATTAATTAAAAAAACAAAATATCTTCTTTCACATTCTGTTGTTCTTACACCTGAAAATGATATTCAAACTCTTGTTTTAAAATTACCTCAATCGAATATTCTTCATCTTGATAATAATGATTTAGATGATTCTGAACGACAATGTTAGAAGAAATTACATGAATTCGTTTCTAATGATCGAATTGTACCAGAAATAAAACCAATTCAATCATTAATAACAACACGAAAACAACAACGACGTGGTTCACAACCACCAAATGAACATGTACCACAACAACAACATCCAACGCGTCATATGGCAATAAATGTAACAAATAAAATACTTTTATTTTCATCATTTGGTTAGTTAATTATTGGTGAAATACACTGTGCAGCTTCTTTAGGTGTTTTAAAAGTTGATGGTTGTATGAGAAAAATTTGAGAAAATGTTAGTTTATCACAAAGACTGCGAGCTTTATATTCAACAACAAATAATCAAAATACAAAAACGTAAGATGAAGATTAATTTTACACACTTAATTAAATTTAATATTTAGATATGATGGTTCATTAATTCTTCAAATTGGTTCAATATCACTTTCTTTAAAAGAAACTCTTTCAACGTCTACCGATAATCTTCCATCGACAAATATCTGTTCTTGATACAATTGTTGGTAAATCTCAAGCATTAACATCACTTCAAACACGTGGTATTAATTTAACATTAAGTGTTGTAACAAATATGGGTACAACTACAATGGATGTACCATTAAAACCACAAGAAGTTCATGATCTTGTTAATCGTACTGGTCATTTAATAACATCGTATGTTCAAGAATCTCTTCCCGATGATACACAACAAACATCTGCAATACCAACAACAACAAATACAGATAATGAATTAATTAATACAAGTTTAAATGATACTATTGAAGAACCTACTACACCAATTCCATTAGAACAAACAATAACAGGAAAACTTTTAAGTACACATCGTAAAGATCCAATTATTCGTACTATTAATCCACGTTCATTAGAAACTCAACAAAATATATCTACATCATCAAAACGACCTATATTAGAAGTTCATGTAACAGCACATTACGAAAGAACGACATTTTCTACCACACTTCTTTCAACATTAAAAGCTCAATATAAAATAGCTGTTGCTAATATTGGTCGAATGAAATCCCGTTTTACAGCTATTATACATGAACATGCATTACATTTTTTAAATAATAATAGCCATGATCATCAACAACCTCCAACAGTTAGTTCAGATAATCATGTACGGATTGATTTTCCTGAAATACGTTGTTATGAAAATTATTCTATTCAACAAAAACAAGAAAATAAAACAAAAAGTCAGTTAAATCTTCGTACAAAAATTAATGTACTTAAATTAACTGTAACAGTTGATTATCTTGCACAATTAGTTTTTGTTTCAAAAGTAATTATACATGAAATAAATGAGATTCTTGCAAAAGTTTCTGGATTTGATGAATTTCATTTTGGAACAACTACAAAACATACACGCTTATCATTATCATCAAAAGTATCTATTATATGTATTGGTTCAACAGATATAGAAGATGAGGATGACGATGATGAACCAGAAAAAGATCAACAAACAATACCATTAACATTATTTACATATACAATGCATATATCAATGAAAGGTTTTGAAGTTATGGAACAAACGCTATCAAATACAATTGTTAAATTTGAAAATGGTGATAAAAAAGTACTGATATATATGAAATTAACAAATTATGATGAACAAAATTCTTTATTACTCTATAATAAACCATTAATTAATGCTCTCATAAATATTAAACTAAGTGTAGGACAACTATTACATACAGGTAGTTTTCAAGATGCTGCTTATTTTGAAACAATATTACTTTTAAAAAATTCATTACAAGCAAGCTTCAAGTTCTTTTCTCTTTTAACAAAAAAGTTTTTCGAGTCAGATATAACATTGACAAATGCCCTCACTCACACTCTTACTATGTGAAAATATAGAATAATATAAAACTATAAAAACTTAATTCCTGTTTTAGTCGAATGATCCCGATAAACAAGCTTATTTTATTCGTTTAACAAAACCAAGTTTCTATTGGCAACCTGGTGCTATTGATAAAGGTATGTAAAACTTTTTCTTGTTTTGTTTTTTTCATTCAATTTCTTTTACATATAGGAATACTTTTTTGGTTAAATTATGAAAGTACATATGAACATTGGAATGAACAACGTGGTGCATTTACAATTACAACAAATGATTCAACACGTTTACGTTCAATTGTTAATGTTTCAACATCTCCTACACCTAATAGAGAGCTTAATTTTATGTTTCAATTGCATATTATTGATTTAGTTATTGCTTCACCACTTCAACAATATAATGCACCACCAAAATTAACAACAGATAATTTAAGATCATCAGGAATAACAACTCACCAATCTATTCCTACACTTGATAAAACGACAACATCAGCATGTTCATGTGGTGCAATAATAAGTTCAGGTTCATTTGAAGGTTTTTGTTTTCGTTTTGCTGAAAATTTTCAACAAACAAATAAAAATTGAAAATCTACAGTTTCATAATCATCACCAAATATTATTTTAAATGCATGTTGTGTATTAAATGGATAATATTTAATGCATTCACGTACAAAACATATTTTTAATTCTCCTAGTCCAAAATGGTTTTTAAATGTTTAATGGAATATGAAAGTTATTAATATAAATTTTGATTCAATTATTGATAAACATTTTTCAGAATTAATTTGTACAATAATATTAACACATTTAATTGAACCAATTGATCATTTAAATAATGAAAATAATTCTTCACCAAATTCAAATTTATTAAATATACAAGCTGGTAATACAAAAAATATTGACGAAAGTGATGATGATGATGAAAGAATAAAACGATTAGAATATGAACATTTAACATTAGGACAAAAAATTAAAACATTAAAGTAAAACATATTTGAAATATAGTATTCTTTTTTTTATTTTTCATTTAGTAGACGATCTCAAACATATTATGAAACATTAAAAGCAGAATTAACAAGATATGAATGGTTAGAAAATGCAATGACGAATATCCTATAGATAAGGAGACAGTAAGCTATTTATTACTATTTATAGTAATTAGTTTTTTATGAAAGTATATATGAAAATCTAGTATCGCATAGTCAAATAAGTTTTATAGTCACTACAGCAACAAAAACATATTATTACTATTCAACAACAAAATGAACTATTACGACGATCAAATATACTAATGATTCGAACCTTAATTTATGTTCGATGTTCTGTTTTATGTATTTATATGCATGTCTTTATATAAATCGAATACGTTTTAGTTTTCTAATATTTATAATTATATAGCATTGTTTGATGCGAATTATTTTCATGTTTATTAATAGTTAACAAAACAAAGATAAATTTAATACAATTATCTTTTTTTATTTAGTCTGGTCATAATCGTGATCGAAATCGTATTGATTCACCAAATCATAAACGAACATAATTACATGATCCTAGTGAACCGTTACATCATACTCAGTAAGTTTTTCTTTTGATTAGCTTACTTTTTTTTCTCCCAAAGTATAACAAGAAAAATTCATATATTGCTTCGTATATACATGCTAATAGTATGCGGCATTATTCACTGGTATACGCAGTCGCACTTGCCTCGTCGTCAAGTTCACATCGTCGGCGAATGTAAGATTTAATTTCATGCTTTAAACACACTCAAAATTTCTTTAAAAAAGTATGCCTTTATACAATATATTGCTTTGCTTTGCTGTTCCAAACAGCTCAATAAAATAAATTCATATGACTCTACTTATCAGACACTAACAGAAAGCATGAGGTAATTCCAAAAGGGACATGAAATGATCGATAATATAAAATAACCAAGGGGGAAAAAGCTGATTTAAATCAGTTAAAAATCAAATTTTAATCAAAAAAATCAATTTAATCACTTTTTAATCATTTAATCAATTTTTAATCAAAAAATCACTTTTTAATCATTTAAATCAGTTAAATCATGTATAAATCATTTTTTAATCATCACGACTCATGACAGAAACTTTGTGAAATTACTACTGTAACTGATATAATTAAAACACATTACGTTTATATACGTTATTGGATACACATATGGTATTGTAGAGCACAACAAACAGTTTTTCGGTTTGATTTTTTGATAAACATGTGTCCTCTATAGCCGTAGTATATTTTAATATAGAATTTCTTTTTGTCCCTCCATTTAAAATTAAATAATACAGAACGAGAAGAATTTTGTTCGATTTGTTACTATCATTAAGGCGAAAAGATAGAGAGGAAAGATATTTTCTTTTTCTCGGTTCGTTAACGTGTGTTCATCCACACCTTATCATTATCGAGTGCTCATTTCCATCTTATCGTTGTTCTATTCCAACACGTCCTTTATTTGCCTGATACTTGAATTCAACTTTCTACGATTACATTTATGAAGTTAACAAGATCACAATGTAAAACTTTTATCCAGAAAGAGCATCTATCAAATAATAGTAAACAACATGAAGACAACGATTATGAAGAATATTTGAGTCAAAAGCAGTCTAAGCGAAATCGTAATATTGATGACTACGACGAATCGATATCAAACGATGAATTGGATGCTGATGTCCTTCCTAATGTGTCGAGTTCGACGTTTCGTGGAATGCGCATCTTTGACTCTATCAACAGCAGTCAAAGTGCATTGTTTTTTTCTGTCGAAGCGAATGGACAAAAGAAATTTATGCACAAACATGCTGCAAACTGGTATTTTTTCAAAACAAAGCCTATTCTATCATCTGATCGATCAATTAGAGTTCAAAAGAAATACATTTTCTATATCGTTTATTTACCACGGATAGACAATGTATGTGTGTAACAAAAAATGATCGTTTCATTTTTCTATTTCTTTAACTGACATAGTTAACTAACATTCAGCTCATCTTCCAATCATTATACATTATCTTAGTTGAATTGTAACTCAAAATGCAGAAAAAACATTTCATTTTAAATGTTTTGTTCTAAACTTATATACATATAGATTACATACATTAGATAAACTATGGCATATATATTTGTACATATCTAAGCTTTTCATATGTACCAATTGATTGCTTACTTCAGTAATTACTTGATAGATTAGCTGGATAAAAGACGAGCACAAGCATTCGTATGCCTCATGCATATTTTTAGGGAAATAATAATCTTAAACCACCGTAAAGTCATGTTGTGGTGCTTAATTTACGTGAGTTATAAATCGCCTTAACTCAATTTAAATCATAAAAAATCAGCTTAATCTCATTTTTAATCACAAAAATCACCTTAAATCACTTTTAATCACAAAAATCAGTTTTAATCACAAAAATCAGTTTTAATCAAAAAAATCAATTTTAATCAGAAAAATCAATTTTAATCAAAAAATCATAAATCGCTTTTTCCCCCTTGAAAATAACTATATAAATAGTTTTCTAAATTTTTTTTCGTTTATTTATAGTTCGGAAATGGGAGGACGGCCATCATCAATACATGAAGATGATATAGAAAATGGAACAACACGATCATCAAATGCTAATATTCGGTAAATACTCAAGAATTTCAGTTCAGATTTAGTTTTATAATAAATTTATTATTTTAGTTTCCCATCACAAGATCCATCAATGTTCGATGATCACCAATCAATAACAACTAATACACCAAATGAAATTATATCTGCACCAGCTGTAGATTTAAAATTAAATGTTCAAATTCAAATTGCTAGTGATTCATGTAATCTGTATACATGTCGTGATTTAATATCAAATTCACCATTTAAAACAATAAATTCAACTAAACAATAGCAATCTCAAGTAAATATTGATTCAAGTGTATATATAAATAAAGTTGAATATCAAGTATCACAATTTTCCTTACCGGGTGTTGATGTTGATGCACATTATAATTCTAAACATAATAATACTATGAATAGTGCATTAAATAAACGAGCTAGTTTTTATTCTCGTGCTATGATTCAATAAACTACAATACAAATAACTATTCATCCATTATTACTTGATTTTCTTGAACAAGCACATGAACATATAACATTACCACAAGAACAAAATAGACAAACTAATTTGTAACAAGAATAAATGCAAAATGTTAATGAATAAAATTCTAATCATGATCAGTTAAAAACAATGTAAGTTTATTGATGAATACCTATATTCTCTTCGTCTTATAGAAGAATCCAGTAAAAACAAACTATTTACTTGCTTGTGTATCCGCAGTTCAACAAAAATCCACAGCACTACTTTCTACCAGTCCAACTCACAATACCTGGTCCACAACTGATGCAACCAGTAGTTATACTCATTTGTTAACACGAGGTTATCAATATGGACCTTCTTTTCAAAAGATACAATCATTATGTAGTACGACATCTACAGTTTTTGCTCAAATTCGTAGCAATCTTGATGCATTTATTGATCTCTTTTATTGTTATTTGCTTCATTCAACTACATTGGATACTTTTGTGCAGTCACCTCTAGTTTTGTTGCCTGGTGTTGATTTTACAGTCCGTCCGGTTAGTGTTCACAAGTTTGTTGCTACGAACAAAATGAACACATCCTGTTCAAACTTTGAAATGCATGGAAGATACCAAAATGTCGTGTGTGGCTTAGGTCAAGAACGAGCACATAATCTTGATATATTGGTTCTACCAAGTGGCGAAACGATAGTCAACGAATCGATGATCATTTTTGTAGGTCTTGTGAGAGTGAGGGTGGGTATGTGAGTAGAAGATTTACACATCAGTTTCATCTTCATACACACACCCTCAGGAAAAGACGCAAATACATCACATATTCTGAGTGCTAAAACACCTTTTTGCTATTACTAAAATATGAGAGAAGAGTAAGTCTTGATCGGCCTATGTTTTTATTTCAGATATTGTTTGAAAAATGCCTTTCTACAAAAAAGTTCAGTTGAAAGTTATACACGACTCAAAATATGGTGTCGATGAGAAGGCTGTATTCGCAGTGGAAAAAATTTACAAAGGTGAAGAATTAATTTACGAATACGATCCTTTATCCGAGGAATGGCCATTTTATCCTGATAATGATAAACGAGGAAAATATACCCAAGCAGAATTATTCAAGTTGATTGAAAATAACCCGAAACTAAGCAAACTTATCTATTATCAAGCTTACAATGTTGACGATGATTTATTCAACGTTCCATTTAAATATGCAAATATGGATTCTGATAATGTTGATGATTGCGAAAAACGTTTCCACCAAAAGCTATTGATCAATCATTCTTGTGATCCAAATGTTGGTTTCGCTCAAGGTCGAAAATGCTATGCATTTCGAGACATTGATATTGGCGACGAAATAACACATCATTATGGGTGTATAGGTACCGAAAAATCTCTTTTTGTCGGATTAAAATGTCAATGTGGATCAAAAGATAAGTGTCAACAAATTCTTCGCATGGATTTTTATAAGGATCCAGTATGGCGACAGAAATATGAGCCATATTGCGTTCCCTATATTAAAAAGAAGATCCAAGAATTACTATACACCGACGAAACAATCGCTGAGAGTATGTAATTTCGAACGAACTATTCGAATAGTGAACAATTTATTTAACTTAGTGATAGGAGAGAAGAAAGTTTTACAGCGAAAAGAACTAATATTATTCTTATTTGATTTTCCAATAATATTAAGGAATATATCTCCCTGTAATATTTCGACTCATTATGTCAGTTCTCATCATCAGAGCTCAAAATGTTCATTTTATTTATGTATTAGTTAATTATTAATATTTGAGGAACTTAACCTGTTTGTAAGATAGAGCAATCATTTACAGAAAATAATTTTTTCCAATTGATTGAAAACTATTCTGTGAGGATGTATTTCGATTGTACACATAAATCATCTATACATTTTTCTTATGTGACATACTATTTCTTTTTTTTTCGTTTAGATACTGTAATCGATCAGCAATTGTCTATGACCAGTGCTAGTATGTTTTGGCTCAAGGCTCTTCACGGTTATAAGTTTGATCAATCTCTGTCATTACCATATGATCGATACCGTCTTGAGGGTGAAAAACGAACTGATCGTGGATTATCTGTTTCCTTCGATCTCAGTGAAGATTTTTCACATCACTTTCTTTGCTGCGTATCATCAATGAATATAAAACTTGAACATCTTGTATTTGCCACTTATTATGCTTTTATATTCAAGTTAATAAGTGGAGAAAAAGATTTATGTGTTGCCATTAATAAGAATAGTCAATATAGAGACGAACTTAAAACAATGATTGGTTTCATCGAAAATGTCGTTCCATTACGATGTCAATTAGATCCTCATTGGTCTTTTCAACAATTGATTGAACATGTTTGTGAGATAGTAACGAGTACTATAAAGTATTCTTACCTTCCTCTTCAAAGCATTCTTGCTCAATACTCCACTACTTCAAAGCCTGCGTTTCTAGACACAATATTTGAATTTTTCTCATACGAAAATTACAATGTCAAGAATGAAGTTATGACTGGTAATGATCGAGTTCATGCTATGTCAACAAGCTCGATCCAAATTAGTGACGAAAAAATCAAGAACAAGTTTGATTTTTCTCTTACTATTCAACATAATCTCGAAACTAATCAACTCTCCTGCACAATCGATGCATCACTTGACTTATTCAATCTTGATACTATCGAGAAGATTGCACAACGATTTTATTTAATGTTAGAACATCTCTTTACTATAACAGATGATCAGATGAAGAAACCAATTTATGAGTTATCATTAGTGCTACCAGATGAAAAGAGACTTATGCAATCAATGAACAATACACAAGTATTATTTCCTTCTCTCAGTTGTATTCATCATGAATTTGTTTGTCAAGTAATAAAACATCCACAAAAGCTAGCTGTTGAACTAGATAAACAATCATTGACATATTGTGAACTACTATATTATGTTCAAGTATTATCTTTAACTCTTCTTAATGAATATCATGTGCTTCCAGGTGAGATTGTGTGTCAATGTGTTGAGCGAAGTTTGTCAATGGTAAGTTAATTAAGATGAGCGATAATCAATGTGAGTTTGAGATTGATTCTTGATTAGGTAATTGGTATCATGGGAATTGAAATGGCCGGTGGTGTTTATTGTCCACTGTCACCTCGAGATCCACAACAACGTTTGCAAGCACTTGTACGACAGAATCAGAGTTGTGTTGTTCTTGTTCATTATTTAACTAAGAGCAAGTTTAATTCTGGTATCGTGGTACTTGATAATGATTCAATTTTGGCTAATACAGAGACGGACAGTATAATCCCTATGGATCGGCTCTCAAATGTCGCAGTATTACCTGATAATATGGCTTACATCATCTTTACAAGTGGTTCAACAGGAACACCGAAGGCGGTTAGTCTAAAATGATACATTTGTCAGACGTCTTGAAAATAGTTTCTTTTCGTTTAGGCTCAAGTGCGACATCGAAATTTTAGTCGATATATGTATTCATTAGTATGTGGCAATATACTGAAGGAGAGAGATATAATTATGCAAATATCGCGATGTTCGTTTGATACACATATTCAAGATATTATGGGCACATTGACAATTGGAGCTACACTTGAAATGTTACATCAAGGAGGAATTATTGATCTGCAATATTTGGCTGATGTGATCGAAAACAAGAATGTTACATGCCTTACCAGTGTGCCAACTATTCTTCAACATTTCTTTAGTTTCCTGCAACAAACTAATAATATCTCAGCCTCAAGAAGTCTGCGAAGTGTTTGCACTGGTGGTATGTAATCTTCCTGCTAAACGTTTTTTTTACTTCACGCTTTTCTACCATTTTATAGGTGAAATGTGTTCTATCAATCTTGTAAACTTAATTTTGAGTTCCATCGCGCATTACTGTGCACTGTGGAACCTTTACGGTCCAGCTGAAGCAACCATAGTTTGTACCTTCCATAGAGTGAATCTCATGGCTAATACACAAAGTATTGCAATTGGTAGGCCGCTTTCAAATTACCGATGCATGGTTATGAATCAATATTTACAATCATCTGTTAGCGGTCAGGAAGGTGAGCTATTTGTAGGTGGAGCAGGTGTGTTTGCTGGTTATCTTGGACGTGATGACTTAACTGCAAAAGCTCTTGTTGAAATAGATGGCGAACCATTTTATCGAACAGGTGATGTTGTTAGAAGGGATAATGATGGTCTTCTTCATTATCAAGGAAGAAAAGATCATCAAATCAAACTGCATGGACAGCGAATTGAGCTTGGTGAAATCGAACGATGTTTACTTAACATTACATCCATATCTACTTGTGTTGTCATGAAATACAACGATGATCATCTAATTGCTTATGTTCAGTCTTCTCATATCAACGAAGAACAACTACGTCAACATTGTCAATCTCATCTACCACCACATATGATTCCATCTTTCTTTATTATTCTTGATAAACTACCATTGAATCAAAATGGAAAAGTAGATCGAAAACAACTTCCTTCACCTGATTTCTCTCACTTTCCATCAATACATCTCAAAAATCATGTTAAATCATTACAACCACGAAATGCAATTGAAGTTACTATTCAACATATTTGGTGTGACATTTGTGATCATAAACAAATCTCAATTGATACAAATATTTTCCTAATTGGTGGACATTCTCTTATTCTTATAGAGCTTTTACATCGATACAAAACAACATTTCATCTAGATACAAAATCCCTTTCAATAACTGATCTATTACAAAATCCAACAATTATTGGTCATGCTCAATTCATTCATCAAGCTCTTAATATTGAACAACATATCGATAGCTCATGGTCTTCATTACATCTCACTCAAGGTATTCAAAAAAATGTTTTTTTCATTATTCAATTCTGTTCTTTTCATACATTTTAGCTCGAGCATCATTTGCTCAAGAAAGAATATTTCTCGATGAACAAATTCGTTTTTCACCTAGAAACAATAATACCATATATGCCATTCCATTACTTTATCGTATATCATCATCATCTAAAGATAATCATATATCAATTGATCGATTACATCGAGCATTTCAATTTGTCATCATCAAACACAGTATTTTTCGTACAGCACTTTATCTTGATAGTAATGGCACTCTTATACAACATTGCTTCAATGTGAATATCATTCATGATGAAATGAAACCCTATGGATTTTCAATAATTAATCTTGACAAGGATAATGATTGTGAAATTGAAAAAACAATAAGTGATATACTAAATCATTCTGATTTATTTGATTTATCAAAAGGGCGTGTCATCCATTGTCATATTCTTCGTCATTATCATTTAAATTTGTTTTCATCACAAAATGATGATCTACTGATGAATGATGATTTCATTTTATTTAATATTCATCATTCAGCATTTGATAAAATATCCCTATCAATTTTTCTTCGAGAACTTTCTCTTGCTTATGAGACTAACAGTCCATTATCTATAGAAGATAATGCCATAGAATATATTGATTATTCAGTTTTTGAACATCAAATGGATATGACATTATCACATGAATTCTGGCACTCGCAACTTGAAGGATCCAATCTACAATATCCATTGTCATTACCATTTGATCGATCGCGTTTATCAACTGATCAGCGATCTGGTTTAGCTTCTATAGCTCAAATATCATTTGATGATAATATTTCAAGTTCATTTCTTAAGTATGCATCATCACATCACATAACACCTTTTCAATTAGGATTGGCTACATTTTATGTATTCTTATTCAAATTAACTCATGGACAAAATGATTTATGTATTGCTTCTTTTGATGCTAATCGATATAGAAGTGAGTTAGAAACTATCATTGGAATGTTTGTTGCAACATTGCCTTATCGCATTCAAATTAATCCTCATTGGTCGTTCGATGAACTTGTCAAACATGTTCAAGAAAAATGTTTCTCAATTCTTCAACATTCTTATTATCCTTTACAACATATTCTTAATGATATTCATCTTAATCAATCAAATGTTTCATTTCTTGAAACAGCATTTCAATTTATCACTATTTCATCAGATGTGGATCAATTATCTTTTGGTGAAACAAGTCTACAACAAGCAACACTAAACCAATCACCTGTAATGGCTACATTTGATTTTATGGTATCATTTATTGACAATCCTACATTGAATGATAGTAGATTAACATGTAGTTTTGTCTGCTCATGTGATTTGTTTAATGAAACAACAGTTGCTTGTATAGCTGAAAGATTTCAACATCTATTCTTTCAACTTTTCTCTTCAAAATCTAATTCTAATCAGATTAATCGATCAATGAACTCTATTAGCAATCTGTCGCTTATTCTACCAAAAGAAGCTGAAGAAATGCAGGGAACAATCTTTTCTAGATTACCAAATATTGGCAATGAGGGTATGTTTATCTGTAATATTTTAGATTTTTTTTATTTGTTAGACTGATGGGTGATTGTCTCGAAAGCCCATCAGAGTTCACATCAACTTTCTATGAATGAAATGAAATTTTTGGTGTTTCTGAAGCTTGTAACTATAACAATAACTGTAGGATGAAAAACAATTTTAAACTTTTTAAAGTGGTCGAAAGGGAGTATGCAACGTAGTTTTTGCTGACCAATCTGGAGGTTAGCAAGCTCCTCTATTTTAAATGATGAAAGTCTGAAAATTTTACTATATATAATACTTACTAATAACGTGATTATTTTTTATAGCCGAAATTTTGTTTCACCACGTTAGGTTTTTGGGAAACAGTTACGAAAAAATGCAAGGTTTTGATATTTTTGAGCAAAAATATTTCTATGTAGTTAAAATAGATTTTTAATTGCTATCAGTGCTTTAGAATCGCCGACATGTCCTCTATGCAACGCTAAAGTTCAGCAGTCGCTAGCTTGCTCTTAGATCAAATGGCAAGACATCTTTTTGACCTATTTTTAGAAATTTCTCAGTTTTCTACTCTCACCTGTAGTACAACTATGGGACTCTCAAAATCTGTTTTTTGGTAGTCTTTCATACGCACATCTAGCAGTACCATTCCTAAAATTTTCGTTCTTGTCCAATGTTATTTGACCGAAAAAGTCCATTTTGAGCGTTTTCTAGGATGTTTATAGCAAGTTTAACAATGATTTTGTTCAGAACATCTTGAAAATCGATTTTCTAGAACTCACGTATCTTTTGACAAAAAATAGTGAACGTATATTTAATCGAGGCTTTGCGACTTTCTCTCCCTCCATGACAGACATTCTTTGGTAAAGACCGATTATAGATGTGCGAATCATCTTACTAATGCTCTCAGTTAAATCAACGGTTAGAAAAATAAAAAAACAAATAATGAACAAATGGTAACAAGTAAGTAAAAAATAGAGCTCCCGTAAAGAAACTAAAGAAATAATTTCTGGTTGAAATGCGAGTATAAGTAAGACAGACAATTTCTCTGACGATCGACTATCCTTCGAGAGCAGGTATCGTCTATTAGATATTATTCACCATATAGATTTTGAATGAGCATAACTGAGCTGAAGGAAATGTGTGATTTTCATATTTCAAGTGCAAAGAAGTTGGGCTGGTAAGCTTTTTTCAGTGAAATCGCATTGTGTAAATGAAACTTTCAAGAACGGTAGAAATAGGTGTGCTGATGAATGTTCATTATAGGATACACTCTCGAAATTCCGTGGCTGTGCATGATGACGATTCAAAATCGACAAAAATTTGAAAGAAGATTCCAAAGATAACCTTTTCAATCGATACAAGAACGAGCCACAGACCTACGGATCTTAACGTTAACAAAAAATACTTTGATAATTTTAACACATTAATAAGAGGTACAAATTCATTTGAGTTTCATAAAGATGTCTGACCACAAAAACTATAAAAATAATCGTCGTCTTTCTGTAACATTTTCTCGAAAAACAGAACAGGAAGAAAATATTGTTCGATACAAAAAATGATGGTGTTAGTGGCACCAGAGCTGAGAAAAGTACTCGAAGTACTTGAATGGATTTTTTTTCGTACTCGAGGATATGATCTTGGAGTTCTTCATTATGTCTCATAAAAAAATACTATGTGATCATGTGCTGCATGGATGACATGAATTCTTGACGTCTTTTTGTTTCGACTGTTTAAATATAGATTTTTCCCCCTACCAACTATGGCAAAAACTCTTAGTCACCCTCGATACAATAGTACTCGTGTTGGTACTCGAGTACGATTTTGCTGGTACTCGTACTCGGACTCGTACTCGAGAAAGTCCGTACTCGCCCAGCTCTGGTTAGTGAATACTATATATGGTAAGATTTCCAGATTTCTCGTATTTAAAACAGGAGAGGTGGCTGAACTTCAGATTCGTCAGCAAAACGTACCTTATATCTTCCTTTTCGAGCCCTTGGAAAAGTTTTAAATTTTTTTTGAGTCCACAGATATACGTACAGTTACAACCTCTACAAACGCTGGAAGTTTCATTCCATTGAAAGAAAGTTGATGTAAACTCTGGTAGATTTTCTAAAGAATCACTCATACATCGACTGGCATGAAACACTGAGAATCTCAGAGAACGGAATCAGATGATATTCACTGAAATATTACAGTGTTAGTTGTACAATTTTGCCTTTTCATTTTTTTAAATACTAGGGCCCTAAATTAAGGGTACCCACCATCTCTTTTTTTGATCATACCCACTGCTCAACGATGGTAAGCCCAACAAAGCTGAAACGTTTACCGCATACAGAGCACAGCAAATGATGAGACCTATGATCGAGAAATTAATGGAAAAGTGTGTTTTTAGAGATATTCTAAGAAAATAGCATGTTTTTCAAGGATGTCTATCGAGTTCCATTACGATCCACCTCTAAGTTTGTCCGAGAAGTCTGAAAATTTTATCACAGATACTTCTAAGTGTACTCTACGTAAGTGGGGATCACAACGGAAATCTTTGATAATATACTTTTTTCGTAGAATACTCCTAAAAACTCACTTTTCAATTAACTCTTCAAACACGGGTCACATTATTTGCTGTACTCTGCATGTGATAAAAGTTTCAGCTTGGCTGACCCTACTTCGTTGAGAACTGGATAGGATCAAAAAAGAGGGAGGGGGCCAAACTACCTTTAAGCCGTTTTTTTCAAGTTTCTTGTCTTCTGCATGATCCACGTAGGAAAAATAATATAGAAATGCGGCCGTCATTATGATATAGAAGATATTTCGATGTGTACATCTATGTAAAAGTTCTAACCTCCATATGATCTCTTACATGGTAAATCTGCTGAATCTTTGGTAAGTTCTGTCTACATGTACGTATTAGAACATCAATAATGACATAAGTTGCAAAACTTCAAAAGTTTCATACTAAATCTTCAAAGTCAGATCTTTCTTCTGCAGACATGGCGAATATGAAGTATCTATAAAAAATGAATATGAAAACATATTCATTTCAATACATGCAATGTTAGGCTTTTCATTGTGGGGTATTCAAATAGTTTCTATTACTGATATCAGAAAATACAGCGCCAATATTTTTAATATGAATTCTGGTTAGTTAGAGAGGCGATTAGATGAAAAGTGACTACACTATTGATATCATGCAGCATTTCCCTATCCAGATTTTACATTATAATTCACTAAGTTCTCATTATTCTAGCACCAGCATCATTTGCACAAGCTCGTATATGGCTTGATGAAAGAATTAGATTCGATCCAGAAAAACCTCAAACTGCAATCTATAATATGCCTTTTGTTTATCGTCTACAACCATATCATACTTTATCGATTAAACAACTTCGTCATGCTCTTTATCTTACTGTTAACAAGCATCCCTCACTTCATACATCACTTCATTTCGACAACGAAAAGAATCTACTTATGCAAAGAGTTATTACTCATGAAGACAACTACACTGATATGTTTTCAATCATCGAAACTACCTATGAAACAGATGAACAACTCAATCAGATTTTACACGATGAGAAACGTAATTCTCATCTGTTTGATCTAGCTCAAGGTCTTGTTTTTCGATGTCATCTTGTTTATTACAAACAAATCTCCTCAAACCATCTTCTTTCTCACAAAGATCTACTTATTTTCAACTTTCATCATGCTTTGTTTGATTTTCCATCAGTGAAAGTGTTTCATCATGATCTCAATCAAGCATATACAACAGGCCAATTATTATATGATGACAACAGTAATCTTCGTTATCTTGACTGTAAATAGAAATACTACTTCTACTTTTCTCTTTTCTAATACATTCTTTTCTTTACTTTTGTAGATGCTGTTATTGAACAAGAAATGTCAATGACTGATGCAAGTATGTTTTGGCTTGATGTTCTTCATGATTGTAAACTGGATCAACCTTTGTCACTACCATTTGATCGATATCGTCTCTCGAATGAACATCGAACTGGTCGCGGAACATCTATTTCATTTGATTTTGGTCAAGATCTTTCCCATTATTTTCTTCTCTATACATCATCAAACAACATATCAATTGAACATCTCACATTTGCTATTTATTTCATCGTTCTATTTAAATTAACTAATGGACAAACAGATCTATGTCTGGCTATGAATATTAATAATAATCGATATAGAGATGAACTTCAATCAATCATTGGATTGTTTGAGAATGTCATTCCACTACAATGTCAACTAAATCGTCATTGGTGTTTTCATCAGTTACTCGAACATGTTCGAGAGGTAACAACAAATAGTATGAAATATTCATATTTTCCACTTCAACGTATTCTTAATCAACATCCACATATTTGTAAACATGCATTTCTGGATACATCTCTGGAATTTGTATCATACAGGAATAATAATACAGTGACGATTGGTGATTCTCAACTTGTTTCAGAATCTTTCTCATTCAACACTAATGAAGATGATATATTAAGTGTATTTGACTTCTCTCTTTCAGTTCATCATGATTTGAACATGAATCAACTCTCATGCACAATCAATGCATCACTTGATTTGTTCAATAGAGAGACAGTGGAGAAGATTTCTCAACGATTTCATTTCATATTACATCAATTATCTACATCTATGATTGATAATCAAATAAACAAACCTATCTATGAATTATCACTAATATTATCAAATGAACAATATCTAATGCAATCATTGAATAATACACAAATATCATTTTCATCTCCTTTCACTTGTGTTCATCATGAATTTGTATATCAAGTAATGAAACATCCACAAAAGCTAGCTGTTGAACTAGATGAACAATCTTTGACATATTGTGAACTGCTATATTATGTTCAAGTATTATCTTTCACTCTTCTTAATGAATATCTTATTACTCCAGGTGAGGTCGTTTGCCAGTGTGTCGAGCGAAGTTTGTCAATGGTAAGTTAACTAAGAAAAGTAACTATTGGTGTAAATATGAGATTGATTCTTGATTAGGTAATTGGTATCATGGGAATTGAAATGGCCGGTGGTGTTTATTGTCCACTGTCACCTCGAGATCCAGAACATCGTTTGTATGCACTCACACAACAAACTCAAAGTCGCCTTGTTCTTGTTCAGCATTCTATAACGTTTAAGTTTTCTAGTGAAATCGTTTCATGTAACATAGATTTAATATGGACTGTTGGCCACAGGAACAGATCTATAATTATCGATCGTCTTTCGGATATTGTAGTAACGGTAGACAATATTGCATATATTGTTTTTACTAGTGGTTCAACAGGAACATCGAAGGGAGTAAGACGAATTCTTGTCTAAGTAATAGTTTTATTTGAATTTTCCTTTTTAGGTTCAGATTCGTCATCGAAATTTGTTGGCTTGCATTGATTCTCTAGTTCGATTGAATTTATTCACAAATAAAGATACTATGATGCAAATGGCTAGCTGTTCATATGATGTGCATGCTCAAGAAATCATTGGATCTTTAATCAGTGGCTCAACGATTGTAATGCTTCGTCCTCAAGGAAATATGGATTTAGACTACATGACGAAGACGTTGACTGAAAAACAGGTATCATATTTACAGTGCGTACCAGCATATGTCAATATTTTGTTGGAATTTCTACAAAGTCATAGCATTCCAAATTTGAATAGTTTGCGTAATGTTGATATTGGTGGTACGTCTCACATTTTATTTATTAGGTACTTATTCTTGAAACTTTCTAGGAGAAACAAGCACAGTTCAACTTATTGATAAGTTATATACATATCTGCCACAAGATTGTTCTGTATGGAATATCTATGGACCTGCAGAAACAACTGTCGATTGCACCGGTTATGTCATTGGTAAAAATCTAAATATGATCAGCATTCCAATTGGACGTCCACTACCCAACTATCGGTGTATGATTATGAATGAATATGTGGAACTATCTGTTACTGGTCAAGAAGGTGAACTGTTTGTGGGAGGAGCAGGTGTCTTTGCTGGTTATCTTGGACGTGACGATTTGTCAGCAAAAGCTCTTGTTGAAATAGATGGTCAACTATTTTATCGAACAGGTGATCTTGTTAGAATGGATAGCAATGGTCTTCTTCATTATCAAGGAAGAAAAGATCATCAAATAAAACTTCATGGACAACGAATTGAACTTGGTGAAATCGAACGATGTTTACTTAACATTACATCGATATCTGCTTGTGTTGTTATGAAATGGAAAGATGATTATTTAGTTGCATATGTTCAATCTTCTCATATCATTGAAGAAGAACTACGTGAATATTGTCAATCTTATCTTCCACCACATATGATTCCATCTTTCTTTATTATTCTTGATAAACTACCTTTGAATCCAAATGGAAAAGTAGACCGAAAACTTCTACCACCATCTAATTTTTCGTCGTCAGCTGATAATCGTAATGGTAATGTGCCGCACACCACCTTAGAAAAACAGTTACAAGATATATTTAATCAAGCTTTTCATACCGAATCTCCTCATGTTGATGTTCCTTTTGGTCAACTTGGTGGAACGTCATTAAGTGCTATTCTTGCACTCGCATTAATTCGTCAACAGGTATGCAATAAGGTTGACATCGGTCTTTTATTTACTAATCCATCTATTCGACAATTGGCTCAAGCTATAGAACCTATATTAGCTTTGGAAAAACTACAAGAGACACCTCCCACAGTCAATGAAATTCATCAGATACATGATCGTCTTGCACCGTCATTTGTCATAGAATCTTTAGGTATTGCACTCCTTGTTTGCCAGTGGTTGTTGCCTATCATGATAATTCATCGATGGTATCCACTTCTTTTTCCTATCTTACCAATATGTCATCTTCTATTCTATGTCATATGTTCTCGTCTACTTTCACCACGAACCATCAAAGATGACAATATTTTCTCTTGGAGCTATTATCGTTGGTGGTTTTTAGACCGACTATGGAATAACAATACATTCTGGTTGCAACATCTGCTTGGTACATCTTTGTACAATTGTTATCTTCATCTTTGCGGTGCTCGAATAAGTCTCAACGCGCATATTTATACCACAACTATTGATGCTCCATGGTTATTATATATTAGTGAGGGAACTTGGATTGCTGATAAAACGACTCTAAACTCTTTATATTTCAATGATAATAATACTTTTGCATTACATTCAATTAAAATTGGTTGCTATTGTTCAATCAGTGCGAGATCAATTCTGTTTGGTGGTGTTGATATGCAAGATAATATTATTGTTCAGCCTATGTCGTCAGTCACTGGCTTCATCGCATCTCGAACGATTATCGATGGTGACGAACATAAATTGATTTCATCAGACATTTCAGTCACATATAATAACCCATCATTATCAATATTGCACAAGATCTATGAATTTATTGTGCTTATCTCATTGATCTGTATTCATTGTACACTTTTACTCATTGTCTATAAAGTTTATTCAGTTCAACAAATACCACTACCTATTAGTATTGCTTTTTGCTGGACTTTGTGGTCAATTATTGCTTGTTTTATCACTCTCTTTCTCTTAAAATTTGTAGTCGGTTCTTGTACTGCTGGTGAGACATATCCAATTGCATCATGGTCATATTTACATAAGGTGTGGTTTCGTCAATTAATTGTATCTAGTTTTCATCATGCATGGTTACTACCAACTAGATATGATTATCTTTATCCGTTTATTCTTCGTTGGTTAGGTGCTCAAGTTGAAGATAATGTGAAACTCGCCTATATAAATACCTTCTTGTCCTATCCAACAAATCTGTTGAAAATTCAAACAGGAGTCACTGTTTTTGGTTACGTTTTATTAGTTCCTACTGAGATGACACCTGAGGGTGATCATCGTGTAGATTGGATAACACTCGGATCTCATACAAACCTTGGTAATATATGTTCAATTTTGCCAGGTAGCCATCTCGCATCTCATACTATGGTTGGCAATTTAACACGTGTCACTCGAGAAACGAATAGCAATGATGGAGATATTTTTATTGGTGTTCCAGCTCGTGCTATGCCATTTCAAATGCCCATTAGAGAAGCAACGGAAGATCAAATTAAAACTATTCCATTTTGGAAGACATGCTTTTCTCATTATATTAGCAAATTTCTTCTCACAGGCATCTATTGGTCATGTGGTCTTATTGGTGGACCAATTCTTCACACAATAATTGTATGCAGTTTCGATCGATGGCATTTATATACAGATAATGAAATAGTCGGACAAATAATAAGAAACCTACGAGTAGATCATGAAATTTTTATTTCTTCATTTCTTGGTAATACACAATGGCTCATTCGATTATTTCGAGCATATGGTGCAAGCATCGGCAACAATGTGATCTTACCTGATGTTTGCTCTATTTTTGATTACAATTTGGTGACTATTGGAGATAATGTTCGACTTCATGTCAGTGCTCATATTATGGTAGTATATACATTTCGCGTCATTTTTATCTATAGATTTTTGTTCTGTACAATCATTTCAGGGTCACACTTTTGAACAGCGTATTTTGAAACTAGTTCCTGTTACAGTAGGCAGCTCATGCGTACTTATGAGTGGGTCAATTGTAATGTCGGGTTGTAAACTCATAGGTAACAATCGACTTTATCCTTTTACACTCGTAATGAAAAATGATCTATTGCAATCAAACACACAATGGAAAGGACTTCCTGCACGTAAGTCATTTAGATAGATGAAGCTATGTACACTTGTGTTTTATTATACTATTAAGATGTTAGATAATATTCTGTAAATTGCAGTTTGTTCGTGATGATTTTGAATATTTCTTTATCTGAATTATTTAAAGCATGACTATCTTGAGCTTCCCATCTGTCATATTCTCTAAATTTCTTGTAATGATATATACTCATTTGACTGTCGTATGATTTTTCTGCGTCTTAGAATGAAAACGTCTGAATGAATAAATCATTTTCTATTATTGATGGCAAGTAACTGAAAAAGTCATCTGAACGATATGACATGTCATTTAAAATAGCTTTTATGCTCATTAACTTTTCAATTGATTTATCTATGATATATATAACGCATTTAGTATACTTGTGTTGTCTTTTATGACTTGTTGTTAATATACATCAAATTTAAATGTATCTTGCCATTATATTTGACTCTAAACTGTCTATTCAAATCCTATTAATAAGAGATTTGTATTGCATATCGATGAAAAAAATTTGCTAGATTTCTTCGTAACATGAAATCAATCGATAACGCATATCTTCTTCTTTAAAAAGTTCACTGAATTACCCTGATGTTCTCGTTATACCAACTTTCAATTCGAACATCCTATACATAGTACATTTAGACACGACGCAAATCAGGATCTACATATCAAACGATCTGATATGATTGTATATTTAGCATATTTTCCTAAAATTGAGAAATAAAATCGTACATTTTCTTTTCTTTACATCTTTTTCTGTAATTCTTTGACAATAATATCATTCAAAGTTAAACTATTCTTCTGATGATCATCTCATATCACAAATATATATTCATGATTTTATTATATTTAATTTCTTTCTTTTAGAATCTTACGTAGCAAAATCAGTATTATCTCGATCTGCATCCATTTGCAATGATGTCATCATATGTGAACAGAAATCTAACAACTTTGATCGACTGTCTTTATTGTGGTATGAACAAATTTCAAATGTCTATAAGAATGTCAATGAACTACAATTTATGAATTGGGGTTATGCAGATTTGGATGAGCATATTGATGAGAATGCTGGTTACTATTCGAAGAAACTTTATGAACAAGTAAGTGAAGACAAATGAAAAAATCAAATACATTTGAGTTGAAATATTTGTGATATAGTATCATAGATCAACTTTTAATGTCTGAATTAATTAATAAGAATCTTACTCATACCATAGTTTTAGTTACTTTATTACTTATAAACTAAAACATAAAAATCACAATAAAGAGAAATGAATTTATTCATTACTTTCATGAGTATTTTCGTATTGACAGTTTCAACTTCTGTTTCATAGATCACGATAATGTTTTATAATATATTTTATAACAAGTGAATCAGAACAAATTTCATACACCAGAAAATAATATAGTTACTGCATTCTTTTCCAATATTATCATATACGTGATCTGGAATGTAATAGTGTACTGTTTGTGTATTTCTAAAAGAAATATCTGATAAACACAAAATGTGAAACGAGATTTTGTTTAAAATAGAGAAAATCTTCTGATAATCTTTAGCCAGACTTCTGATGAGAAGAAGTTACTTCATCATAAGCATTCGACAAATGATAGATAGTAAATCGATCAAAACCGAAGAATTTTTGAGTTGTTAATCATTAGTTCGAATAGCTCAAAATAAACTAATCACAATATTAGTTATGACAATATCAACATAAGATTTAAATCTTTTTCTTAAAAATATATTAGCAAATGTGTAGAACTACTAGGTCCGTCTTAATTTACTTCTGTATTTCTCAAAAAAGTAAACAATGAATGAAATGATGAGTGACAAATGAAGTAGCAGTCACCATGAGAAGAATTTGTTTTTCATTCTAGGTTCTTGCTAATGTAACACTTACAGATCAAAATATACTTGAAGTGGGTTGTGGCAGAGGTGCTGGTGCTGCCTGGTGTGTTCGTGCATATGCTTCTCGATCTTATGTTGGAACAGATCCTTCTCGAGATATTATTAACCTATGTCAACAATGTTATTCAACAATTCCTCAACTCTCATTTATGATAGCTGATCCAAAAACTCATTTGCCATTTCAAAATGAATCAATGAATGTTGTTCTCTCAATTGAAACAATAAACATTTTTGATGAAATAGAAGCAGTGACGCGATTTGTCAATGAAATTACTCGTGTGCTTACTCCAAATGGATACTTTCTCTGGTGTGGATTGTGTGATGTAGACGGTTCAAGTGTACTGGTTGATTATTTAACAGCAAATAGTGCATTTATTATGAAAGAGAAGATCAACATTACAAGAAATGTTCTTCATGCACTTGATATTCAACATAACTCACGTGCTGATTTTATTGAGCGTTATATTCAACCTGCAGATCAAGAATATTGTCGTTTATTGGCTGGATTACCTGGCACTCAACTTTATAATAATATGCAACAAGGACATGCAGAATATTATCGAGTTATATTCCGCAAGAAGATAATAAAAAACACACTTCATATTTAACACTAAATGCTGACTTCACATTACTAACATTTTTTCTTTTTTAAACTAACCCAAATATTTATGCTTACTACATGGTGGTATTTTACTTTAACCTTTTTTAGTACCTTAGTTTTTTTGATAATAAATAAATAGACAAATTTATTACTATAGAATGTCTTGAGCGAATGCAGATGTGAGATCAATGTATACATCTCACACGCTCATAGTTCAAATAGATATTATCATTTAGATTATGATTTGCTTTAAAAGAAGGGACTATTGTTAGAAAAACAAAAAGAATCGTCGTCATAGTCACATACCAGTGTCTATCGAGTTATCTAAAGTACCGTGGATTTTTTAGACAAAGTGTCAAAAGACAAGTATTATTTATTTACACTAAAATGATGTTTGTATTCTTACATTTGATTTGATTTTTATCTAAAGGTTACAGAACTTTGATTGAAAAATAGAACAAGAAAACAGGCTCCTGTCTTTATAAAAGAACTTTGAAACTTTCTTCAATTTCGAGATTTGAAGATCTTCTCGTAGTACGTTTTGTTTAGAAAAGTTTACTCTCTCAGTTCATGTATTTAGATAACTTTGAAATAGGTCTCGAACAATAAATGAGTCTGTTAATTCATTGGTTTGATAACAAATAAAATCTTTGAGAATCAAAACGAATAAAATATGAATTTCTGTTATCTATAAGTGGCACATCATTTTCTTATTCCGAGCAGGATTTTATGTACAAAATATACTACCAAACCATCTTTTAATATTGAAAGAAATGCAAAAGTTCTTAGATCAGAAAATATTTCCTTTATTCTCTTATGTAATAATACAGGTTCTAGTCATCGTCTCCTTTTTATTCATACGTTCTGGTACACATAACTATGAAATTTTTTAAATATTACTCATTGGTTCACCATAATTCTTGAATGATCGAAAAAAGTAGATTCGAGTTATCAAGCTACAAAAGAATTCTTATCAATGACGATTGATGATCATAATCAATATTTATTATTAATTTATTAAAATCTTCCTTAATTTCAAATGACTCATCAATTCAATTAAGAATCATTCTTATTTAAATATTCCGAAATATAGCTCAACTTCTCAATCCATCACACATTCATTCAATTATTGATTTTAAACTTTATTGAACAATTAATTAAAAATCAAATCTCTTTTTCTTATGTGTCTTTACATATTTTAATTAATTCTATATCAAAATCTAAAGATTCATCATTAATAGATCAAGTTATTTATTATGTAGAAGAAATAATTCAATATAATAAAATTGAATCAATTAATATATTAATATGAATTCAATTCGAAATAAATACAAAACAATTACAAAATTCTCATTTAACAATTGAAATGAAATCTTCAATTATTAATCAATGCTTGATTTTTGTTAAAAAAGGTCGTCGATTATCAAATAATATTTTAAAATCATTTGAATGTATTCGAACTTATCAATGGAATAAAACAATTCTCAATATTATGGAACGGTCAATTGAAAACGATCAAAAAATATCATCGAAATCGATAAATTTATATAATTGTTTATTAAAACAAGATGATTTAGATAAAATTCACGTGATAAATATTATTTCAAAAATGAATCAAGAGTTTATAATACAAAATATTTTAATAAATTTAGAAGATAATTCATATTCAATTCTTCTTAAAGGTGTTCAAAATGGTCAACAATTACTCAAAACAATAAATGATCATTTAACAAATAATCTCAAAGTCAATGATCAAACAAATATTGAACATACGATTAAAATATTTCATAATTTAGTTGTTATTACTGGAAGATTAGATAATGAAATAATTGAATATTTTTAGAAAAACTCTTAAATATCAATGATATTAATATATAAAAATCGATATTTAATACATTGAAATATTTATCAAATTATAAACTTTCATCTTTAATTTTCGATCATTTACGAAGATTTCAAATTTAAGATATTTTACATATTGTACATCTTTTATTAATTGTTGAATATATTGAAGATAATATGAATGATCAATCAATTACTATTCTTTATCGAAATCGTTTATATTCAGATTTATTATTTCGAATTAAGAAACTTGATCAATTAATTTTTTTCAAATTTAAATCCACTAGAAAATTATTTTTGATTTGCACCATGTTCATTAATATGTGATCTAATACTCATGTTTTTAATCGAAAATTCTTCAAATGTCAATTTAAATCAAATTAATGAAATTCTAATTTTGTTAACAACAAATAGAAAAGCTTTATATTTAATTAATACAAAATCAAATAATTGATTAAATTACATTTTTATTGTTTATCCATATATGAAAGGAAATGAATATATTAATATAAGTGATGATGATCCCATAACAATTCTTGATTTATCTTTTACTGAATCTTTACTTTCACATATATCAAATATTAATCACATAAATGAATTGATTGAATTTTTCATATACTTATATGAAAAGAAGCGTTCACAAAGAACTTAGTTTATGAAAATATTTTATAAAAAAATGAAATGAACAATATAGAAATATTAAATAGTGTTCACGATCTATAATATAGGTATTGATATAAATAGACTTGATAAAGGTTTTCATCTAGGTAAATATTGTGAAGATGCGGTTGCATCAAAATCAATAGAGCTAATGGATGTGATCGTAGAGGAGGACTAGTCTCAATTACAACTACACCACCATGGTATATTTTTGTACCTTCGATAACATATTTAGAAAGAGCTCGACACGTGTTCGTCTTTTATCTCAATCGCGTAGACTACGTCCTATCATTGTAACCGTCTATGTGAATAAAAAACGAAGTAAAGGAAAGAAGAATAATAAAAAAATAGATGTTCGCCATATTTCTACCAGTATGACTGACGATGATGTAGACGGTGATCTTCGACAATGTCAAGATTTGATGGCAGAAGCGTACGCGTGTCAACCTAGTTTTGATCCTTTGTCAGCTGATGATCTTCGACGAGTAACAGCGATTGTTCGTGCACCTTGGACTGAAGGTGGACCGACAATGATACGAACAAGAGAACAATATGTTGGTAATTATTCAGTTCGCATTCGTATCTACTATCCAGACAATACTCAAATCCTTCCAGCACTCATTTATATTCATGGAGGTGGCTGGACAATCTTTAGTCTTGATACACATGATCGGCTTATGCGAGAATATGCAGGTCGAGCCACGATTGCCGTTATAGGTGTAGATTACAGTCTTTCTCCTGAAGTAAAATATCCAAGGGCTATTAAAGAAATCGTTTCAGTAGTTCAATGGTTGAGAAATCAAAATTCTACAGAATTAGGAATTGATTTACATCGAATAGCAATCGGCGGTGATTCGGTCGGTGCAAATCTCGCTGTTGCAACAAATATACGCTTACGTACCTTAAACGAACCAGTTTTAACAGCTCAACTACTTAATTATGGTGTCTATGACCGTGTTAGACCTGAATTGAATTCGTACAAGCGTTATGATGGTCCTAAATATCGAGTCACAGTTGCCGAGATGCATTATTTCTGGAACAACTATATACGCGATGAGCAAGATTTTGAAGATCCATTGGTGTGTCCTCTTCATGCTGATCTTCATGGTCTTCCACCAAGTTTTCTTGTCATTACCGAATGCGATATTCTTGCCGATGAAAATCGAGCCATGGCAAAAGCATTGCGTGATGCCAATGTGATGGTCGAAGAGCATGTATATACTGGAGCAACACATAGTTTTCTCGAAGCTGTTAAAATTGCAGCAATTAGCAATAGAGCCTTGGATGAAGCTGCTCAGTGGCTTGTTCATCAACTGAAGACTACCTAATTGATCATAAGTATCATTCAATGAATCGCATCGTCGAAGTTGCCAACATGTTGATCAAAGAAATTCACAAATTCCAATATGATCACCAGCATTTATTATATAAAAAGAATAAAAATAAAATAATAAATCTTATTTATCATTATTAATCATTTTCAAATGAAAAAGAATCTCTCTTCTTTTCTATTATTTATAAATGATCGAAATATCCTGATAGACAATAAATCCAAATTCGATTTGACAAGTTGAATATCTTTATCATAACTCAAAGAAATAAGGATTATCATTTCATTCAACTTTTCTTGTGCCTAGAAAAAAAATCTATTCAAATATCGATTATTGATTTAATTTCTGTTTGTATGTTATAATTTACCTATAAAATAAATTGATTTGTATCATCAATGTCTGATTAATTGAATAGATTACAAATGAAATTTTCACTGTAATGATGCTATTTTGAAAAAACAGATATACAATTAGTTTCTACATTATATTTTATTGCATGAGGAAGAACGATTTTTCACTCTCATCTGTTTCTATCAATCAAAGTCATTTGATCTTTTCTTTTTATTTATTTTTAAGTAAATATGTCTCACTATAATAATATCAATTGGACATACAAAGTAACATTCCAGAATATATCAAATTTGCCTAGAGCATTTTCTTATTTATCTATTCATCAGAGCAGAATGACATTATTTTTGTTTTACTTTTCTCCTATAAATATCATCAATTTCTTGTTAAAAATTATTTTATTCAAGACAACAAAATTATGGGTAACGACGCATCAAAAGGCCGTGCAGCAGCATTAGGTGATGGAGGTTAGATTTATTCTATTAATTTCTTATGATTAATATATAAAAATAATCTGTTATGTTAGAAATAGCTGCACTTAAAGCTAGTACAAAGCTTAGTGATCAAGGTAAGAGAAAGTATAAAACATAATCATCATATGTAACAAGTTTGCTTTTTCTTTGTATTTAGAAATTCGAGAAATGTTTGATGTAAGATAATTAATTAAATATTTAAAAAAAAAGTTCTATTCATGTTTTTTTTTCTTTTTCTAAGGAATTCAATAAAGGAGGTGGAAGTGATGGAAAAATAACTAAAGAAGAATTTCGTAAATATTATAAAAAATCTGTTGGATCTGATGATAAAGCTGGAATCTTAGCTGAGTATGCCTTTAGATATTTGTTATATTTTTTTTCATGATTATTTTTAGTAATACATTTGCTGCATTTGATGCTAATCATGATGGTTCAATTAATTTTACTGAATTTACTTTCGCCATTATGGCACAAAATAAAACTGATTTAGATAGTATACTGAATTTCTCATTCGAAGTGTAAGGTTTCTTTGCAAAATCTATGGAGAAATTGAATAGATCAATATTTGATTTTTAGAATGGATGTTTCAGGTGATGGACAACTTAGCTTTGATGAATTGAAAAGTTATTTGGAAAAAGCGGTATGATCTTTTGATTAAAATAAAAAATAAAGTAAATAGTACGATGCTTTGTTTTTTTTGAAGACGATATTGGCAGTTGGTCAAGAAGAAGCAGCAACAATCGATCAAAATGAAGTTGCTGAAAGTATTTTTCAAGAACTTAAACTTAATAAAACACAAAAATTAAATAAAGAACAATTTGTACAAGGGTAAGAAAGTAGAGATTGATCTTTTCTTTTTAAGAAGAATTTTCTTTTAGATGTAAAAGAAACAAAGAACTTGCCAATATGTTTACTGGATCTGAATAAATTCATTTTATCTATTAGAATTATCGAACATTTTTCATTTAATATTATATGCATAACTAAAGTAGTTTAATCTACACTATTTTAAAACCTTTTTTTCAATAAATTAGTTTTAGTTTTCAATTAATTAGAAAGATGCTTGTATCATGTTACTAAAATATCTTCAGATATATATATCAATAGTAATCACACATTTATATATATCGAAAATATTTTAAACTATTTAGTTTAATTTTGAATAAAATAGAAATAACTTTGTCAATGTTTAGGTACTTTTGCGATTCATCATATATTTGTTGATTAAAATCAAACATACAAACTATTTTCAGTCTTTTTCTTTATGAATGTTTTGTTGGTGAGGAAAAGATTGATATCTAAAATATAAATAAACTGTGAAAATAAAAAGTTGTCGATGTCGACGTCAATGCTGAATGTTGACTTTTAATAACTGTTATGATCTTATTCTTCGATTAGTTCATAATATCCCCAGATTTAGAAATACTATCTTATGTGAATGCACTATCTTCTCGAGGCTTATGATATTCTCTATGTGTGTCCCGTTTCGATGTAAAAATAGATCGAAAAAACGTAGTGATCCTAACAACAACCTCGACACCGATAATTCAACAGAATGTTGGGAATCAGATCCGACAGAACTCATCAATACCACAGATTCTATTGTTTTTCGTTGGATGGAAGTATAGGAGCCTTTACTATGAGAAACTTTCAAGCATCATATGAGTTTCATGGTGTATATCTTCCTCAAATGTATTTGATTGTTTAATTGATGTATGAAATATAGCGTTTTTACACCGGTACAATCAAGATTTCTGACCAGTCGAACCGTTTTCAAGTATATGATGCGGTTGGAAGCGTAAACTAAAGATGTATTTTCATCATCCGGATTTTTCATGTTATCATTAGCAACAGAGTTACTACAGTTGCTTTCACTTCCAGTTTCATTGCTGTTGCGTTTTGTGGCTGTTACCATTTGGTTTACAAAAGAAAGAAATAAGTATAAGCTGTTAGTCATAAGTACTATTACGTTCTTTATTTAGAAGTCGCAATTGACTACCACCGAATAAAGAAAGAAAGGAATAAAATAAAAATGAATGAGAATATATTTATATATATGTGAACTCAACAGAACAAGCATGTATTAGGAAAAAAACGAATCCGTGATGAAAAAGAGAATGCATACGAAGATAAGTGATACATAATGTAAGAGAAAAGATCATGCGTAATGGTTACAAGCACAGAAAGAAGAAGGCGAACGAGATCACATTACGAATAGCAGTGTAACAATCTATGTACTAGCACAGATCATAACAACATCAAAAAATGTATACGCAAATGAATGATGAGTTAATTCGAAGCTGGACGTATATATATATATATATATGTCACCCGACCATGGGGAGTTAATATAGTTCTGCATTACATGTCGTTGTTATTCGGTTGGTTGCGCCAGTAACTAATACTGTTCCATTTGGTAAAACAGATGACTGATGTTGATATCTCTCACAGTCCATATCATCAGTCATAGACCATGTCTCTGTTAATAGATCATAGATCTCTGAACTTTTAATGTCATAAGCACCAGGTGTGCGTCCACCAGACACTAATACATCTCCATTGGTCAAAACGGATGCTGCATGACCAGTTCTTGGTATATGTAAAGATCCGGTAGTTGCCCAATTTCCTGTTATAGGATCATATAACTCTGCAAGGTAATCATCTCTGTCTCCACTCACAACTAACACGTTTCCATTAGGTAAGAGGGATGCTGTGTGGCATACTCGTGCATCATGCATACTGCCAGTAGTTGTCCATGATTTTGTTAATGGATCATATAATTCAGCAGTATTCGTCATTCCCTTGTCATTTTCCCCACCAGTTACTAATATTTTTCCATCATTTAATATAGATGCTTGGTGCCATCGTCGTGCATGCATCATATTACCAGTTGGTGTCCAATTTCCAGTCGATGGATCATATAATTCAGCACTATTATGGTCAATGCTACAAAAAAGAACTTCACTGAGTTTGGAATGACATTTTGAATAGAATTTCTTTTTGATTCTAATTACTCAATTAGATATAGTATCTTTTAAAAATCATCGATGGTAACTAGAAAAATCTTCTTTCGTATAATAGATTTCAGGATATAGATAGATTTAAGAAACAACTCAATGTACTTTAATTTATGTAAAAGTACTGGTATATGTAGTTTATAGAGATGAGAAATGTATTCTTTGCTATTGATTCCATTCATTTATGTTTATATTAGGTGTGCACCAAAAACTTTTCTGAAGATAAACCCAATTTTCTGACAAACTTCTAATTCTATTTTCTCGCGCTCCACAGTTAGTTTTCTCACGAATACACGTTTTTCAAAAAATGTGACGGAATTACCTATCAACGAATCCACCAGTAACTAATACCATTCCGTCTTCTAATACCGATGCAGTATGAAGACATCTTTTAGTGTTCATATCACCAGTGTTTGTCCATATTTCTGTTTCTGGATCATACAATTCTGAACTAACCACACAATCACCATCGCCCTGTCCACCCGTAACTAGCACTATTCCATTATGTAATATAGATGCTGAATGTTGATATCGTTTATAAATCATAGAATTAGTACGTGTCCAAGTTGCTGTTGATAGATTGTATAATTCCACGCTGTTAAGAGGAATCGTGTCGGACAGTCCACCAGTAACTAATACTTTTCCGTTGTTTAATACAGATGCTGTATGAACGGTTCGTGAGTCGGCCATACTATCTGTTTCAACCCAATCTAAAACAAACCATTCATATATTTGAAAAAATACCGTACGCCACTCAGTATTAATAGATATAGATTAGTGCATGTAACTATCTTATTTAGATGGAAATTCTCTTTCATAACAGACATAACGATGTAGAACTGTTGGTTTGGATAAGAAAATCTTGAATTTGAATCCTCTAAATATTTTATACAATACAAATATTTAGTATGAATTATCCTGATTCAACTTCAAGCTCAGTATAGTTGGAACCGATCCTGAAAACTTAGGAGGCTCATTCGGCCTAATTCAATCTTATTTCAAAGTGATTCCATCCAGTGTGGCCACGAATGATACTTCACTCATATAGTTCTTTTTCCTAGTAGAATTTAAAAATATCTGAAAATAAAAATGATTATTCTGCATTAATCGGTGTTTTTTAGTACTGAATTTTCTATTAAAGAAATTCATGCACAATGCATCATATTTGTCGGCGAAGGTATTTTTTGTTTATTCAATCCTTTATAAATAATCCCTGCTCACCTCTCATAGAAGGATTAGCCGTTGTTGTTGTTGTTGTGCTTGCTGTTGATGTTCTTCTCACTCTTGTTGTTGATTTTCTTGTTGACGCTGTTGTTGATGTTGTTGTCGATGTTACTTCTGTTGTAGTAGTTTTCTTATTTGTTAAAATAATAGTTGTTGGAATAACAACTGCTGCAACGACCACAACAGCTACAATACCAAGAATAATCCACACGAACCGTTTCTTCCCAATAAAACTATTTTATGAAAACAATACAACTGTATTTTTTGTTTCATTTGAAAAAACAAAGAAGGACATACCTTGCCATTACTGTTTCAGAATTTAATGCCTGATTTGTGTTTTTATTCATGACTAATATGTAAAAGATTTTGATCAAGTAAAATATTTTAAAGAATTAGATTTCTTCAGCCGTGTATTCCTGTTGGTTTAGTTCAGAAAAAAATGACTTTTTACAACTTTCTCGAGCTAACATAAAACTAGCATATGTTATTTATTGATAATTTGTAATGGACCCTTTTTATTTTTCTAACGACAAAAGTTGTTACCAGAGGCAAACAATATTTTCATATATGCTAAATACAATAGAAGAAAAAGAGTTTTTTGGAAAAATAAAATGCTAGGTATGATATATGTTCAAGTAACTACCTTATGTCGTAACGTTTTTTCTTTGATATTTGATGATAAGGTTTTATTAGTATATGAAACTCACGAGTCATGATAAAGCTTTTATTTTCAGAGAAACCATTCTTCATAAAGACAAAAGTTTGTTAGCGAACGCATACAATCAAACATTTGTGATAATATTTTATTGTTGACTGAGGATAAGAAGTTCACAGAAAGATTTTGTTGATTTTGTTTTAAGCTGCGATAAAAATCACGCTACTTTAAAATGTAATTTCAAGAGATATAACAATGGCAGTCTTATGAGCCTCTAACATACGGTTTTTAGTTGTCTGACCAAATAGATATAAGATTCGGATTTCTCGAGTCAAAAAATCGTTTGATCAAATTGTATGGCTTCGCACGTTTTTTTACCTTGAATATTTATTTTTGACTCTCATGCAAACACACACTCGCTTTATTTCATATGATTTACCCTACAGTAGATAGGATATATATATAATATTGTATAAGTACAGGTACAAATGTCTTCGAATAATAGATCAATACTAATGTTTTAGTAAGAAAGGCAGTGATAGTACGATTCAATTAGTTTTATTAGAAAGAACTACAATACCGGGTGAATCAAAAGCTTTGCGACATTCTTTATTTTGCTTACATCACGACTTTAGAAAATGACAAAATCTTTATTGGCCGATTCAAACGAGTTTTTCGTATTTATTATTAACAACATATAAGGTACTATTATTTCTCAGTGTAATATAAATATATCCAAAAGGTTGCGTTTTTCATTGCGAATTTGGACACACAACTTTTGTAGAGCTTTTAACGGCGCATCTTTCAAAAAACAAATTTGAAGTATTATTATTCATCGAAGTCAAAATAAATGTAAAACAAGGAAAAATCTTCTTAAATGACGGATAACAAAGCTATCTTGTTAATTTCTCTTCTTGAGTTTAAAAAAATCGAAACTTTAGATTAATATGGGTTTATTTACAGTTATTCTCTAATTCTTTCATCGCTGCATCTTGTAAAATAAAAATTTACATTCAATCATTTTTGAAAGCTGGAATATTTGCAAAACAAAAATGAGATACAGCATAAAATCGAACCGACAATTATGCACTACTAGATTTTGAGAATAGCAAGGTCATCAGAATTCGGTATTAGGGATTTATTGGTGTAGTTCTGGAATAGCGTTTCATGGCGTATTTTTTAACAAAAGAAGCAAGGTTTTATCATTTTCTAAAGTCGTGATGTAAGCAAAATAAAAAATGTCGCAAAAATTTTGATTTCATTATTTTAATATGTTAAAAATTATATTATTGTTGATTTGAGATCATTACATACACACCCACGCCTTCATTTCTCGAATACTGAATGTACGAGTACAGCACGAATAAATTGATAAATGAAATATAGTATTATGAATTTTGCAGCTGTTGTATATATTTAATATATCGACTTCATAGAATGCAACTATCTCTGAGACATTCACAAGATATACGGTTTAAAATAGATTAAAACTTTATTACTGTTAAGATCTAACACTAATATGAGATATTACATACATAAAAGTAGATTAGTAGAATAAAATAATATAGCAGAATGTGATAGATGATATTAGATATCCCGTAGTAGAAATTAGTAAAGTGTTTTCAATGAGGAGGAAGAAAAGAGTTTATTGATAATAATAAAGAGTTCAAAACTGATCATTTGTTTTGTACAAATTTTTCATCATAAACTTTCAAAAGAACATCAAGACCATCTGGGAAAATAGTTTTTGCTCGTTTTTCAATAATTTGGTTTTCTTCATCAACGAATGAACGTATTTGTTGTACTTGTTCATCAGAAACATTTACTTTCTTTGCCAGCTTATAAATAGCTTCAAGTTCTTTTGCATGTAGTTCACCATCAGCGGATGCTGCTCGTATTCCATAGTATAAAATGCTACAACGTGCTTGTTTCACATATTCCATATCCATATCCTGAAAAAATTTCTCAACAATATCAGATTCGCCTGGTTGATAGACTTTGAGTTCATCAATAATATTTTGTGGAAAACCTAAATATTTTCAAGAAACAAACAAATTAAGATGCTTCATTTTGTTAAGAGATAAATATTACTGACCACAAACAGCAGCAAATCCAACTACCCAATTGCGTTCAGGCTCACTAATTGTTCCATCAGCTCCAGCAATATGTAAGATAGTCTTTAAAAATAGAATGGCATATTCAGGTTTAGGCAATTCTTGGTCATATCCATATGATTCTCGAAACCAAAAACGTCCAGTAATAAGATCACGTTCTGTTCGCTCAGTACTCATATTTAATGTGGAAAATTGTAGAAATAACCAAAGACGTAGTACAAATCAAAGAGATCCGCTGATTCTTTTCTGAAAGAAGGAAATTCATTCCAAAACCATACATATTATTTCCTAGGAATGAGCAATTTCAATCTCGACACTAAACTAAAGAGTAACGATTCCCATATAATTTCAATTCAGAAAGAAGTACCACATCTGCATCACTATATCAAAAGTCAATAAGGGTATATTGTAACGTTATTATAGCGATACTGAACAAGCATTATTTTGAGAATAACTTCACATAGATAAAAGAAAAAAAATTTCTTCTGTTTCCCTCAAGAAAGAACGTACTGGAGAGTTTAAATAACATGTGATAACGGAGATTCGAGCCTCACATTAATATGCATAAATAGTTTCGAAGTGCTTAGTATATACTTATAGATATACATTTATATAAATAATTAGGTATAGTTACGTGAAAATTAACACTGGAATGTATTGAGGGTAGTTGTGTTCATATAGAGAAAAAGATATCTTACGTATTTATATCCACTGTAGTTACTTGTTTTTTCTCAAATAATTTTTATTTATGTGAATCAATCAACCGTGCTATTGCATACACTTGCAGATGAGATATACCTGGATGTTTTTTTCTTATCATGCTACACCATACAGTTTTGTTTTTCCTTTTGAATCCTTATCCGATGTACGAAGAAAACAAAACGAGTACATTTATACGGCAGTTCTTTTATTAGATATTTTTTTTCTTTTTCTTTTGCGTTTTCATCCAAGCATAACTCAATATTTTTTGCTCTAATAGCAGCTCATTGTTAAAAGAATCTACGAAAAATAACAAACAAAAATATATTATTTTGATCATCAGCTATATAAACTCTTGCAGCAATTTAATTCTCGATGGCCATCGAATCTCTTCGCATATGCTTTGTTAAATAGCTATTTATTTAGTATAACTTTATTTTCTATTAAATATACTTGTTTAATGTAATAATATTAGTGACTATATTTATTAATCTAAATTTGTTTTTAAATAACAATTTTCAATGTACATCTATTATTGATATAAACATAGAAATGAAAAACAAAAGTATTTTAATTAGACATTTTTTGTCTAAAATTAATTGATTCATGAATAAATTGTTTTTTTCCTTCAGTAAAATCTGCAACAACATCACCATGACCTTCAACAATCCATTTTGTTGTTAATAAACCTTCAACACCAACTGGACCTCGAGCATGAATACGTCCTGTACTAATACCAACTTCAGCACCTATTTATAAAAACAAAAATGTTTCGTTTTTTTTGTTTTAAAAACTATTCATTTGTTTCTTACCTAAACCAAAACGATAACCATCAGAAAATCGTGTACTAACATTATGAAAAACACATGCACTATCAACATTGTTCATGAACTCATTTGCGATATGTTCTAAAACATGAAAAAAAAGAAGAATTAAATTTCAATATATTTCTATTTGTTAAATAATTACGATTTTTTGTAACAATAGAATCCGTATGATTTGAACTAAATTTATTTATATGTTCAATTGCATCATTGACATCATCGACTACTTCAATACAACATTGTAAATCCCCATATTCAACACGTAATGAATTTGCTGGTGGTGGTGGAAATGGGAGCATAACAGAAAGGCGTGGACCAGAATAAATTTTAACCTTTTCAACACGAAATAGATCAATTAATGATTCAAAAAATGGTGTTCGAATAAGATCTTTATGTATAAGTAATGTTTCCATAGCATTACATGCACTTGGATAATCACATTTTGAATCTCGTACTAAAATATCAAATAGATATTTATTCATATGTGTTTTAAAATAATTAATTATATAATTTACCAATACGTAAAGCCATTTCTAAATCAGCATCTGCATCGATAAATACATGACAAATACCTTCTGCATGACCCAGAACAGGAATTTGTAAACTTTGTTTTTGTACTGAACGGACAAGTTCATTAGAACCACGTGGAATAACAAGATCGATATATTTTCCTAATTGAAGAAGATCAGCAACTTGTTCACGTGTATTGATCTGATAAAAAAATTATAAAAATGAAATAAAAGAAATTTTTTCTTCAATTACTAAAGCAATTGTTTCTCGTGGAGCAAATGGTTCAAGTGCATCTTGCATTAATTTGGTTAAGATTTCATTGGAATATTTTGCTTCGGAACCACCTTTTAACAGAAGACCATTGCCTGAACAAATAGACAAAGCAGCTATTTGAGGTAAACTATCTGGTCGAGATTCGAATATAACAAGAAGAACACCAATCGATGTTGTAATTTGTTTTAACATAATACTATCAGCTAAACGTGTTTGTCGAACAGTTTGTCCTAAAAACAAATATTCCAGTAAATAAAGAAGATTTAATGAAAAATTAAAAATAAACCAAGAATATCAGTTTTTTCAGCTATTTGTTGAAGACCCGTTGCTAGTGTTTGTAATTTTTTATCAGATAAACCAAGTCGATTTAATAATGTTGTTTTAAGACCTGAAATGTTAACAATTAAAGATTAAGATTTGTACTTGAAAAGAAAAGTCATTACCTTCTTTTGATGCTACATCTAAATCACGTTTATTTGCTTGAAGAATATCTTTGGAATAATCAATTAGATTTGATGACATTTTATTTATAATTTGTTTTCGGTCTCCTGCTGATAATCTTTGTAAAATTCGACTACCATCACGTGCTAAATAAATCTTCATTGATTCAAAAAAATATTTTGTCTATTAAATAGAAAATATACCTTTAACAGCTTGAACATCAACTGGTACTGTTTGTGTTGATGTTTTTGTAAAAAATGTTCCAATTTTTTTTCCATCAACAATATTTAATATTGCTTTATCATATTGACCATTACTTATTACAACACCAACATTATGATCAAGCGCCCATGATGCACATTTAACCTGAAAACAACTTTTAATAAATTTTCTTAAAAATATAAAATCTTTACTTTAGATTCCATTCCTCCTGTTCCAACACTTGATCTTGCACCAAATGATATCAATTGTGAATCTTGTTTTGGACAAAATGTATGTAATAATCTTGAAGTTTCTAAATCTGGTGGTCCAGTAAATAAACCATTAACATCACTCATAATTAATAAAAGATCAGCAGATATTAAAACAGCTAAACGTGCTGCTAATGAATCATTATCATTAATAACAATTCCATCTTGTGCTGCTGTTACTTCATCATCTGTATCTGTACATGGTGCAACAGCATCATTTGTATTTAAAATTGGTACGATATTTAAATTAAGTAATTCATTTAATGTTGCTTGTAAATTTTTTCGACTATCAACATTATAAAAATCTGTTTTGGTTACAAGTACTTGTGCAATACCAACATTATATTGTTGAAACATACGTTCATATAATGACATAAGACCTTTTTGTCCAAAAGCAGCACATGCTTGTCTTTGAATAGCTTGACGACTATTATGAAGAACGTCTTTTGGTGAAAGAGATTTTCTCATTGTCATTGTCATCATTGCTTCTTTTCGAAGAACTTGTCGACCAAATGCAACCGCACCACTTGTAACTAATAACATTTGTCGACCTTCATTTTGTAATTGTGATACTTGTTCAACTGTAGATGCTAAACGTCCAAGTGCAAGACCATCTTCATTTTCACGTGTAATCAATGCTGTACCAAGTTTAACAATAATACGACGAGCATCTTTCATTTCATTACGATGTGTTATATGAAGACATTTAGAATTAAGTATATCATGTCTTTGTTGAAGAATGCGTTTCCAAGATAAATAACTATTTCGATATAAAATTGACATTTTTTTTATTCAATAAATCTAATAGAAATATATATATATATATATATATGGATGCGTGTTTTTATATTTTGTTTAAGTATCAAAGAATAACACTTGTTGAAACTAAATGATTTATATTTGTTTTATGATATGAGTTATATGTTAACTGATATACTGTGAATAATTGTACATTGCTTTTTTCTTTCTTTATGTGATAATATGCTTGAATGTTTTAAGACTATCATACGGTATGTGACGAAATAACCTCAAAGGAAAAGAAATGTGTGACTGTAATCATCTTTTTTTTGTATTTGTTATCTTGAATATGTGAAGTGGAGAACAAATAAATGTGTACAGATAAAAATATATCAATGTTAAATATATTTGTTTTTGTATAAAATCATTGGCAAAGAAACAAATTAGTAAAAGTAATACTCAAGCTTTTTTATTCTTCGTTTACTTTACAATATCAAAACATCTTTTAATTAACATTTTCTCATGTAATTCTTAACATCTGATTTCCATATTTCCTTATCTATACACAATTATTAACATATATGTCAGACCTGAAAAAAAAATACTCAATTCGAATAATTAAATGTGAGAATAAAAATGAATAGTTTTCTTTTTTATTGACTTGTTTAGGAAAGGGAAAGGACATATAATCTAGATTAAATATACAAAAAAAAAAGAACAGAAGAAGAGAAAAGAAAACAATAAAAAAAAAAGAAAATGAGACAATGTATGACTGGCACCAAAGGAAGTTGTTGCATATGTAAAATGATGTAAATCTTCCTGAGATTCCAGTATAATTTAATATAATACGAGTATCACAGACAAAAATAAAACGTGTTTTTTTTTGTTTATTTTCTTTTCTCAAACATCTGTATCTTTCGATGATTTGTTTTCTGATTTTTCTTTTTTCATTTGTTGTTGTTGTTGTAGTTGTTGTTGATTTATATAAGCAGCTAGAGGTGGTGGTGGAATGCGTGATGGTCTTTGTCGATGATTTGTATTACCATTTTGATGATTTATATGTGGTTGTAATATACTCGTATTTGTATTAGTTTCATTATTTGTTATTTGAGTAATCGGAATAGTAGTATTGGTATTATTATGACGTTGAGGATTAACCGTTGAATAAAGTCTATTAGCAGTTTTATAACGTATCCATAATTGATTGATTATTTCTGTTACAACAAGATCGCTACTATTTAATGAAAGTAAACGTGTCAAAAAAACTCCATCGTCTTTTAAATAATGTAGGACAAATTCACGTGCTTGTTGACGTTCTTCTTGAGGATTATAGGATGACATTATACCAAGATGACGTTTTATAAAATTAACTTTTTCACCTAGAAAAAAATAAATTTCGAAAGAAAAAACAAAATAAAATCTTTGAGGCAATGTTGTTGATGATCTCTTAATAATCAAGTAACAATTGACTTTTACTTCTAATAAAACTTTATTGAATCTAGATCTATTCAATGAACTCTACCGATCCGATCGAGAATAGTCATTGAAAGTCTAGATCGGTTTTATATCTGTTTTCGGCTCTTATCATTAATGGAAATAAAATTCAATTAAATTATCTCGTCTAAGCTAAATATGCCCTGCAACTTATTCAGTAAATAATAAAAATATTTTTCTCAAATCAACCTTCAACATTGATTCTAAAAAATGGATCATTGGATATTTTAAACCGTCTGATATTTAATACAATCATAAGTTATTACATCCGCACTTTTTTGTAATAGAATATACTCATTATGGCTAAATGCATGAGAGGAAATATTTTCAAAATCATTTCCGAATTAAAAAAAAATTTTTTTTTATTATTATTAGTTTACTTGAATATGTAAGAGTCAATGTAAATTATCCATTAGGTATTATTAATAGTAAAAACTATAGATTAATTAATCAAATTCTGAAAAATAGCTTTCCTTCATTGTATCTAAATACGGAAATGACAATTTTCTCATATAAAAACACTCGAGAAAGAAAAAACTATTCATTAGTAACTGATCAAAAGTTGATATCAATAGAAAGGCACTCAAAAATTATCAATTTACAATAATACTATATAAGTTCATGGCCTTTTATTTAAGAAGAAAGATATTAATATCTTTCATTATCCAGGCATTGAATTCTAAAACGATCTCAGACAAGTGATCTTATCAAAAATAATCTCAAGACTCAGAAAGTTTCTTTAATTACATTACAGCTGTTACAAGCATCCCTTCCAGTCATCATATATCTCTCTTCCATTGCGAGAGAAAAAAAACATTATAAAAAAAGGTCTTAGTTCTATTGCAGATTATTCGTCAGCCAACACAAAAAAAATGTTTCACAACATTGTCGTTACAAAATTATCTTGCGGAACTAAAAAAGTGTCGACCAAATTATTCTAAATGTCATTCATTAACTTTTAAGTAAAAAGCGCATCAAGAATATCTTATCCAAAAAGCTTATATTACTAAAAATATATTTCCGATCTAGTTAACATCAAAGCTAACAAGAAAAAATCTTCTATACGTACGTGGTACAGTACAATGATATAACCAAAGTAAAAAATCATATAAAGTTGCTAATTAAAATAAACAAAAACTAGAATAAACAAAATCTATTAAGAAAATATCATACCAGCACAAATTGATATAAGCCAAAACCATTGAATAATAAAAATAACTTCATTAAATAAATTAATTCTTAATACACATTGTACAGTATAGAAATGATTAATACCAATTTCTCGAATTTTAAAATCACTAAAACAAAAAAACAAATTCGTATATTTATTAAATATTGAATGAATTTTTTGTTACCAATATGTCACTTTAGGAAAATGTTTATTTTCTGTCCAACGTTGATTTTTAAATAATTTTTCAATAACTTCAAAACCAAATAAATAATAATCATTGCCTAAAAATGCATTTAATAAAAATAGTTGTCCTAAGGCATTAACAAGCCACATTAATTTGACAATAAAATAGATAATAACAAGATAATTTCCATAATATCGATTTGAACAAAAGAAAAATAATTGAAAAAATCGACGAATACATGAAACACGTTTTTCAATATGACGACGAGTTAATTGAGCACGTGCTGATATATAACGTTCAATATTGATAAGTAAATAACTCATTATACGTTCTCGAGATTCATACTGTTCTACTTGTTCGTATTTCTACAAAAAAAAAGGCATGATTGAATTTCTATCGATAAAAGACAAAGAATTGTTCTCACAATAGCTGCATCGACTAGATTTATTAAATCAAGACCTGATCGAACATTCAATGTACGCCAAACAATACGAGGAAAATAAAATAAAAAAGCTTGAAAAAGTAATATGAACGGTACCCATTGATAATAAAGCTATAAAAAGAAATAATTTGATAAATGTTTTTCAAATTAAATAGATTTTTACAATATCTTTATCTCGTCGACCTATTTCATCATCAGGTAAATCTTGATCAATTGGAATATCTAAAAAGAAATGTATTTCATATTAAACAATGAACAATTCAATTATTTTCTTACAATATGTATTAGCAATCCAACAATAACTATCTGTATATGCTTCATAAGATGGTTTGAATTGAGCTGGTACCTAAAATGCATAAAATCGAGGTTTCGAAAAAAAACAAAATAAATCTCTGCTTATATACCCAACAATCGATTGGATCGCCTATCAAAACAACAAAAAAAAATAAGATGAAATAAATTACTTTTTTTTTTAATATAAATCATTTTACCGGCATATTGTTTGGTCGTAATTAAAATAGCAAAAACGACACATAATGCTGTTGTATAACGATGACTGAGTCGATCAACATATGAATCATCATCACGAAATTGTCGAATATGTGACACAGAAAGACCGGCTAATTGCCTGACTAATTCCATTTATATTGTTGTTCTTTTGATTGCCGTTGATGATCATTGAGCATAGTCTTTCTATAAAGCAATCAATACTGCTTAGATCTAAAACAAAATAAGATTCTTTTTTATGATTCATTGATTTTATGTATCATATTATCAATATAATTATTAGTTTACCTTTCTTTTCTAATTCATTTAATTCGACTACTTCGACTACTTCAATGAAATGATATTCATATCAAAAAAAAAAATTTTTATTTATTTATTAAGAGATATGCGATTTGAACTTGAATAATGGCATTATATCCGCCTCTTCATACTCTTCTCATTCGCTCTCGCTTCTATTATCACATTGCATTATCAAAAAATGATTGTGGAAACGAGATTCCTCGTTTCTACATGCGGCATTTCTGTTCCTGTTACAACCATCATCATCATCATCATCATCATCATTATTATTATTATTACTTGAGAGTAAGGCGACTCGTCGAGCGAACGAGAGAGAGAGGGAGAAACGGAACGAAGCGAATAGAGAGTAAGGAACATCTATCTATCTATACACATATACGCCACTCCTTATACCCAATGATTACATAAAAACTAGCGCAAACATGAAGAAGATGTTTCTAGCACAGTTACGATTGAAACACACACGCACATTTATTTTGATAAGATAAAAACATAAGCACGCATGCATATATCAATTAATTTTATCAGACTTCAAATTCGAATAATTGAAATAGTGATAATCAAACTCTAATTTTGATATTAACCAAAGATAAAAATTAATGAAGATCTGGATAACCATAAGCATAAGACAATAATAATATAATAGAGAATGTCTATAACTAATTTCATTATTCTAGGCGACAAGACACATATAGATACATAGCTACATTTACTACTGATGAGAAGGAAGATGATTGTGTTTATTTATCATTATACAGTAGGGAATATAAGTATCGATTTCAATCAATATATTAAAAAAAAATCTAGTCAAGTAACTTGTGTAGTTCAGACCGATCGTCATCATAAACTTACGAAATAGGCAATAGAATAACTACTCTTTTTGAGCACTCTACTGACTCGTTCTCTTTCAATTATTATCGAGAGACTCTCACGCAATCGTAGCTGTCGGTCTGCAAATTTTGAAGGCCAACTTGAGAGTTCAACCACTAAAATAAATCGTCATTATATATCTATGAGTACTAACATATGTAATATTGACAATATAGAAACAGACAAATTTCTTAGAATCGACCATTTGTTTCTTGTTATTCTTTTTCATTAATGACTATCTAACTGTCAATCAACTTATGTCGGTATTAAGAAAAGCAAGACCACCTACCTGTATTGATAATTTATATGTTCTTTTCTGTATCAATCTCCAAAGATTTTATCGTTAGATGACGGAGAAAAAAATTTATCATTGATTAACAAAATCGTATAGCAGATAGTATGTAATGGAAAAAAATGTTTTCTTCTATTCTACACTGCTACGATTCATTGACAAGACGAGAGGGAGAGAGAGAGAGCGAACGAACGAACGAACGACCGACAAGAGAGCAATGATTTTCTTAACACAAGCATCTCTCTATTAGGCTAGTTAGAAATACATAAGACATTAACATGGCACGTATGTACAACAGATAGACGAACAACACATCAACAACTATCTATCCAAAATGCCACAATACTGAAAGCAAAGGAATGCCCAATATTAATCCTTTTCTTCTCTCCTCCTCTTCCTACTTGTTCTATTCTATGTCTATCCTCGTTTTCGAGCGGTCACTCATTCACACGAGTTAGCAAGCAGGAAGTTCTTTACTGCCGGAGGCCACTTATGTATGTTAGCTATGAGCAGAAACGATAGTTGTGTTCATCAATCTGAACTGAAAAAGAAGAAGAAGGAGAAAGAAGAAGAAGAAGAAGAAAAAAATGAGCAGCGTTTTCCAGACTTGGAACATTAGTACATGTTTGCTCATTCATTCCTTTCTTCGTTTCGTCCTCGATGGTCCTGATGTCATGTACAATAAATGCCCTTATGCGCCCTGTCGCGCACAGCATTATGTATATATAAGATAGTGACACGATTTACTTTATAAATCACATCTGTGAAACAAAAAAAAAAAGAAGAAATAAAAAGAGTGAGAACAAGGGAAAAAAATCCATTTCTTTCTTTTTGCTTTCAATAAACGAGAAGTATTGAGTTTTTTTATTTTCAAGTATTAAAGAAGAAGGAATAATAATATGAGAAGTAGAAAAGTATCAGATGGTGCCGAAAAAAAATAAAGTGAATAGAAATACTAAATAATAATAATCATAATCATAATCATAAACATAATGATGATGCGACAAGGGACCGATCATTGACAATAAAGACTTGATTTTATACTAGATGGGTACACAGACTGCTCTCATCTATTTCTCTCTCTCGTCATCATTTCCGTCATGATAGTGACCTGAATAAATGTATTACTTATAAAATCTCTCTATGACAACAATGACCAATTGAGTAATTGATTGTTCCATTTTGATATATATTTAGAATTTACATAATGATTTGTTATATCTTCATAAGGAAACAAGAATGAGAAAATATATAGAACAGAAAAAAGAACAATGGGAAAACCACATGTCATTTATCTTACAGGCAATATGTATTGCCTATAGACAACAACGCGTTATGTTTATATGTGTTCCTCTTATTAATTTTTTTGCTTCGTTCTTATCTTAGACCTCCGTTACAGAACATTGATGATGATCGATGGCACATAACGCCATTATATTGTTTAGTAACAAGTATAACCACCAAGTGCTTTTGATCACACATACCTCGCGAAAAAGGAATATTTCTTATTAGAAGCCGTCTAAATGAAGGCTTTCTTTGTTGATCATTATGATTGAATAGATCTGTTTTTCAATCATGTCTATATACAATCTTTCTACACATCAAAAAATGTCATATTTCAAGATTATCCATGTCAACAAATCTTTCTCAATAAGCATTAGAAGACATTACAAGCTCTAATGAGAATAGATTAATGTCAGATATCTCATTAAACTTTTATTTTAATAGATCGTATTATTTTTGTTTCTGCTTCATAAATTCTTATTAAAAATTAAAAGGCACATTTTTACAACAACAAAATACTAATGGAAGAACATATTGAAAAATAATTGAAATAATTGTAAATTGATATACATTTCCTTGACAATAATTTACTTGATCACTTTCTGTATATTGTACATTCATATATATACGAAATGTCCAAATACTTCCAATAATAACCCATATAAAATTAAATAATTGTAATATTATAATTAGAATAGCTGTACAATGAACATAATAAAATCCAATTATAGTTTTATCTTTTTCTCGATGATGAATTATACAAGCAACAATACTAAAACAAATACTTATAAGATTAATACTACCTAAAACAATCAAATACATTGGTATTCGAGGTTCCATTGGACATGATGATTGATTTGCTCCACCAATTCCCAATGTAATCAATGTAAAGATTAAATCGAAAGCTATGCATATAATCGAACACGTAAATGATATTGTATTAATTCCAGCTATTTTACGTAATAATTCACTGTAATCAGTTGTTTGAGATTGAAATGATGATTGTGTTCCAACAGTTGGACATGAACTTAAATCAACTGTAATCGAACGAAGATCAATACCAGTAGTAGTCATAGGATTTTTAGTTTTGTAACACAAAAAAAAGAAAATAACGCACTTCGAAATAAAGAAAAAAAAATGAAATGATTCCTGTTTTTGATACAATATATGCAAAATAAGTAAAATTAAAATTTGATTGAATATTCTAGAATAGATGCTGATAAAAAAACAAGTTTCTATAGAAAAATGGCTTCTTTTTCTATTTTATTTAATTATATAAAAATTAATACAGACACATTTGTTTGTTTTTTTTGTCCAAGTAAAGATAATAAGAAAGAATTCACTATCACGTATATATAACCTTTAATTTCCATTACACTGAATATTGAACCAACAATACTACTAAATGATCGAGTTATTTAATATAAAAAAGATGTCATAATAATTATTCTAGTAAGTAATTTATTAAGAAAAAATCTGATTATCGTTAGAAGATGAAAGAAAAAAGTAAAGATTATTGTGTGCATAATAAATTAGTTCATTATTGACAAATGTTGTTAATATGATGAATAGAATAAAAGAAAGCTCAGATGGGATTTATTATATAGATTACTTTATATTCATGGAAAAAATTTATTTCAAAGGGTAACACAAAAGATGATGATTTGTTATGTTTTTACTTAAAAAGTATTGCATGTTTATCTTTAAAATGAAATCATTCGTTTAATTATGATATGATCATTAACTTGTTGTCTATCAGGAAGCCGACACATATGGATAAAATAGAAGCGATATATTATATTGTAATTATGTTGTAATAGAACTATAATAGCTATGAAGAAGACGTAATTCTAATGAGAATAACAGTTCATTTCAATACTGTTTATTCTATTAGTTTTATGTCTTATTTTCTACATATGTAGAATCGATACATATTCCAAAAAAAGCTTTTTTTTGTTTTCAGGATAATTATCTTGTTATCAAGCAGATATTTGCAGATGAAATCTTTGTTGACCTCAAAAGATACTTACTGGATTGTTGTGTGTTCTTCACTGGAACTAAAATTTTAGCAAAATGCAACATAGATGGAAGCTTATCCTTGCTCTCTTTTTTTTTACCGAGACAATAGAATTGATTATCTCGATAGTATAACTAAAAACTAAGATTACAATTGTAATGTATTCAGAAGAGTCTCCAAGATTTATTAGTGCTTTAAATAGTAAACAAACGTTTATATATACTTTAGGATAGTTTATCTAATAAACAACTAGTGACGATGAATATGATTGATATCAGTGACCTTTTGTAATAGTTTTCAGTAAAGCATATCTACAGAGACGTAATATGATATGACATTATGTATATATAACATTCAAATAAAATCAGCTAAGATTCAGACAGATATGTCAGGATTAAAAAGAATTCAATTATTTCGTTTATTTTAATATTTTCATCACGAACAAAAAAGAATAATCTAAAAGATATTAATCCATAGAAAATATGACATGAACTTTTTATTATTCTAAATTTGAAAAGAAGGATTAGAATCATTCTCAGAAAAGCATAACTTTTGTTATTAGAGATTAAGAAACATACGTTGTATTATTATGATTTAGTTTTCAATTTTATAGATATTCTTTTGTTTGTTATCTTTCTAAGAAAAAATTACATTCATTAGAATTTGGATTCGAGAAAAGGGGAATATTTTTTATACTTTATAATTAATTAATAATATAGAAGAGTAAACTATTTTTACTCTATTTTCATTGTGCATACGATTTCAAATCGATTACAATAATTATATCGAATAAAATAATAACTAAAAATTCTTATGATAATAAATGCAAGAAAGATCTTCAAGTAATACATTATATGAATATATATCATATAGAATGTAGATATAAAATCCGACGAATGAATCCTACTTATCAGAACTATAGAAACCAATTTTTAATGCTAAGGTTTTTGAAAAACTTTTCTCGTCTTATAGAAATTGCTAGTATATTTAACTATTGAAATGATTCTCTTAGATAGTCACCTAATTCCCAAAAAACTGAATAATTTCATAATAATATACGGAACAGGTTTCCGAAAGACACATTCTTCAATTTTTATGTAGTGTAATATTTTTTATTTATCTGATATCTGACATTGATCGAAGTATATCAGTATGAATAGTTAAATTAATTACATTATGTGACTCGATTCGTAAGATATGGCTTTCTATTGAAGAAAACCAGTCTTAGCCAAGCTGTGAATATATATATTAAATCTATTCCTCAAAATGATGAAAAATTTCTTGTAATGAACATTTTATGTATCTGTTTTGAACAAAGTTTAATTGAAACGACATAAAAATAGTGCAATTATCTATAAAAAAAGACGATGAAGATGATGTTTTCAAGGTATTGCTTGTGCTGTGACAATTTTATTTTCTTCTATGGCAATGAACAGATGTAATAGAGATGAAGTAACGAATAATTAAGAAAAATAAACTAAAAATTGTAAAGACATGTTAGATTTTATGAAACAAACAATAGGATAAATATACAACATATTATTAATTATATTTGCCTGTTGTAAAAGAAAATTTCTAAGTGATTAATATGGTCTAATCTACGAAAGTTATCTGCTTATAAATTGAGAAAACAAGTATACGTAAATGTATTTTATTATATGTACATATTTTATTTTCCAAAAACTAGATCTGAATCTTAAATATATCCACAAATAGAATAAAAAAGTGACGATGTATGAACGACGATAATATTCTCATCTTCGCTAGTTAAATATTTTTCATTATTCAGAATAAAAAAAACATTTCTATTTCGATTTTATCAACATATCATTCTCTCCTATACATGCGACATCTCTGTAAATATTCTCATTGGTTTTCAGTAGTCATACAACTATATTGTAAATAAATAAATAAAGAAAAGAAAATTAGAAACATACATATATCTATCCATATGATTTTCAATGTAAACTTGGCATCTATTAATGTTGTTTTTTTTTAATTTAAATAAATTTTGAATGTGAATGTATGGCCACAACAAATGAATCTTCGACGTCAAATATTTTAAATACAAATAAAACAATATCTATTCATCATTTAAGTCGAAGTCTAGAACGTGCTCTTGATGAAGCTACTTATACAGGTGATCTTGTTTTGAATGGACGAAAACTTCGAGAATTTCCAAATTATTCCTACACAAATAATAAATGTGATCTATCAGATACAATTACTGCTGGTTTGTAGATTTAATTTCAAAGAAAAAAAAACTTTTCTTTTTATATACATAGATCTTTCCCGTAATCGTTTTGTTGAATTTCCACGTATATTATGTTCATTTTTTTCACTTGAACGTCTTAATTTATATCATAATGCTATTAAATCAATACCAGAACAAATTGCTCAAATGTATACACTTAAAGTTCTTGATTTAAGGTTCGATATATCCAAAAACTAAAATTATTTATTAAAAAAATATATATTTTTAGTCGAAATCAACTTGCATATATTCCATCATCATTATGTAAATTACCTAATTTAGAAGTATTAATTATTACTAACAATAAACTGATTTCATTACCCGAAGAAATCGGTCAATTAGAACGATTAGTTGAATTAGTACGCTATTTTATTTATATACATTTTTCTTACTCTACATATTTTTATCCTTATTCATCTGGGTTTTTTTTCAAATAGGATGTTAGTTCTAATGATATTAATCAATTACCATATCAAATGGGAACATTGACAAATCTCCGAACATTAACTATTCGTCGAAATATGATCAATGAATTACCAACCGGTAAATAGAAAGTTAATTTTATTTGAAATATTTCTATTCGAATAGTCTTCTATTCAGTTTAAAATTAACTATTTTCTTGAAAGTAAGATATTGCTTAAAACCTTAATGCTTTATTTTTTTTTCCAAAAATGAAAAAATTCCCTTTTGCACGGTTTGATTTGAGTGACTTTATTTTTCATGATTATATTTAAGTATTTTTCTTTAGAATTATGTAATTTAAAATTAACACATTTTGATTGTTCATTTAATCGAATTATTCGTTTACCATTAAATTTACGAGAAATGGTTAGTTTAATTGAATTGAATGTTGAAAATAATCCATTAGAAAGTCCACCATCATCGGTAAGAATTTATTGATGAAAAAAAACCGGAATATTATTTCTCTCATTTCAAGGTGTGTACACTTGGTTTACTTCATATAATGCGTTATCTTCTTGTCGAAGCCATGAAAGAAGAAAAACGTCGTGGAATATTAACTGAATATGAAATTAATACAAAATATCGAAGTTCATTTTCATATCAAGGATCAAGGTAATTTTCTCTATTAATACAGCTATTTTCTTTAATTTGAAAAAGAATGCCTAAGGCAAGGCCACTTGCGCATTAGTTCATTAATGATGTGTCAATTAAATTAATACCTTACGTATTACTAAAGAGCACACAAAAAGAAAATAGAAGTGTAATCACCTAGAGGCTATTAGAAAATGTAAAAAAGACATTAAATATTGAGTACAATAAAAATCATAGTACTATCGATATGAACGATTATTTGATTTGTAATACAGATATTAATTTTAATGAACAAAGACTTAATCGTATATTTCCATTAACTTATTTATAATCATTTGGATGAGTGAATTTTCATTTATTCATTTCCCAGGAGGATATAATCTTCTTATTGAATTGAAAATTCTTTTATTTTAACAAAGAAATTCTTTTTTTTTCAGGATATATCGAACAGCATTCTAAATAGATTGTCTCTAATGCTCTCATTATTTATCTTCTAACTGCTTCCTTGTTTTTTTTCTCATTTTATTTTAATAGAATTTAATTTATTTTCTATATTATTGATTTAAAAACTTATTTAAATTGATAATAAATCTAATTAATACACATATATATACTTATTTTAGACATCTACAATGTGGAACAAGATTACGAAAAACCGTTGTACCATCGGATTCAGGTTATTTAACAACAGAAGGCAGTGAAAAGACAATGGGCGATGTAAATATATCTATACTTATTTTATTTGACTATTAATTATTCTTATAGGATGATTCCGTCATAAGTATGCCGAATGATCAATCGCTTCGTAATGAACCTACACTAATGCTTACTCTTGCTGATGAATTTTCTAAAGTAAATTATGATTTTTATTTCGAAATCTTTTATTTTTGATTATTATTATATAGGAATTAGCGAGACAAAAAACTGAATATGATAAAAAGAAATGTCAAGCACATCAATTAAAAGCACATTTATTACAACAATTAGGAGAAACAGAAAATCAAGTAAAAATTTAATTTTTTTTGTTTATTTAAAATATTTGATATAAAAAATAGAGAGCAAAAACACGAGAAATTGCACGACGAACTCATGATGAAAAATTAGCAAAGATGGAAAAACAAAGAGAAGATGCACGAAGAAAAATGGAGAACAGGTAATGAATATTTTTTTAAAGGGAGTGTCTCGAAATGAGAATCTAAGTGTTGTAATCTCTCATGATGATTGTTAATCTAATAGACTATTTTTTAGTTTTGACATGAATTCTAAATTATCGATCAGATTTATCATAAAAGCATTTTTTACATTAAAAACTATTTGTTCAATGTAATTGAAGTTGCCCGAAACGATTGCGTGTCAATTAAATAATTTTCTCCTAAGGTTTCAACTTATACATTATTTACCAGGATTATCGAAGAGATCAGATTACCTGTCCGGCTTAAAATTTCATCAATATACTAGAACAATTACTAATTTACGTATTCTTTATAATTAAGAATCGTGATTGATCAATTGCAAATAATCTAATTCAATCTTTTATCTTACAAAATATACATTTGTTTTTCTCTTATCTAATGAAATGAATTATTTTGAATGTTTAAATTTCATTTTGTAGTCAACAATATTCACAATAAAATTATGGTAGAATGAAAGCTTTGAAAAAATAATAGTAATTCTTATGCTCTTGCTCTTCTAGTTTATAGTTTTTTTTGTATTTTATTTCCATTTCTAATTGATTGACTTCTTCTAGTAAAAATATTCAATTGTTTAATTTCACAACGAAAGAACGTCCATGGCCATTATCGAGACAAATGTCAAGTGTTGAAACATCACCATCTGATGCTACGGAGAACTATAATTCATATCAACGTTCAATTTCAATTGATAATTCAACAGTAGGAAATTTATTATCACGTTCAAATCGTGCCATTAGCGTTGACCCAAATCTAACTACTCGTAATAATGATATGAAAATGAATAATGGACATTATCGTCATTATTTGCATCAGCAAAATTCTGCACCAAATGGCTCATTAACTCCATATGATAGTTCAATCACAATAAATAGACAATTTACTAGTTCAGATACTATCGATCAATCAAAGTAAAATAAATTAGTTGTGAAAAAGAAGAAAATAATATTTTAATTTTAGATTGTCTTCACAAAATATTAGTTATGATCGAATAGTAAATAAATTTGAATAAGAATATTTTAAAAATGAAAATGTTTTTTTATTTAGGATAATTTACATCATAAACATTATGAAGAAAGTCGATTAGCTAAATTAAAATATTTTGATAATATTCAAACTAATGTAAGTTTAATTGATTTTTCTTTTCTTCCAATGTTTTTAATATTTTAGTCTGGTGGATTAATACCTGGTTTGCATATGCAACCGAAAAGTAATTTTATTTTTAATATAAGAAAAGAAGAAGAATATATTATGAATTTTAGTTTCTCCTCTACATCAACAATCATCAATTGAAAATACTGTTCGTAGAAATTTACTAAATGTAAAAGAAGATAATATTCAATTGGAACAAATGAAAAAGGTAAATTATGAGTTATTGAATTACTCTGAATAATTCTTTTTACGACTCCGTCGCCCGAGGAAACGATTGTAATAGAATAAACTATGCCAGTTTTCTTTCTTATCGAATTAATATAAAAGAATTTCGAATATTTACAACTGTAAACAAGTCATGTCTAGAATTCTATTGAAGCAATCATGATTTAACTTGATATTGTCATCTAGATATGATATTCATTCGAAAATTCATCAAGTAAGCAAGTATCCGGTATAACATTATCTTAGATTCCTTCAATTATTACTACGGATGCAACAAATTCAGAGCTTTTGGATTTGGGTTTGACTTCAGATTTCGTAAATCTAAGATCAAACTCAAATTTTCCTTGAGATTTGTTGCGTCCTTAATTATTACCGAGGAAAATGCATAATCAAGGGTCTGCTTTTCTCGTTTGCTTAATAATTAATAACCATATCTTAATATTTGATTGTGAACTTAAAGATATAAATGATAATATTCTGTGTATTTTTTCTAATTTTTAGACAATTGAAGAACGTTTGAAAGTGACACTACCCGATGATATAGGTTATGCATTAAGTGATGGTGTTGTTCTTTGTCATTTTATCAATCAAATTCGTCCACGTTCTGTTCAAAGTATTCATGTACCTTCTCAAGCAGTTGTATGAATATTTTTGAATTTCTTTTATTTAAATAATAAACTATTCATTGGTTTTCTTCTAGCCAAAACTTTCCTCGGCGAAATGTCGACGAAATGTCGAAAATTTCATTGAAGCTAGTCGTCGTATTGGTGTTCCAGAGGTAAGTTCCTAAATCTAAGACAATTTACTAAAAAAAAAAGTAGCATGTGCTTGATAAATAAAAAAAAACTGACTAAGCATGATTAAAAAACTAATAATCTAGCATGGGTTTGCGTGTGTTATAGTCATGTCTTGCTAAACTAACTGATATCATCGCACCGATTGATCGAACAAATTCTAATTCCAATCAACAACTTGGTTTATATCGTTTATTTTTAACAATAAATTATCTTGAATTAATCTTTTTAAATAATCAAGAACTATGTACAAATAATCTATGTTCATCATTTGATAAAATAATTGCTAATTTTCTTCTTGTCTTTCTTGCTTTCAGTAGTTTCTTATTTGCTTATTATCACAACTATTTCTAGAAAAACAACACAATTTTTTTTTCTTTTTTGCTTTTTTGCACGTCATTTTGTATGTCCGGTGTGTGTCATGTGTTGTTGTTGTTGTTGTTGTTGTCTTTTTGATTTCTACTATAGGTCGATTTATGCAGTGCTCAAAACATCATTGAAGACAAAAATACGGTGCGTTTGGCCCGTCATATCCATTTATTAATTACACCTGAATCTTTCGAGCAAACAAATGTTTAAATAAAATAATTCAATAATGACATCTAATGTCGATCTTATTCGTGGTGTTTTTTTTATATCTGTTTGTTTTTTTTTGTTATAAAGCAATATTCAGTGTGTGTCTGTGTGAAATTCTTAATGATGCGTACGAATAAAACATTAAAAAAAGAGAATTTGTTTTTTTTTAAGAATTGTGTTGTTTGTTAGTATTGCTTTATCTTTTGAATTTTGTAGAAAATAATGAGTTTTACACATGATCTTAAATTACCGAGTTATGATGAATTGGAATGTCCGGTTGTGAATGTTTCGTCACCAGCACTACGAGCAGGAAGTTTTCATTTGGCGAAATATTGTGATTTACAATTTAAAGTTAGTCTAATACATATTGTTTGATTAATATATAACTGATATCGTCTTTTTTTTAGGAATTTATGTTATGTCGACAGGTTCGTACTGGTTTAAATGCTATTGATCTGAGATATTATGTTTAATTTTGGTAAAAGAACAAATATGAATACAAGCATTTTTTAGCCTTTTTATTATATGATCGCCATCATGATTTTATTGACTACAGTTTATTGTGGAAGAGAAATGTTTCGATATTGATAAAATCTGTTCAACAAAATATATTTTTTTCGAGTAGCATCAGGAGTTATTAGTCATTTGATATGAATAGAAAAAAAAGTTGAAGTAATCGTCAACGATTAAACAATGACTTTATGATGTGTCTTTTCCAATAGTGAATTAGATTAGTATCAAATATCTCAATTATAATTGCTGAAAAACTTATTTTTTATTATTTATAGGAAGAACAAGATCCACGAAAATGTGTAAAAGAAGGCAAAGACGTTTCATTATGTTCTATTGATTTTTTTCGTAAAGTACGTGATAGTTGTAATGATACATTTACTACATTTTGGACATGTCTTGATAATGCACGCGAAGGTGAAATGTCATTTAATTAGTATGTTAATTTTTTTATTAAGATTATATTTAATTAAAACGAAAAGAACTTTTGTTTTTTCTTCTTTCAGTTGTAAACAAGAACAGAGAGCATTTGAGCAATGTGCAAAAGATAAAATGAATTTAGAACGACCTGAACCAGGTTATTTTTCAATGGTGCGTATGCATGATAGTAAACGACCTGTACCGTCTGATCCATTTCGTCTTGGTTCAACAGAACGACATCCACCAAAATTAGAAGTTCCAGATCCACCATCAATATCTCAAGCTAATGAATATCCCGAAGCAAGACTTGGAATGAAATTTGGACAACGAAAACCTTGGATGTTTGAAGCTAAATTATGGGAATGAACTATAAAAGAACTAAACCGTTTTTCTCAACAGTTAGTGTGTAGTTTGAAATTGACTTCTTTTTCTTCATTGTCCTTTTGTTCCTATCCGATTCTTTTATTTTCAAGTTATGATATTCTCTTATCAATATAGGAGAAAATTTCCCATAGTACATTTCAATCTATTCTAGATGCCAAAAGTAACTAAATTAAAAGTAACTCAAAATGTTACATCTAAACGTAATTTAAATAAAAATAAAAACGATGAATCACAATCAATTATTACAATTGTTGATAAAACTGATGATGAAAATTTGAATGAAATACAAACAAAAAAACGAAAAGCTTCAACTTCACCAAACAAGGTGAATCTCTACCGACTAATCTATAATGATACTATTTTTGTTTAGAAAGTGAAAAAGGTAGCATCAACTAGTGAAGATGATAATATGGAAAATACTGAAAAAATTAGGAGTAAAATAAAACAACCAGCTGCAATGACATTAAAAACATCGGATCGTTTATCATGTAAAGGAGAAAAATCAACATTAAAAATTGCATCATGGAATGTAAATGGAATTCGTGCATGGATAACCAGTGGTGGTTTGAAATATATCGAACTAGAACAACCAGATTTAATCTGTTTTCAAGTAGAATTTAATAATATTGATTTTTGTTAAATAATTTGATTTTTAAGGAATTGAAATGTGATAAAGAACAAATTCCAGTTAAAGCAACACCAACTGGTTATAAATCTTTTTGGCTTTCTGGTGATCAAAGTAAATACTCTTCAAATTAAGAACTATGACGACCATCAAAATTATTTAGAGGGATATGCTGGTGTAGGCTTATTAACTAAGATCGATCCAATTGATGTTAAATTTGGTATTGGTATTGCTGAACATGATAATGAAGGACGTGTTATAACAGCTGAATATGATAAATTCTATCTTGTTGTATCATATATACCTAATAGTGGTCGTAAACTTGTACGTTTATCTTATCGACAAACATTTAATCAAGCATTTCATACTTATTTAAAAGAACTTGATAGGAAAAAACCTGTAATATGGTTCGTATCAAAAAAATGATCATAGGAATTAAAAATAAATAAATTTATTCTAGGTGTGGTGATTTAAATGTATCACATCAAAGTATTGATTTAGCAAATCCAAAGACTAATACAAAAACAGCTGGTTTTACGAAAGAAGAACGAGATGATTTTTCAAAAATTCTTGCTGATGGATTTATTGATTCATGTAAGTGTAATGTTCTCTAAAGTATTTTGTAACCTAAGAAGAGCACAGTATCATAAAGCGGATAATATTTGTTACTAAAAATAGTTTGACATAGAAATTGATTATTATAATAATCTGTATTAAAGGAAAAGTTTAATGACATTATAAACTTGATCTATAAGTAAAGCATCTGTTCAGGAAATTTCTTTATTGGTGAAATACAAGAAGAAGATTTATAAAATAAAGCTGTATTGTTATATAGCAAATCATTTCTCCAAATAAGCTATATTTGATGGACTAAACTACCTCATTTAGACTTCTTTTGAACTCTAAAAATATCCATTCTCTCGTAAAAAAATCAACATTCTATGTAACAACTGAACCATTTTTCAGCCATTTCCGTTAGTTGACATAAAGGCAAATTCTCTTAACTGTGATCAATCCTATTACTTGATAATAGCATCTATTTCCGCAAAATAAACTTTAAATAAACTCTAACGACTCAGAAAAAAATTAGTTCATTTGATTGAACTAAAAATACTTCCGTTTTTGTACTGTATATGTCACGTCTATAATGTAAAAATACTTCCAGCAATCTGTTTTAATGATAAAATAAACAAAATTTCATAAATTACATGATTTATTTATTTATTTATTTAGTCCGCTATCTATATCCTGATAAACGCGATGCATATACCTATTGGGCATATTTTCATAGTGCCCGTGACCGTAATATTGGTTGGAGATTAGATTATTTTATATTATCTCCATCTCTTCAAGAATCTCTATGTGATGTTATTATACAAAATGATGTGCATGGGTCAGATCATTGTCCAATAGTTTTATTATTGGCTATTTAATTTGAATTGTATATTAGTCAGATAATGAAGTAAAAAAAGCAAAGCATTTTCTTTTTTTTTTTGTTGACTGTTAGAAAATAAATGTTAGTGAATATATTTCTTTATACTTATAGATATAATTTATTTAGTACCAATATTTGAATATATGATTATGATAATAATGATCAAGAAAATAAGCAAGCTCGGATGTTCAGATTGCATGTTCTACATAAACATGCTAACAAGACTCATGATGAAGAATAAGAATAGAAGAAAATATGAAGGTATTGTTACATATCCGTATTGATTTACTCAATTATTGGAAAGCACGAGCAGTAGTAGTCATGACAGTCAGTGCATGTTTGTTGTCGTTTTTTGTTTTTCTTCGAACAAAAAAAACTATAAACGATTGAAATTGATTGAAATAAGAACTTCTAAATACTTAAGAAATCGGATACGATGAAAAATAATAATGTATAGAAACTTTAATATTAAATATATATATATCACTCTCTCTCTTTTTTTTCAAGTATTGTTTAAGATTAAGTTAGCCTCTATTTACACTTTATTTCCGTTTGTATTTCTTTTTTACTTTAATCGTTCTTATTCGCATGATACGTCTTTATAAGTACCATCATTTCGGTAACACACTATATCGGCAAATAAAGTGCACTAAGTAGAAGAAAGAAAAAAAAAGAAATTTTTTTTTCTTCGAACAAATAAATGACAAATCATTATATAAAATATAATATTGTTCCACTTGATCTTTATATAGGATTTAATTAGATATTTTATCTATTTTGACAATATCAATTGCAATGAGCTTCTGTTATTTCTTTTAAACTGAAACTTCTGTTATCATTTTATTTTTTGTCATCTGGGAAATCTAAAATGCTCAATCGGTTAGAGTAATGTTATTATTATATTTTTTGTGCGTTTGTCTTTATTGTAAAAAAAACATAAGCATATGTGACAGAATAAACTAATGTTCACCGTTCGTCATTTTTTTTTCTCTCTTCATTATCGGTCCGAACGTGCTTTTTAATCTCAAGCTTAGAAATAAAAGAAGAAGACGAAGAAACAACCTTCTCTACTACTCATATTTTACCTAATGACAAATACCATTTGAAGTCAAAGTTAAAGAGAGAGAGAAAAAAAATTAGTAAGTGATTTAAAACTCTAATTATTATATCGAAACAATTTTATGTACGTGTATTTATTGATTAGAACGTTGACGTCAATAGATGATCGGTTCTCTCTTAGTTTTTTTTTATATCCTTGATCATCTTATATTTCTCTCGTTTTTTTTTATCAGCTTATATTTCTATCTATAAAAAAAAAGAGATATAGTTTTCTCTTTTGCGTTTATTTTCCTCTCATTTAACCGGAAAATCATATTGCAGAAGAGATATTTATTAGTTTATCGAAGTTTAAACAAGAAGTAAGTGGAATAGATTTGTTTGCATACATTGAACTTATCTAAGAATGAAGAATTAATAGTATTATCAATCAAAATATCTTCTTTTAACTTGAATTCAAATCGATTTTGAGTTAATCTGATTAGTTTTATCATTATCTATTTATTTATCAATAATGACATATATATATTTATCATCATATTCTGTAAATAAGGTTAGATATACTGATCTTCCGTTATGATAAAATTATTGTCATTATATCAATAATCGGTCGGGTTTTTTTTTTCATTTTTTTATATTTACATTTGGATTTATTTGAACAAGAATAAAATAAGCAGTCATAAAATAAGAGCAATTAAACAAAATATTTGTGTATTTACACTAGAAAAAAATGATTGTTGAGTACGTCATAGAATTCTAATGCTAATTATATTATAAATCTAAGGGTGAGAAAGATGATTAAATGCTTTGAATAATCGTCGATCCTATTAAAATGATAGAACACCAAGTATATTTAGGCAAATCGTTGAAAGTGTTAATATTAGACGATCGACGCACTAAACGATACCAATAACGGAAGACACATCAACTTCATTCATCGTCCGTTTTCATCTACTCGAGAGAGAGAAAGAGACAGAGAAAAGAGAAGGAGGAGATCTTTATCGTTCTTGGCAATTTCCGTCCTTTTGTATTTATGCCATTTTCATATATTTATGAATTTTTCTTCCGACCGATTGAATCAAGTTTCTAACTTTAATCGTGAATTACCGTTAATTATTTCTTTTTCTTTTTTTTTACAGTCTTTTTTATTTTACAACGCACATGATTTCAACTGTTGTTGATGGGCTGTACGAGCTCGAAGCATGACTTGTCACCGGATGATATACAATTTTTAAAATCTCATACAACATATTCAGAGAAAAAAATTAAAAGTTGGTATAGAGGTTTTATGGTATGTATTAAATATTATTTGTTTGTTTGTTTATTTATTTATATATTTAATTAACTCAATTTGTTTTGCTTTTTTGTTCAGAGAGATTGTCCAACCGGTGAATTAACACGCGACTCCTTTATCCAAATTTATAAGCAATTTTTTCCTAAAGGACGAGCAGAAAATTTTTGTGAGCATGTCTTTCGTGCATTTGATTCGGGTAAATCCAAGGGAGATAATTGAATTTCTTTAAATAGATTTTTTTATTATATTTAGATAATAGTGGAAAAATTGATTTTAAAGAATTTTTACAAGCAATTAATATAACATCCCAAGGAACTCCAGATAAGAAATTAGAAATGGCTTTTCGAATGTATGATTGTAATGGAGATGGTTCAATAGATGAAAATGAAATGCGACGAATTATTAATGTTAGTTAAACAGAAAAAAAAATACATGGAAATTATTTTAAATAAATTTTGATATATATATATATATATTTAGGCTATTTATGAATTAATTGCTGAAGAAACTGAACAACCAGAACGACAAGTTGAAGCAGATGAACGTGCAATGAATATATTTCGTATGATGGATAAAAATTCTGATGGAGTATTAAGTCGAGAAGAATTTGTAGATGGTTGTTTAAATGATGAACAATTGTATCAATTATTAACTCAATCGAGCCGATTTGGAGACAATAATCGTGGATCACAATCATCGCTTGACGATTAATTCTTTTTTTTCTTCTGTCTATTTATTCTATTGTCTTTTTTTTCTGTATCTGACATTCCTTTAGAAACATAAAAGAAAAAACTAATCCGTTCCTTTTACTTATAGATAAAAAGAAAAAGAGAAAATATGTCGGATAGTTTAACACCAGTTGTAAATGAAAATGCTTCTGATGATGAAAAAGATGAAGAACAAGTAACAAGTGTAAACCAAAAGAAAGAAGATGCAAAAGTTGAAAAAGAACTTGATCGAGTTACAGATCGTGTTGATGAAGAAGAAATTGGTTCAGAAAATATTGGAAATGTAAAAATTTGTCTTAAAAAAAACAAAACAAAACAATTATTATTTTATTTTCATTCTTTTAGGCTCTATCAGCAATTAATGATAAACGTCATCGAGATGAATCAAAACGTAAAGCTGAACAAGCTGAATTAGCCAATGTGAAAATTCGAAAAGAAGATGTGGAACTTATCGTACAAGAACTTGAACTACCACGTTCAAAAGCAGAAAAAACATTACGACAACATCATGGTGATGTTATAGCAACATTAAAAGCACTTGTTAATGCTTAACAAATATTGTGATTATGTTGTTTCGTATTCATAAAAATATATAAACAAGAAAATCATTTATCTACCCTAGAGGAAATGTTTTTTTGTATTATACAAAATAAACATTCTTGATTAATTATTATCGAAGTAGGAAAAGAGGAAATATACTATTGTAATGCCCTATGGAAAATTATAAATTCGCAATGAACATTTTTGATACTCGTATAATTATTTCATAATTATTTTATGATACTCATGCATTCATAGTTCAGATATATTTAAAAGGAAAATCACACATTTTATTAAATAAGTTGTATATAAAATTTGTTAGTAATAATACCATTGTATATGATATTTAATCGTAAAAATTAGACTAATCTTATTATCAGTTTTAAATCCTATTTACAACTTATATACTTGAACACAGTAAGTTATGCGTAAATAGTAATACTCTAAAGTTGTAATAACGAAATTAAGAAAAAAGTAGTTGTCTAATGGATATTTATATGTGAGATATATTCAACTTTTTGTTGCATAAATTAATATGGTAGAATGGGAACATTGATTGAAAACTTCATAGCATAATATTAAATTTTGTAAATTTTATCGTTGTTTCCATGATCAAAATCAAATAGAGAAACTTTTTCTTTGCACTTGACTTTTTTTGCCATTTCAATACACAAACAAACTAGAAAAATCATGTTTTCTTCAATTTCTTTTATGAGACAAAACTATATTTCAACTGATATAATGCCAGAAGAAAGGTTTGTTTACTTTTCTTGATTTTAATAATTATTATCATTCTTGATGCCTTGAATAAATGGGTGCGGATGCTTGTTGAGGAGAGTTATTGAATACAGCATCGAATGCCAAACATTGCTGTACGATCAAACTTTGTTTTTTTTTTTAAATCGATATTGATATTTATCCAAGTGAGACTAGGTGAAAGATCGATTAACGTACTCGACTTTTCTAACAATAAATTCGAATTCTGATTCAACATTTTCTCGTTTATTTTGTTCAGGAATGATTATCTTATCAGTAGTCGTTATGATAATAATCCTATTGTCTACGAGAATGAATACAACATTTCATACTGTTATCATAGCTAGACGCATCAATTCGAATGACGGTTTTTAAATAAGTCAGCAAATACACCGTCTTGTTTAACTGTGTTCTTTTTAATCAAAACACTTTTTTTTAGAGAGCATGGCCGTACGCTGATTGATTTCGGTTACTGTAGTTTCATATCTTGCTGACGATTTATTTATTTAATACTAAACTCTGATTACAGAGATCTGTATCCCTATGAATTATAGAATTTTAACAATGACATGTAACCTTCCTATTGATTTGAGTATCTACTTCTCTTGAAAGATTTATGTGAAAGAATTTTATAGAATATTGAAGAAATAAAAGCTCATGATTTTTCCTTATTTTAGAGAACATAGGTAAATTATTTATTTATATTTTAAAAATGTTGATCCATGGTTCGAAATTCATTCATCCACAGGCTATTATTCTGTACATTTAGAAGTGATTGAAGCTATCTAGTTTAAAAGTGCCATGAGTGTCATTTCAAGAATTTCATAGTTATATGTATTAGAAGGTATGAATAAAAAGGAGACGATGTTTAGAACCCGTACTATTGAATGGAAGAATAAGAGAAGTATTTTCTGATTCAAGAACTTTGCTTTTCTTTCAATATTAAAAGATGGGCTGGTAATATATCTTGTACATGACGACCAATTTATATAACATAAAGTTCTGCTCGAAATAAGAAAATAATGTGCCACTCAGATAACAGAAATTCATATTTTATTCGTTTTGATTCACGAACATTTTGTTTGTTATCAAACCACTGAATTAACAGACTCATTTATTATTCAAGTTCTATTTCAAAGTTATCTGAATTCATGACCTGAGAGAATAAACCTTTCTGTACAAAACTTACTATCAGTAGATCTCCAAATCCCGAAATTGAAGAAAGCTCCAAAGTTCTTCTATAAAGACAGGAGCCTGTTTTCTTGTTCTATTTGTCAATCAAACGTGTATAATCTTTAGATAAAAATCAAACCAAATGCAAGAATACAGACAGTAGTATGTGCCTATGACGACGATTCTTTTTGTTTTTCTAACAATAGTCCCTTCTTTTAAAGCAAATCATAGTCTAAATGAAAATATCTATTTGAACTATGAGGATATGAGGCATGTATATATTTATCTCATATTTACACTCTCGCAAAATATTCTACAGTAATTATACTGCTTGTTTATTTATTATGAAAAAAACTAAGGTACTAAAAAAGGTTAAAGTAAAATACCACCATGTAGTAAGCATAAATATTTGGGTTAGTTTAAAAAAGAAAAAATGTTAGTAATGTGAAGTCAATATTTAGTGTTAAATATGAAGTGTGTTTTTTATTATCTTCTTGCGGAATACAACTCGATAATATTCTGCATGCCCTTGTTGCATATTATTATAAAGTTGAGTGCCAGGTAATCCAGCGAATAGACGACAATATTCTTGATCTGCAGGTTGAATATAACGCTCAATAAAGTCAGCACGTGAGTTATTTTGAATGTCAAGAGCATGAAGAACATTTCTTGTAATATTAACCTTCTCTTTAATTATAAATGCATTATTTGCTGTTAAGTAATCAATCAGTACACTTGATCCATCTACATTACACAATCCACACCAGAGAAAGTATCCATTAGGAGTAAGCACACGAGTAATTTCATTGATGAATCGCTTCACTGCTTCTATTTCATCAAAAAGATTTGTTGTTTCAATTGAGAGAACAACATTCATTGACTCATTTTGAAATGGTAAATGAGTTTTTGGATCAGCTATCTCAAACGAGAGTCGATGAGTTGTTGAATAGTATTGTTGACATAGGTTAATAATATCTCGAGAAGGATCTATTCCAATATAAGATCGAGGAGCATATGTACGAACACACCAGGCACCACCAGCACCTCTACAACAACCCACTTCAAGTATATTTTGATTCGTAAGTGTTACATTAGCAAGAACCTAGAATGAAAAATAAAGCATTTTAATAATGAGTGCTGAGGTATTTGACATGTTCTCTCTCATTCAGTGCTCACTTCTTTTTCAGAAATGATAAGTAGATTAAGACGGAACTAGTTCATTTTTAGCTATTCTTGTTAACGAATTATGAATCAAAACTTCGAAGACATCATAAGGATTCTTCAGTTTCGATCAACTTATTATCTATCACTTATCGAACATTTATGATAAAGTAACGAAAACTATGGTATGAGTATGATTCATATTAATCAATTTAGACATCAAACTTCATCTATGACACTATATCAGAAACATTTCAACTCAAATGTATTTGATTCTTTCATTCGTCTTCACTTACTTGTTGATAGAGTTTCTTCGAATAATAACCAGTATTGTCATCAATATGTTCGTCCAAATCTGCATAACCCCAATTTATAAATTGTAGTTCATTGACATTCTTATAGACATTTGAAACTTGTTCATACCACAAAGACAGTCGATCGAAATTCTTAGATTTTTGTTCACATTTGACGATATCATCACAAATGGGTACAGATCGAGATAATATTGGTTTTGCCACATAAGATTCTAAACGAAAGAAATTCAATACAATAAAATGATGCATATATGTATCATATGGGATGATCATCAAAAGAACAGTTTCACTTTGAATGATATCACTTTCAAAGAATCCTAGAAAATGTGTGATATTATTTTTCAAGTCTGGAAAGATGCGGTAAATATACAATCATATCAGGTTGTTTGATATGTAGATCCAAGACTTTTGGATTCCATTCGAATACTGTTCAATTTAATGAAAGTCTATAATGATAGAAATCTGATTTTCATTGGGTCTAGAGTGTACTGCATATAGGTTATTTGAAATAAAAGTGAGGATAATGAGAATATCAGAATAATTTAACAAATTTTCTAAACAAGAACATGTGCGTTATCGATTGGTTTCACGTTGCAAAAAAATCGAACAAAATTTTATTTACCGATCTAAAATTCCAACCTATGACTGATGTATTCCCTAGGATGAGGCTTAAGTAAATAATTTACAGTCAAATCTAGTAGAAGAATACATTCAAATTTGATATGTATTAGTGAAACAGAGCAAAAGACATTAAAAGTATATCAAATACGTTGAACATATCATGCATGATGATCAATTCAATAGTTAATGAGAAGAAAATCTATTTTATATGATATATTATAGCGATCAAATAATATTTTGAGTAACTTGTCGTAAATAATAGAAAATGACTTATTCATTCAGACTTTTTCTTTTCATTCTGAAACGCAGAATAAATCGTATGATAGTCAAATAAGTATATATCATTACAAGGAGATTTAGAAATTATAATGAATGAAAAGCTCATTAAAGTCATACTTTCAATAATTCAGATAAAGATGTATCCAAAATTATTATAAGCAAACTGAAATTTGCAGATTATTACCTAATATCGTAATGGGTTTATACATATGTGCCTGGCTTCATTTATCTAAATGACTTACGTGCAGGAAGTCCTTTCCATTGTGTGTATGGTTGCAATAGATCATTTTTCATTACGAGTGTAAATGGGTAAAGCCGATTGTTACCCATTAATTTACAACCCGACATTACAAGTGAGCCACTCATAAGAACGCACGAGTTGCCTACTGTAACAGGAACTAGTTTGAAAATACGCTGTTCGAAAGTGTGACACTGAAATGATTGTAGAGAACAATAATGTATAGATGAAAAATAACAAGATATGTATGTATTACCACAATATAAGCATTAATATTAAATTGAACATTATCTCCAATTGTCACCACATGGTAATTAGAAAGAGACGAAATATCAGGTATGATCACATTATTGCCAATCTTCGCACCATATGCTCGAAATAACCGAATTAGCCATTGTGTATTGCCAAGAAATGAACAAATAAAAATTTTGTAATCTACTTGTAGTTTTCGTGCGATTTGTTTGATTATTTCATTGTCTACATATGGATACCATTGATAGAGACTGCAAACAATGATTGTGTGAATGATTGGTCCACCAACAAGACCACATGACCAATAAATGCCTATGAGAAGACATTTGCTAATATAATGAGAAAAACATGTCTTCCAAAATGGAGTAGTTTTAATTTGACCATCCATCGCTTTTCTAATGGGCATTTGAAATGGCATAGCACTAGCTGGAACACCAATGAAAACATCTCTGTTGCTGCTATTCGTTTCTCGAGTTATACGTGTTAAATTGCCAATCATAGTATGAGATGCAAGGTGACTGCCCGGCAAAATTGAGCACATATTAGCAAGATTTGTATGAGATCCAAGTGTTATACAATCTACACGATGGTCACCCTCAAGTGTCATCTCAGTAGGAACTAATAAAACGTAAGCAAAACTAGTGACTCCTGTTTCGAGTTTTAATAAATTTGTTGGATAACACAAGAAGGTATCTATACTACCCAGTTTGACATCATCTCCAACTTGAGCACCTAGCCAACGGAGAATAAAAGGGAAAAGATAATCATGTCCAGTTGGTAGTGACCAGGCATGATGAAAACTAGATACAATTAATTGACGAGGCCACACCTTATGTAAATGTGACCATGATGCAATTGGATATGTCTCACCAGCAGCACAAGAACCAACTACGAATTTTAAGAGAAAGAGAGTGACAAAACAAGAAATAATTGACCATAAAGTCCAGCAAAAAGCAATACTAATAGGTAGTGGTATTTGTTCAACTGAACAGACTTTGTAGATAATGGCTAAAAATGTACAGTGAATACAGATCAATGAGATGATTGTAATAACTTGATAAATCTTCTGCCATATTGATAGTGATCTGTTACTATGTGTGATTGAAGTGTCTGATGAAACTGATTTATGTTCATCACCATCGATAATCGTTCGAGATGCGATAAAACCAGTGAATGATGACATGGGCTGAACAGTGATATTATCCTGCATATCAACTCCACCAAAAAGAATAGTTCGGGCACTGATTGAACAATAGCAGCCAATTTTAATTGAATGCAATGCAAAAGTATCGTTATCATTGAAATATAAAGAGTTTAGATTCGTTTTATCAGCAATCCAAGTTCCATCACCAATATCTAACAACCATGGAGCATCCATGGTTGTGGTATAAATATGTGCATTAAGACTAACTCGAGCACCACAAAGACGAAGATAGTAATTGTAAAAAGGTGTACCAAGTATATGTTGTAGCCAAAATGTATTATTATTCCATAGTCGATCTAAAAACCACCAACGATAGTAGTTCCAAGAGAAAATATTGTCATCTTTGATGTTTTGCGGTGATAATAAACGTGAACATATGACATAGAATAAAAGATGAAATACTGGTAAGATAGGAAAAAGAAGTGGATACCATTGATGAATTATCATGATTGGACACAACCACTGGCAAACAAGAAGTGCAACACCTAAAGATTCAATAGCAAATGAAGGTGCAAGACGATCATGTGTTTCATGAACTTCCTTGACTACGGAAATTGTCTCTTGTGGCTCTTCAAGAACTAATAGAGGTTCTATTGCTCGAGCTAGTTGTCGAATAGATGGATTAGTAAACAAAAGACCAATGTCAACCTTGTTGCATACCTGTTGACGAATCAATGTGAGTGCAAGAATAGCACTCAGTGATGTTCCACCAAGTTGACCAAAAGGAACTTCAACAGGTGGAGATTCAATATGGAAAGCTTGACTAAATATATCTTGTAACTGTTCTTCTAAAATAGTGTGCGGCACGTTACCATCAATATTATCGGTTGACGATGAAAACTTATGTGAAGGTAGACGTTTTCGATCTATTTTTCCATTTTGATTCAAAGGTAATTTATCAAGTACAACAAATATTGATGGTATCATATGTGGTGGAAGATGAGATTGACAATGTTCACGTAGTTGTTCTTCGTTGATGTGACTCGATTGAATATAAGCAACTAAGTAATTATCATTCCATTTCATGACAATACAAGCAGATATAGATGTAATAATAAGTAAACATCGTTCGATTTCACCAAGTTCAATTCGTTGTCCATGAAGTTTGATTTGATGATCTTTTCTTCCTTGATAATAAAGAAGACCATTGTTGTCCATCCTAACAAGATCACCAGTTCGATAAAATAGTTCACCATCTATTTCAACAAGAGCTTTTACTGTCAAATCATCACGTCCAAGATAACCAGCAAATACACCCACTCCTCCCATAAACAGTTCACCTTCTTGGTCAATGGCAGATGATTGTGAATATTGATTCATAATGATACATCGGTAATTAAAAAGTGGTCTACCAATTGAAACAATTCGTGTATCATTTATAAGATCTACTTGGTAGAAGGTAGAAACTATAGTTGTTTCAGCTGGACCATACAAATTCCACACAATGCAGTTGGTTATGTCAGTTCTCACAATCAAGTCGATCAGAGAAACAACAAATGCTTCACCTAAAATTAAAAAAACAGCGTGACGAAAGAGCCAGAGTAGTTTCTCGTCACTCACCAATACTACAAATTGATCGAAGATATTTTACATTATTGATGCTCTTGTTCTGTTCAATAAAAATGAAAAAATTGTGTAGGAAACTTGGTACAGTATGTAGATATGTGATTTGTTTCTTCTTCAAGACTTCGGATAGATAACTAAAATCGATCGTTCCACCTTGATGAAGCATAATCAATGAGCCTCCAATCAACAATGTACCAAGTATTTCTTGAACATGAATGTCAAATGAACATCGTGTCATTTGTACAACTGTATCATCTTTATGAAATGAGTTAATATAAACCAAAGAATTGATACAATCAATAAAGTTCTTATGGCGAACTTGAACCTACGAAAGAACAAGAAAATTAATCAGATATTTGAGAATAAAGTGAAAACGAACCGCTTTGGGTGTTCCGGTTGAACCACTAGTGAAAATAATATAGGCTATCTCTTCACTTTTCACCATCACACTTGAAAGGCAATTATAATTCATGTCACTATCCATATTATCAACCTCTAATATTGAATCAATATCAAGTGAAACAATATTGGCTATTTCCATGGGGTTTCTACCACGAAAACACACATGTCTTTCAAATCCCGTGAAAAGTATCTCATCTTGTACATATCAATTAGTTATATTTATGATAAAAAAATCAGCCCTAAATATTGTTCCTTTCAGGAGATATCCCTACCACAAGTTTAACTGAAATTTTCAAAAATTATAAAAAAATGAAAAATTCGCAAAATTTGCAAAATGTATTTTCCTTGACTTTTTTTTAATACATTGAAGAAACTTAACTTTAAATACATATTTTTGTTCGCCTTGAGTTGGCGCATCCGCTGGTATATTTATTTTTATTTTTGATAATTTTAGTAAAATTTTTATGCGACACAACTGTGTATACACCATTAATCAGGGAGTCGAAAAAGTCGGTCCCTATGAAGTTCAAAAAGCTATATTACAGAAAGTAGCGACTAAGTGGATTTTGTAGAGCGACATTTGCTCTATCAAACCCTATATTTAGAATTTTATTCCATTTCGAAATGGTCGAGATTTGGTCACCGACTTTTTTATGATTTATCAATATATGAATAAATAGACATTAAAAATCGGAGATTTTACTTATCAAAGACTATTCTAACAGATAACCGAATACAATAGATAAAACTAGTTATCTAACGTCAAAACACTTATTTTTCCATCTAAGTTCACATGCGACAACTATCTGTTCAACTGATTGGTGATGTCATTAGCTGTCATATCATCAAACAATATATATATCATGATGATAACTTGTTTTGATAAAACTATTTATAAAAACAATTTATATGTATAATTTAACATCTATCAAGAGTTTTTAAATGGAATTCATCAGATTCTTACTTCATAGGAATAATAAAGCCTGATTGTTGTTTTAAATATACATCAACTATAGAAACTTATCGAAATATTCTTATGATAGTCAAACCATTTCATTTTGAGCTTTACATTATTTTTTTATTTTAAGATTAAGATTTTATTGTATAGTTTGGACAGCGGCTGTATTTTTATGAGTTTCAATGTTTAATATCTACTAACATTTGCTTTATTTGTCTTCCACTGAAACACGAATTGCAGGCTTATTCGTGTTTCACATCTTTCGAGATATATATTTCACTGTATATAAAAACAAATTTTTTATTTGGAGATGTAATGTTCAGCTAATAATAGTCCTCGAATATTCAATCATATAGATTGATCAATGAGTTTTAATCCGTGAGTAAATCCAGGAAAATATTAATACGGTGTCGAGTTCGAAGAAAATGCATTAGTATCAAACGTCAATAGCATATGCAGCATGAACAGGGTGTTGAAAAATAATTCAATATTCTGTCCGGTAAGTTTTCAATAAATCGTATGTAAACTGGAAGCAAACTGAATGATTGGTGCATAATAATATATATACTCGAAATATATTAACGATTGAAACGAAAGAAAAATAAATTGAACCAAAATAGACCAATCACAGTACTTGATTTAATTTCGATATATCTAGTCAATTTGAAATCATTGTATTGAACCGTTAAATTGTTCATATTTACTAATACTACCGTAATGCCGTACATAAAGCAAAATTGGTGTATGCACCCATATCATGATATAATTGATTCCGTCACCGGACAAAAGAAATTTGTGAAAACCGGAAAAAATCCAACACATCCAATCGGTATACATCGAATTAATGCTGATTCTGCACAGATCATCAATAAACAATATTCGTTAGTTATTGAAAGTGGATCAAGAGAAGTTTGTGAAGGTGATAAGATATGCACCAGCTGTTTAAGACGATTGTCGAATGACGAAAAAAATCAAGATCACAACGATTTCGACAATGTTGAAATGATGAATACTGGTGAAGAAGATCCTTCCAACGTTGATATTGGACACTACGACGACAAAGGTGACATCGAATATGATAACAGTAAAGATGACAAAAATATTGAAGATTTGCCATCATCACAAGAACGAACTTATAACAATGAACAAGCAAGAACAAAATTGAATCTTGTTTTTGAATTGTTGAATATTCCTACAATACGTGATGTGTAAGTTTTTTGTTATTATTTCTAAATCAAATTCGCTTCTTTTCTTTAATAGACGTCGATCGAAAAATATTCGACAAAACGTTGATCGTGCATGTTCAATCCTTTATAAACTTTGTGATATGCTTGTCGATTGTACAGTTCCGTTGAATGATCATCAACTGTCGATGAATGATGCGAGTGAATTATTATCTGGTCTTAAAAAGCTATTTCATGAAAGTGGTGAAGATGAACAAATTCGATTATTAACAATTTCCCCGGATGGCTGGGGTCGGACAGTTGTAGAGAAGTGGTTTGGTTGTACTGAACATCAAGCCAGGATGGGTTTGCATTTGAAAATAAACAAAGGTGTATTAGCATATCCAGAATACTCAAATGGTAACAAGCCATTACCAGACAACACCGTTCAATTGATTAAAGAATTTTATTTAAGTGACGGCATTAGCCGAGCTTCAGCCAGAAAACGAGATGTGATACACATTAAGAAGGTACCATTTCCGGTCCAATTTATGGAAATGACTGGACGAGAAGCTTATCAACAATTTAAATCTGAATATCCAAATGTTGTTGTTGGTAAATCATCATTTAATTCACTACGACCACGACAGGTCAAATGTTTAGCACCAGCTGATACCTGTTTATGTATTTACCATGAGAATTTTTATCTTCTGTTGAAAGTAATATAATTTCTATATACATATATATTTGCTTCCAAATAATTATTTAGAGCTGGAATAAAATGTTAAAGGAGAAGTCATTGATCAAGGATGATGTTGAATTAATAATTACTGATAAATATTTGGTTAATCGAATTGTATGTGGTATTCCAGGTGAAGATTGCTACAATGGTCGATGTGATACATGTGGTATTATTAGTCCGTCAGATATCTTATTACAGAATATTATGATTGATGATGATGAACAATTCTCATGGTCTCAATGGATAACATCGAATAATAAAATTGATCTTCTACATATCAATGGTTCAGTGAGTTCTTTTCTCGATGAGATAAATAATAAATGGAAACAATTTCTTTTGCATTGGTACATTACAACTGTACAAAAAGAATACATAAAAAGTATTCGTTTAAATTCATCGTTCACTACACATATTGTTGCCCAACTTGATTTCGCTGAAAACTACTCAATTTTCTATCAACGCGAAATTCAAAGTTATCACTGGAATAACGATCAAGTAACGATTTTCACAGTTCAATTAAAGGTGGGATCTATTCACAAAAACATCGTTATTATCAGCAACTACATGTTACATAATACAGCATTTGTGTATGTTGCACAATCGATAATAGTGAATTACATTAAGCAGCATTTTCCATTCATCCAAATAATCAATTATTTGAGGTTAGTTATTAAAATATTTTGATTAATATGATTTTATTTCTGTTTAAGTGATGGAGCAGGTAGTCAGTTTAAAAATAACTATAATATGTTTAACCTGCTCCATCATTTACGTGATTTTGGAATACAGGCATGCTGGACATTCAGCAGCACTGGTCATGGCAAAGGGCCGATCGATGGTCTTGGTGCTTCTAGCAAGTCAACTGCCACAAGATCGGTTAAATCATCAGGAACTGTTATTTCTTCGGCGAAGGAGTTTTATGACTTTACCAAACAGTATAATGAAAATGCAGCAAAACTCTCCGGAAATAATGAACCACCGATCAATGCATTTTACGTTGATTCAACTACAGTTGAAGCTACATATCAGAATTTTCTGAAGCCCCGTTGGGATAAATTAAATAAAACTGGTAAGAAAACAACTAAAAAGCATTTAAAATCTTTCTTTTCTAGATCATATAAAACAAATACGTTCATTCCATCAGTTTAATATTCGTTCGGAAAATGTTATACTTTGCAAACAAACATCATCATCATTAGATTATATGACTACAGTGTATCGAACTGAAAATACAACAGAATCAACAGTTACACCAGTTCATACTGTCACCGATATTTCTATTGATACATATGTTATTACAAAATACAACGATAAACTTCATTTAGCAAAAATTAAATCCATAAATTATCCTGCTCAAGAAATTCAAGTGATCTATTACGAACCAGAATTTCCAGCTACTATTTTCTATGTATCTCGATTGAAGAATAGACATGAATCGAATATCAACGTACAAAATATTCTTTTACTTCTTCGTCGTAATCCAACGATTGGAAAACAAAACGAAGTTTACATAGACCACGAACAATATAATGATATTACAAATTTGAGTGAAGAACTATAAAAACTATCACTTACTCATTTATATATACGATACATGGACTAGTACGAAAAGCATCAACAAATGTTGTTTAACTATACATCTAAAAGATCTTATAGATAAAAGATATATACATATTGGTACAATGAAAAAATAATGTAAAGCTCAAAATGAAATGGTTTGACTATCATAAGAATATTTCGATAAGTTTCTATAGTTGATGTATATTTAAAACAACAATCAGGCTTTATTATTCCTATGAAGTAAGAATCTGATGAATTCCATTTAAAAACTCTTGATAGATGTTAAATTATACATATAAATTGTTTTTATAAATAGTTTTATCAAAACAAGTTATCATCATGATATATATATTGTTTGATGATATGACAGCTAATGACATCACCAATCAGTTGAACAGATAGTTGTCGCATGTGAACTTAGATGGAAAAATAAGTGTTTTGACGTTAGATAACTAGTTTTATCTATTGTATTCGGTTATCTGTTAGAATAGTCTTTGATAAGTAAAATCTCCGATTTTTAATGTCTATTTATTCATATATTGATAAATCATAAAAAAGTCGGTGACCAAATCTCGACCATTTCGAAATGGAATAAAATTCTAAATATAGGGTTTGATAGAGCAAATGTCGCTCTACAAAATCCACTTAGTCGCTACTTTCTGTAATATAGCTTTTTGAACTTCATAGGGACCGACTTTTTCGACTCCCTGATTAATGGTGTATACACAGTTGTGTCGCATAAAAATTTTACTAAAATTATCAAAAATAAAAATAAATATACCAGCGGATGCGCCAACTCAAGGCGAACAAAAATATGTATTTAAAGTTAAGTTTCTTCAATGTATTAAAAAAAAGTCAAGGAAAATACATTTTGCAAATTTTGCGAATTTTTCATTTTTTTATAATTTTTGAAAATTTCAGTTAAACTTGTGGTAGGGATATCTCCTGAAAGGAACAATATTTAGGGCTGATTTTTTTATCATAAATATAACTAATTGATATGTACAAGATGAGATACTTTTCACAAGATTTGGTAATACTTGTGTTTTTTTTGGTAGAAACCCCATGGAAATAACCTATTATGATGAAACTTGGTCTTAGTTAAATCATGAACAAGAACAAGACGACTTTGAGTTTGCTCTACTAGTGCATGCA